AAAGATTTGATAAAGATCTCTGATTTAACTGCAGAGCTGATAATCACTATATCAGTAATTATAAGAAGCTGAAGAAGAGAAGAAACTGAGAAGATATTTTCTTAAAGTTAACTTCTCTTCTGACAAATGTATCTGTGAAAGATAAAGAAGAGAAAGAAATAAAGAATTAATAATTCTTATATCTCTGAGTTTATGTTATAATCATAATGTATACTCTAAATGAGAAGATACTAGTGAGATATCTACTTAACTTCAAGATAAATGTTAACTTCATATTCTATTTCTTTTCTTTGATGAAGAATTGAAAGAAGATAGACCTGTCAGACTATATAAAATTTACTGATGAAATGAAATGTTATTATTTTAGTATAATTTAAGTGAAGTATGTAGTCACAGATTTAGAAGAAATCTTTAAGAAGAGCAGTCTACTTCTTCACACAGTTAATATTATAGATGAGAATGTTATTCTAAATCTCTCATAGTTGAGAGAAAACAATTCTCTCATTGACTAAGTTACTCAGACATAACAGTACTGTCTCACTAATAAAGAGACAGTGATAGAGAAATCTGAAGAGTTTTATTGAAAGAATCTTAAGAAAAAGATTGAGTTAATATACTATATAGCAGATGACTGAGACTTGAGAATAGATAAAGAAGTCATCACTCTCACTATAAGATTAGCAGCAGTATTCATTATTGAAGACAGATATATATAACATCTCTTTACAGATTTTAAGAATATCTTTTCAGAAAGAGAAGCAGTGAAGTTTTCTGATATCAAGATATAATATAAGATTTGTCTTAAAGATGATATAACAGTATTATACAGATCTCTTTACAACTTATCTGTAAAGAAATTGAATGTTCTATGTAAGTATCTTGAAGAAGTGCAATCAAAGAACTGAATATATTTATTAAAGAGTTCAGCAGAGATGTCTTTACTCTTTATACTTAAGAAGAATAATAGACTATATCTATGCATAGACTACAGAGATCTTAATAAGATGATAATTAAGAATTGCTATTTATTACTATTAATTGATGAGATGATTGATTAATTATCTGAAGCAAAGATGTTCTCAAAGATTAATATACAGAATGTCTATTATAGAATCAGAGTTAATGAAGATAATATTTAAAAAACAGCTTTTTATACTAAGTACAGTAATTTTGAATATCTTGTTTTATCTTTTAATCTTTATAATACTTCAGTCATCTTTCAGATCTATATAAATGAGACACTGTGAGGCCTTGTCAATGTCTTCTACATAGTATATCTGAATAACATTCTAATCTTCTCAAAATCAGAGAAAGAATATGATACTCATGTTTAAGAAGTATTGAGTCACTTAAGACAGTATTAACTCTATATAAACACTGAAAAATGCTCATTCTACATGCAGAAGATTGATTTCTTAGATTATATTATTGAGATGAATAATATTTCAATGAACAGAAGCTGAGTCTCTGTTATTAAGAACTGACTGACACTGTGAATATACTGCAAGATACAGATATTTCTAGAATTTATGAATTTCTATAGATAATTCATCTATACATATTCACAGATTACTGTTTCTCTTATAGATCTGTTAAAGAGAAGTATGAAAGACAGGAAAACAGAACTGTTTATTCTTACTCAAGATATTATACAGATGTTTATAGAATTGAAACAAGCTTTCACAGATATTATAATACTGAATCACTTTAATCTCAACTTACTCAGTCAGTGTGAGACTGATGTATCTGAGAATGAAATCTATGAAATCTTTTCACAGTTAATACTGAAGACCTTTCAACATTGAAAGAATCAGAGAATAATTATTTCTGAGAAAATAGATAATAAATTATCTGTGAGAGAAGACTTTTTTATAGAGTTTATAAGATACTATGAATAAAGATCAGTGATCTTCTTCTTCAAGAAGTTATTACTTATATAGAGAAGATATAATACTTATAATCAGAAAATATTAGTAATTATTAAATTCTTTAAAATCTGATAATATTATCTCTAGAATAGTAAGTACTTAGTGCAAGTTCTTACTAATTATATAAATCTATGTTACTTCTTAATAACAAAGAGCTTGATAGAATATCAAGTCAGATAAGCAGAGCTGCTTTCAGAGTATAATTTCTATATCTGATACTATTCAGATTGACTTAACTCTGCTAACACACTGTCTAGACAGTCTGATTATAATATTATTAATACAGAGAAGAATTCTATAAAAGAATCTCTGTTATCACTATAGAAGAAGCTGGCTACAGAGAGTTGAGATTCTCTAAAGCTCAGAAACAGCACTGATAAGACAGCTATATAACTCAGTATAGAAGGTGAAAAAAAACTCAGATCTCTGCAGAGAACTGATACTGAAGATCATAAGCTTCTCATATTATATCTTACAATCATTGAATTGATAAAGAATGAAACAGTCTACAATCTTTCAATCTGACTACTTTTAAAATTCATTAATAAGTTATAGAAGAAGAATGTCTCTACTATAACTTAAATTCAGAAGTTAAAGAAGAAAGAATTTAGTTTAAACTTGAAAGAGACAGACTCTGAGCAGGATGATACTGCTAAGAAATCAAGTTACTGATAACTAGAAGAATGTGAACTTCTACTACTGAATAATTCAGTCTTTGTCTCTTATAGCAGAGCAGTGTGCTAGAAGTTATTGAGAATTCATTATAATAATCTTCATATAGAATACTTCAGATTAGAGAAGACTAAGAAGCTTTTAAAATATAAATATATTTGAGACAAGCTCTGAACAGATGTTAAAGAGTATATTAAGACTTATAATATCTATCAAAGAATAAAGATTCTGTGATATAAGTAATACAGTGAGTTGATATCACTGCCTGTTTCAAAGAGCTTATGACAGAATCTATTAATGAATTTCATAGTTGATCTGCTGAAGTTGACAAGAGTCAAAGAATATAACTCAATTTTAATCATTATTAACTGCTTTATAAAGATGATCAGATATATTCTTACTTATAAAAAGATTAAAGCCTCTGAATTAACTGATCTATTTTTAGATATCATCATTTATAATCACAGTGCTCTGAAATTATTAATAATAGATTAAGAATTTCTCTTCATCAGTAAATACTGATCAGCTTTTTACTATTATCTTATAATAAGATATCTTCTTAGTACTGCATTTCATTTACAGACAGATGATCAGACTGAATATCAGAATCAGATACTAGAACAGTATCTTTAAGTATTCTATTTATATTATTAGAATAATTGACTTAAACATCTTCTGATCATTAAATTTATATATAATAATACAAAGAATGTAATCTTAAAGATATCTTCTTTCTATACTTATTATAAATATAATTCTTTGTTACTCAGTGATGTCACAGATAACATTTTAAAGAGAGAAATAGACAGTCAGAATATTAGATAGATACAGAGAACAGAGTATTTCTCAGTATTAGAAGTAAAAGTGAGATTGAAACTTTTAGATAAAATTTATAAGAAGATGATAAAAAGTATTCACTGTATTCAGAAGTGATAGATAAAATACTATAATTGAAAACATCTTTTAATAAAGTTCTTGATAAAAGATCAAGTACTACTTTCAATAAAGAATATCAAGATAATAAAATTATATAAGAAGCTCAGTGAGTAGTGACTAGAATCTTTCTCAGTAATAAGAGTGATAGATAAGTAGATATACAAGTTAAAATTATTCACAGAATTGAAATTAATTCATTCTGTTTTTCATATTTTCTATTTAAAGCTCTATAAGTAATATCTCAGAGCAGAGTCATCTCAGCTGAATAATATTAAAATTAAGAATGATATCAAATATCTTATGAAGAAAATATTAAATAAGTGAATATATTACAGTAAGCTTCAATATCTTGTGAAATAAGAAGATTATTCATTATTAGAGAATTTATAAGAACTGCTTGAGTATTTGAAAAATACTGAGAAAGAGATTGTAAGCTATGAGACAGCTAGTAGAGATTATCTTATTACATACTAGAGATATTAAGTAAGAAATACTGCTTAAGACTTCTTATTTTTTCTTAAAGAGTTTTTAGAGATAATCTTATAATAATAAATTAGTATTTTATAAGCTCTATAGCACTCTTCTTCTATTTTCTTTCAAAGAGGTTTTTTAGAAGTTTAATAAGACTATACAAGTGTAAAATTCCTAAAGTAGTTAATAAGAAAAGAAAGAAATATTTAAAATTAATAAAAAAGATTGATATTATTAATCTGCAGACTGCTGCTATTCTAATAAGATCACAGTCTGCTGAAAAAGTAAAAAGAGAAAATCTCAGAATTTACTTATTAATAACTACATTCTCATCAAACTTATTCTTTATTATTGAAGTCTTCAGTATCAGTATCTTTATCTGCTGAGAAGTTAGTACTGCAGTACTGCAGAGAAGTATGCTATAGAAGAGTATAAGAGATACTTAAAGTATTAACTTATTAATTTATAAAGTATCTCAGTTATCTGCTTTAATTGAAGTGAGATTCTCTTTAATTAGTAATTAATCTCTGTGATACTTTTAACAGTAATATCAGCTGATCTCTTCTTAAGATCAGTTATTTTGAGATGTTTTTTTATCTCAGAGACTCATACTTTCATCTTCTTTTATAAATAAGTAAGAGAGATCTCTTCAGTTTTAATAGAATCTATCAATACTTAAAGCTTTAAGACTCTCACTCTATACTGCTTGAGTATCTGAGCTTCTTATTAGAGTTGATACAATATCTTCTTATAGAGTAGGTAATACTTACAGAGAGATAGAAGTTATTATTATGAATACAATGAAAATAATAAGAGTGAGAGAAGAGATAAGTGTATAAAATCTTCTTCTTCTTCAGCTGCTTAGCATAGTATAGATAGATGATAATACTGATTAAAAGCTGTATCAGAGTCTTCTTACAGAGAGAAGATAAAGAAACTGCAGAACTCTGCAAACTCAACTTAGCAGTATTCTGAGCAGGGCTTGAGTGTACTATGAAAGAGAAACTACAGATTGAGCTTCTCAGAGCTGCTGTTTCTGAAATCAAGCTCTTTTCAGAGTTCTCTTCAAATGATCACACAGAGTCATATATTACTGTGTTGATTGAGAGAAGCGGTATTGCAACAGTGGCAGAGAAGGCAGAGAACAGATCAGATGCAGATGAACTGATCAGCAGAAGAAATGACATCTCACTACAAGACACGGCTACTATCACTGCAGCTGCAAGAGATGTAGAAGAAGAAGAAGATATGATAATAAGAGTGATACTTCTGCAGCTCATTGACACTGCTGTCTTCATCTTCAACCTGGCTTTCTTAACAGTCATGAAGACCACAGTCACATCATGAAAATGTTTACTCACTGAAAAACATCAGAATAAGTTCTTTATTATTCTTTAAGAATGATACTCTCATACACTCACTATTACAATTAAGAAAGAGAGAAGAAAAATGTTTTATAGAGAGAGAGATCTTTTCAAAAAATTCTATTACTACTGTTAACTTTATCTCTAAAATACATTACTTTTATAGAGAATTTTATATATAGAATAGAATATAATAAGAGATCTGTAAGTTACTTATTAACTATATTTTCTTCATTCTAAATTAATATATAAGAAACTCACTTATCATATATTTAATTTGAATGAAGATGAATAAAGAAAGATCTATATAGTTAGCAGAAAAACTTATCTATTTCTTTGTATTATATGCAGTATATACACTGTCAATTAATTAATAATTATTATTATATAATAAAGATAATTTCTAATCTGATAATCTTAAGAGTATAGAGACTATACTTTTAAAGAGAAGAGTATTATTATACTTCTAATCATACTAAGATCTTATTATAATTTCACATAGCTTATTACTTTTATATAGATGATTTCATTCTGTCTGAACTAGTTTTCAATCACTCTATAACATCATTCAGATATATTATAGAAAGATTCAATTGATAAATATAAGAACCTCACTTCTATACAAGATCAGCAGATTACTCTTTCTTAATAATAAGATACTGCTGAGATATCAGTCTGACTATTCTTACTCATGAAATGAGAGAAGAGTATTTACTTATTGTCTATATAGAATAGCTAGATACTGACTCTTCATTAAAGAAGTCAGTAATTTGTTTTTCTTCTACTGAAATATATACAAGAGTTACTGTGTGTCTTATATAATCTTCTTAGTATATTAAGTATTATATCTGTGATATTCTCACAATAACTCTGTAGTCTACAAGCTCGCTATTCAAGCAAGATAGTCAAGCTCACTTATACAGCTTCTCAAACAACTATCTCTACATAATATCACTGACTAGTCACTGCTTCAGTTCTGTCATATTATATAGTAATAGAGAAATCTGAAGAGTTTCATTAAAAGAATCTTAAGAAAAAGATAGAGTTGATATACTATATAGCAGGTGATTGAGACTTGAGAATAGATAAAGAAGTTATTACTCTTATTATAAGATTAGTAACAGTATTTATCATTGAAGATAAATATACATAATATCTCTTTACAGATTATAAAAATATCTTTTTAGAAAGAAAAGCAGTGAAGTTTTCTGATATTAAGATATAATATAAGATTTATCTTAAAGATAATATAACAGCACTGTACAGGCCTCTTTACAACTTATCTGTAAAGAAATTGAATGTTCTGTATAAATATCTTGAAGAAGTGCAATTAAAGAACTGAATACATTTATTAAAGAGTTCAGCAGAGATATCTATACTCTTTATACTTAAGAAGAATAATAGACTATGTTTATACATAGACTACAGAGATCTTAATAAGATGATAGTTAAGAATTACTATTCATTACTATTATTTAACAAGATAATTAATCAATTATCTGAAGCAAAGATATTCTCAAAGATTAATATACAGAATATCTATTATAGAATCAGAATTAATGAAGATGATATTTAAAAAATAACTTTTCATATCAAGTACAGTAATTTTAAATATCTTGTTTTATCTTTTAATCTTTATAACACTTCAGTCATCTTTCAGATCTATATAAATAAGACACTGCAGAGTCTTATTAACATCTTCTGTATAGTATATCTAGACAATATTCTAGTCTTCTCAAAATCAGAGAAAGAACATGATATTCATGTTTAAGAAGTATTGAGTTACTTAAGACAGTATTAACTTTATATAAATACTGAAAAATACTCATTCTACATACAGAAGATTGATTTCTTAGATTATATTATTAAGATAAACAGTATTTCAATGAATAGAAGCTGAGTCTTCATTATTAAGAACTAGTCAGTGCTGTGAATATACTATAAGATATAAATATTTCTAGAATTTATAAATTTCTACAGATAATTCATTTATATATATTCACAGATTACTGTCTCTCTTACAGATCTGTTAAAAAGAAGTATAAAAGACAGAAAAATAGAACTGTTTACTCTTATTCAAGACACTGCACAGATGTTTACTAAATTAAAATAAGCTTTTATAGATATTATAATACTGAATTACTTTAATCTCAACTTACTCAGTCAGTATAAGACTGATATATCTGAGAATAAAATCTATGAAATCTTTTCACAGTTGATATCAGAGATCTTTCAATATTGAAAGAATCAGAGAATAATCATTTCTGAGAATATAGATAATGAATTGTCTGTGAGAGAAGACTTTTTTACAGAGTCTATAAGATACTGTGAATAAAGATCAGTGATCTTCTTCTTTAAGAAGTTATTACTCATGCAGAGAAGATATGATACTTATAATTAGAAGATATTAGCAATTATCAAATTCTTTAAGATTTAATAATATTATCTTCAGAGTAGTAAGTATTCAGTGTAAGTTCTCACTGATTATATAAATCTATGTTATTTTTTGACAATAAAGAGCTTGACAGAATGTCAAGTCAGATGAGTGAAGCTGCTTTCAGAGTATAATTTCTATATTTAATACTGTTCAGATTAGCTTAATTCTACTGATACACTGTCTAGACAGTCTGATTATAATATTATTAATATAGAGAAGAATTCTATAAAAGAATCTCTGCTATCACTGCAGAAGAAGCTGACTGCAGAGAGTTAAGATTCTCTGAAGCTTGAAAATAGTGCTGATAAAGCAGCTGTATAACTTAGTATAGAAGATAAAAGAAAATTCAGATCTCTGTAAAGAACTGATACTGAAAATCATGAGCTTCTCATATTATATCTTATAACTATTGAATTAATAAAGAATGAAATAATCTATAATCTTTCAATCTGACTACTTTTAAAATTTATTAATAAGTTACAGAAGAGAGATATCTCTACTACAGCTTAAATTCAGAAGTTGAAGAAGAAAGAATTCAGTTTAAACTTGAAAGAGACAGACTCTGAGCAGAATAGTACTGTTAAGAAATCAAGTCACTGATAACTAGAAGAATATGAACTTCTACTGCTGAATAGTTCAGTCTTCATCTCTTATAGTAGAGTAATATATTAGAAGTTATTAAGAATTTATTATAATAATTTTCATACAGAGCACTTCAGATTAGAGAAGACTGAGAAGCTTCTAAAATATAAATATATTTAAGACAAGCTTCAGACAGATGTTAAAGAGTATATTAAAACTTATAATATCTATTAAAGAATAAAGATCTTATAGTATAAGTAATACAGTGAGTTGATATCACTGTCTATTTTAAAGAGCTTATAACAAAATCTATTGATAAATTTCATAGTTGATCTGCTGAAGTTGATAAGAGTTAAAGAATATAACTCAATTTTAATTATTATTAATCACTTTATAAAGATGATTAGATATATTTCTATTTATAAAAAGATTAAAGTCTCTGAATTGACTGATCTATTTTTAGATATTATTATTCATAATCACAGTACTCTGAAATTATTAATAACAGATTAAGAATTTCTCTTTATTAGTAAATACTGATTGACTTTTTACTATTATCTTATAATAAAATATCTTCTCAGTACTGTATTTCATCTACAGACAGATAACTAGACTGAATATCAGAATCAGATACTAGAACAGTATCTTTAAGCATTCTATTTATATTATCAGAATGATTAATCTAAACATCTTCTGACTACTGAATTCATATATAATAATATAAAGAATGTAATCTTAAAGATATCTTCTTTCTATACTTATTATAAATATAATTCTTCATTACTCAGTAATATTATAAATAATATTTTAAAGAAAGAGATAGATAGTCAGAATATTAAATAGATACAGAGAACAGAGTATCTCTTAGTATTAGAAGTAAAAGTGAGATTAAAACTTTTAAATAAAATTTATAAGAAGATGATAAAAAGTATTCACTGTATTCAGAAGTAGTAGATGAAATACTATAATTAAAAACATCTTTCAATAAAGTTCTTAATAGAGAATTAAGTACTACTTTCAGCAAAGAATATCAAGATAATAAGACTGTGTAAAAAGCTCAGTGAGTGATAACTAGAATCTTTCTCAGTAATAAGAGTAGTAAGTAAATAGATATATAAGTTGAAATTACTTACAGAATTGAAATCAATTTATTCTGTTTTTTATATTTTCTATTTAAAACTTTATAAGTAATATCTCAGAGTGAAGCTACTCTGACTGAATAATATTAAGATTAAGAATAATACTGAATATCTTATGAAGAAAATATTAAATAAGTGAATATATTATAGTAAGCTTCAATATCTTATAAAATAAGAAGATTATTCATTATCAGAGAATTTATAAGAACTGTTTAAGTATTTGAAAAATGCTGAGAAAGAGATTACAAGCTATAAGATAGCTAGTAGAGACTGTCTTATTATATATTAGAGATATTGAGTAAGAAATACTACTTAAAACTTCTTATTTTTCTTAAAAAGTTTTTTTAGAGATAATCTTACAGTGATAAGTCAGTATTTTATAAGCTCTGTAACACTCTTCTTCTATTTTCTCTTAAAGAGTTTTTTAAAAGTTTAATAAGACTATATAAGTGTAAAATTCCTGAAGCAGTTAATAAGAAAAGAAAGAAATATTTAAAATTAATAAAGATTAATATTATTAATCTACAGATCACTGCTATTTTAATAGAGCTGCAGCTCACTGAAAAAGTAAAAAGAGAGATCAGAGTCTACTTATTAATAATTATATTCTCATTAAACTCATTCTTTACTGTTGAAGTCTTCAGCACTGATATCTTTATCTACTGAGAAGTTAGCACTGCAGTACTGCAGAGAAGTATGCTGTAGAAGAGTATAAGAGATACTTAAAGTATTAACTTACTAATTTATAAAGTATCTCAGTTATCTGCTTTAATTGAAGTGAGATTCTCTTTAATTAGTGATTAATTTTTATAGCACTTTTAACAGTAGTACTGACTAATCTCTTCTTAAGATCAGTTATTCTGAGATGTTTTTTCATCTCAGAGACTTATACTTTCATCTTCTTTTATAGATAAGTAAGAGAAATCTTCTCAGTCTTGATAAAATTTATCAATGCTTGAAGCTCTGAGACTCTTACTCTGTACTACTTAAGTATCTAAGCTTCTTATCAGAGCTGATATGATATCTTCTTATAGAGTAGATAATACTTACAGAGAGATAGAAGTCATTATTACAGATATAATAAAAATAACAGAAATAAGAGAAGAAGTGAATGTATAAAATTTCTCTCTTCTTCAACTACTTAGTACAGTGCAGATAAGTGATAATACTGATCAAAGACTATATTAGAGTCTCTTTATAAAGAGAAGACAAAGAAATCACAGAACTCTGCAGACTTAACTCAGTAGTATTCTGAGCAGAGCTTAGATATGTTATGAAAGAAGAACTATGAATTAAGCTTCTTAAAGCTACTGTTTCTGAAATCAAGCTCTTCTTAGAGTTCTCTCTGAATGATTACACAGAGTCATATATCACTGTGTTAATTGAGAAAGAGAGCAGCATTGCAACAGCAGTGAGAGAGATAGAGAACAGACTAAACATAGATAAACTGATCAGCAGAAGAGATAACATCTCACTGCAAGATATAACTACTACTGCTACAGCTGTAAGAGATGTAGAAGAGAAAGAAAATATAATAATAAAAGTAGTACTTCTGCAGCTTATTAACACTGCTGTCTTCATCTTTAACCTGACTTTCTTAACAGTCACAGAGACTGCAGCTGCATTATAAAGATATTTATTATTTACTAGAAAATATCAGAATAAGCTCTTTATTATTCTTCAAGAATAATACTCTCATACACTCACTGTTATAATTGAGAAAGAGAAAAGAAAAATGTTTTATAGAGAAGAGAATCTTTTTAAAAAATTCTGTCACTACTGTTAACTTTATCTTTAAAATATATTACTTTTACAGAGAATTTTATATATAGAATGAAATATAATAAGAGATCTGTAAGTCACTTATTAACTATGTTTTTCATATTTCAAATTAATATATAAGAAACTCACTTATTACATGTTTAATTTGAATAAAGATGAGAAAAGAAAGATCTACACAGTTAGCAGAAAAACTCATCTATTTCTTTGTATAGTATATATACTATTAATCAGTTAACAACTGTTACTATATAACAAAGATAATTTCTAATTCAGTAATCTTAAGAGTATCAGAACTATGTCTTTAAAGAGAAGAGTATTATTACATCTCTAATCATATCAAGACTCTGCTGTGATTTCATATAGCTTATTACTTTTATATGAATGATTTCATTCATTCTGCAGACTATCTGAACTGGTTTTCAATCACTTTATAACATTATTCAGATATATTATAGAAAGATCTGATTAATAAATATAAGAATCTCACTTCTATACAAGATCAGCAGATTACTCTTTCTTGATAATAAGATGCTGCTAAGATATCACTCCAGCTATTCTCACTTATAAAATGAAAGAAGAGTATTCACTCATTATCTATATAGAATAGCTAGATACTGGCTTCTTATTAAAGAGATCAGTGATTTGTTTTTCTTCTACTGAAATATATACAAAGAGTTACTGTGTGTCTCATACAATCTTCTTAGTATACTAAGTATCATATCTGTGATATTCTCACAATAACCCTGTAGCCTACAAGCTCACTATTCAAGCAAGATAGTCAAGCCCACTCATACAGCTTCTCAAACAACTACCCCTATGTGATGCCGCTGACTAGCCACCGCTTCGGTTCCGCCACGTTACAATGATATTGAGATTTTAACTCTTTGTATTGAAAATGAGACTCTGTACAAGAAGAATGCAGCTCTGAAGATTAAATTCAGAACTATTACAAGCCTTCTTCAGATCACTCAAACTGTTCTTGAGAATGACATATGAGTCAGTGAGACAGGGCAGAGTGAGATGTTTTTTGTTTTTTTTCTTGCTTAGTTAGATGATGCTTTTACACTGAAAAATGAATCTTTATATATTTTTACAGTTCTATCTCTTCTATTATTATTAATAATAAGCTGTAAAATCAATCTTGCAGAGTCTTCTGTTTTGAGCTTAGCTCTGCAACATCTTTGCACACAGAGGCTCGTGTGCATTAAGATATTTTATAACTAGCAGGAGTAGACCGTTGACCACCGGCTTTTTTTTCGAGTCACCGTCTGAACCAAGCGTATGGAGTCAGGAGCGGAGGAGATCCAATGGATGGACGTAATGGAAGCTGATTGGAAACAGCAAGGATTTAATTCCTTCCAAAGTAAAAAAAAAAAAAAAAAAGAAGGTTTATGGCAGGCAGATTGACAGTCTCTTATATAAAGTATCCGAGCCCCCTTCGGAAGGCTGGGTAGATTTCGGCACACCTGTACTGCCGAAGTAACTTAAACCTTGTTCCTGGAGGACATCTCCAAGCCAGGCTGGTATGGAAAAGTCCTCCCGGCGCCAAAGAAACGATGGCCGACTACACCATGGCAACCGGATATTAATAGAGATTATTAAGCTTATATTTATTTGTACAGCTTTGGTTTGTTTACTTTCAGCAGTGATATTCAATGTTTCCCAGTACCAATCAAGGGTTTGTAATTGTGAAAGCGAATATCCCATTCGTTTCACCCTCTGGTTATTTGTCAGCCCTAATTCTCTCAAATAATGAGTATTCCGTATATTTCATCCCGTCCAAGGCAAGCGACTGCTGGCAGCAGATTAATAACAACACCTAGCGAGCTAAGTAAATATAAATCAATCATTATTGTTATTGTTATTAGGCTGGTTTGCATCAATTTTTGATATTCATATAACGTAAGACAAATGCGGAAACTTGTAGTTTGCATATAAACGCCAATAAGGGGTATTGTAAGGAGATACATGAAAGAAAACGAAGGAAAAACAAAAGAGAAGAGAGGGGAAAAAAGAAAAAGATGAATGAACGTAAGGAAACGAACTTAGTAGTGGCCTTGCCCTGGTATGATAGGAAGCAGGTAATCTGCGGACAACACGTAACAAGTAGTGCTGAAAGAAAAGAGAGTAAAGTAGGACCCTGGCGAGGAAGAAATGTATGGTATAGTGAGAAAAAGAAATAATGAAGAAGAAAAGGATGGTCGAGCGGTAGGGGGTTACATGTAACAACTGCCACGCCGTGATTCATACTCAAAGGTCAAACCACGGAGTTTCCGCTTATTGATTCAGCATGGCTATGAAGCGTTAGCTCTAAGCTTAGCCTTAATCTCATCGGCATGTACGGTAGAGTTTTGTTGATTCTGGTGTGGAAGCTGTGCCATCCACGTTGGGGGAGAGATCCCAGTTTGCTCATGAATAGTTGAGAAAAGGGGTGGAAGACTTTGCATGAGGTTCCGGATTGGAGCCGTTGAATCCTGAGATGAATCTCCAGAAGAACCTTTCAGGGGTATTAGTTGTTGTACTAGCACAAAAAATACAAGTTGTGTGAGAGGGTAGGGGATAAACTAACCGGTGTTCCAGACTGTAATCTTGGGTTCAAGGCCCTTGATAGCTTCTCCATTCGCTCTGGCAAGTGCTTCATAGGTGTTGTTCTGGATCATGAGATACTGCAAGAAGCCCTGTGGTCCGCCAAATACTTCCGCCATAGCACCGTAAGCCTTTGCCATCTCAGCAATACCTTCAGCTTCCCTTTTCTTCGCAATAAATGCAGCTTCGGCCTCTTTTGTCTTCGCTAAAAAGGCGGCTTCTGCGTGCTTGGAGGTGCGGTAGTCTGGAGAGAGTCCACCGGTTAGTTGGGCAACCCCAGGCTCAGATGAAGCTAGTACTCACAGTGTGCATCAGCGTCCATTTTCTGTTTATACATAACAGCGTCGGAGTCTTTCATTTTAGTGTAGAGGTCTGCGTCAGCGTTTTGTTCAGCCGCCTCCCTTGCGATCTTGCTCTTAGTAACATCGAGTGCCCGGAGTCGTTCCAATTCCGTTTCTGCACGTTTGGTTTCGACCTGCTTCTGCAATTCGGCATCCTTCATTTCCGCTTGACGTTGGGCGGATATCTTCGCAAGCCGGATGCCCATGTCCAGCTCCGTTTGCCGATTTGTAAGCTGAGCATCTGCCTGTGCCTTCTCGCTTCGACGTTTGGTTTCTAGAACTGCGGTTTCTGCGTCGATTTTGGATATTTCTTGCTTTGTTTTGCCTCGTTTTTCGGCTTCACCAATTTCACCTCTCATTCGAGCCTCTGCGACGTCGATTTTGGCTTGATTCAGTGCACCTTCGTGCGCTTTTCGGCTAAGCTAAATTGCCAGAGGGTCAGCACTTAGTGAAGAGTATCCCAAGTAGAATTATACACTTACCAAGGTGAAATATTCACTTCCAGGAGTATCTTGAAGTTCTTTAACGTTGGCGTTGTAGCTATGGCCATCGAAGTAAGTATCATAGACATTGTTCCATGGAAGCACAACGGCACTCACATCCTGAGACCAAATTGATCCAGCTCGTTTTGGACATTTTCAATGACATGCTGCTTGAAGACGTGTCGCTCTTTGAAAATTTCCTCCATTGTCATCCCAGAGACAATCACGCGAGTCTCGCCCTCGATGATGCCCTTGACGATATCTTGAACATGGTTCCCTCTGGTGGCCGTTTTGGTGGCTTTTACCCCATCAGCTTCTCCTGATAGGAGAAGAGCATACTTCTTGAGAGCCTCAATATTATTATCAGGGCCGATTGTGAAGACGGCTGGGAGGGCAAACTGAAGCTTTTCGATTGTCATAGCCTGGAGATTCATGGAGAAATCGAATGGAGAAATTGAAATCCGGGTGCACTAGAAGTCGAGCTGTGTTAGGCTCCTCGGTTTTCATTTGGCAAGCAGCCTGCTCCTTAGACATTTCTACGAAAGGTGGAGATATCAATACGCTTTAGCTACTCACTTTGTGCCATGGCATCACAAACGCCGTTTTCTTAATAACCACATCACTAATGCCGCCTCCCGTGAGAACGAGATACTCGTTCGGCTCTGAGACGTGGTACCTAAAAGAAAAATTCGAGTTAATCGGCATGAAGAATGAGTAGAAATCGTACTGAAATAACCAGAATACAAGCATACCACATTGTCAATCTTGGAATATTCTTTATCACTCGATGGATATTGTACTATCAAATAGCATGGAGCTCGGGATGCCAGTATCAAAATCAGGATAAAGTGAAGTAGGTGTAATTCAAATAGAATGCAGCATTCGAAACGGGGGCCAGGCTGATATATATAGCAAATACGAGAAGCTCTTCACTATGAAGGTCATAGTTATCATAACGACATTGAAGGAAGATCAGCCTTCTCTGCATCCAGATTGAGAACGGAACCTTGAGGAGCTCGGCAGCACCAGCCTTGTCCCCACGGGGTTGACTACGGCAGGACTCAGGAGCGGAGCATCACAATTGACCAATCAGGGAAGTCCCGCAGCAACATGCAACATGCACTGCACTCACTAGCACCGCGTTAGTCAAACTCTGGTGGGGATCTCGACACCGCGGCCAAGCAAGGGTTTTGGTTGGATACATCGAGGCAGATTTTAAGCCGCATCAGAGTTGAGATATCTCGAAATGAGTTCAATAGATCCATGGATCACGAAGAATCGATACAACCTAATGTATTATCATAGCGCACTATCCACCCCTTTTATGCTAAGGCTGAGTTCCGCAAGATGTCATGAACACCTTTGAACTTTCACCACGAGTGATGCCCGTCAAAGTTCCCTGGCACACAATATCAGCCACTGGGGGCACAATCACCAGTCCCTCAGGGGACTCAGTTGAGAGGCTAATACTCCGTATAAGGGCAAGCAATGCAGCTAGCAATCAATGTGTGAAGATGAAATCCCCTCAATATGACCCCCAATCAGTGATTGTTTGAGTCAGGCTTGCTCTGATGCTTCTGGAAAGGCGAGCCGATTAATCCACATGAAAGCCACTGGGCCCAAAACGGCAATATGTCGTGTTTTCTGAAGCCGCGGAGCTGTTTTGGTTGGTTCCCCTAACTAGTAGTATGCTGGATTATTTCGCTAATTTGCCATGAGTAATTGGGCGGACAAGAGGGCAAGTCGTTGCCGAACCCGAGGGGAGTGAGGCGGAGCCCCCAGGGCTTGGCAGGAGGAGAATCCCGTGACGTCTGGAAGTCTGTAAAGGGCGGAGACTAAACCCGAAGTAGTCTAGGGTCAGCATGGGGCTGAATTGACTCCGCCTCCCATTCTGTAGGCTACCTACTGGGGCAAAAGAGCTCAATCACCACCAGCGCACTGCTGGTAGAAGGGCCGGCTACCACAGAGCACTACTCCTCTCAGGGACTCCTCTCAGGGACTCCTCTCAGTGGCTCCTCTGAGCGGCCTTTTTTTCTGGACTCACTTCTAGGGCTCACTCCAAGGGCACACTCCTAGGGTGTCTCTTGGCACTGTTAATGTCCGGGATATTGTTGGGATTTTTATTCTTAAGTCCATCCTGGGATTGAACCCATGCATGTTGACCACAGCGGGGCTCACGCTAACCGGGCTCATAACCTGTAGGCTACTGGGTCAAAAGAGCTCCATCACCACCAGCGCACTGCTGGTAGAAGGGCCGATCAACCCGGGACCCCCAACACATTCGACCGCAAGACAGCCCTGGGAGTTTTCCCCACCTTAAACTTGCCTTAGACTTCTTAATTAGAACGACCCTCTGCGAGGGATTCACACGTGTTGCGACCTCATGGGCGGGGTGGTCAGGACAGATAAAGAGAAATTGAAATCTTAACCGCTACCTAAACCCAGTTTCGTATTTTGTTTTTGAAGCAAATCATGCCAACACCAAACACAGCCCCAGAAGTATGTACTGTACTGTACATACATACATAGACTCACCATATTTGAATTTTAATTATTCGACGTCCAAGTTAAGTTGATAGTGACTTCTGTCGAGCAACGAGACATTTTCCATCGACGAGCAGGGACTCGGGCCACAAGCTACAGGCATCTATCCCGTTGGCGAATCAACTTTGCCATAGTCACCCCGCATCGAGGAAGCATCGTATCTGGGTTCGTTGATTCACTCAGCTATCTTTCAAAGAATTAGAGCTTGTTTCGCACTCAGCTGAAATAGCTCGCTGCAGAGCAACAGTTGAATATCAAATCCCTCTGCGGGCTAAAAAGAACTGAAAACGAGAACGCGATTAATTCGATTGCGCCCTTCATTATCATCATCGTCATGGATTCAAACCCTTTTGACAACCGCCTGGACGACCCGGCTCCTGCATATGAGGAATCACTCCCCTCTGTAGTTTACAACAAGGACACAGTCAAAGACATCCCCAGCTCATCGCAGTCTCGACTACCTCTGTCAACTCAACTCGCTGACACCCGGACCCAACGAGTCGACGCCATTCTCACAAAATACGTCGAACCCCTCTTACTCTCGCAAGGTGCCTCAGGACTCTACAAAACAACGTTTGTCCTTGTGCCTTCATCCGTCTCCAGCCTGCAAGATGCAGTCAGCAACGCCTACACGACGCCCGAAGAACCTCAAATCGTCGGCTTCCCGTCCAACGAAGTCGTCAAGCTGATCCGGCTCCAGGGCGAAGAGAACGCCATGGAATTCTGGCGGCAGCCAGCCGTTGTTGCGGAGCTGGACTCTGCTCTGAAAGCAAAACTTGCTGCAAGTGGCCATCGACTGTATCAACCCTCATCCAGCGGCGAAATGACCAGTGATGTTGTCGATGCAGCGAGTTCTCCAGCACCCGCCCCGGAACCCGCCGCGAAGACGATAGCAACAACAAAAAAGTCGTTTTGGGGGCGTACGAAAGACTTGTATGCCTCCAAGGGGCAAGATTTGAGAGATGTCGTCATTGTCGACCGGAAACTTGGTTGGCGGGCGTCTGGAGAGCATGATGCAAACGCACCTGGGAAGATACCTACGGGCCTGGTTGACGTATCTATTGTGTGGAAGGAGGTGTGCTTACGAATTGCAAACGAGATGGGCCTGTATGAAAGTAAAAAAGGGCCTGCGCTTTGTATGACAGTTGAAGTCGGATCCTAGTTGCGGATTTTATGATTGAATGAAACGAATAAACAAAAAGAATCCCAAGTTTAAATGTACCAAATAGTTCTTCCCGGCTGCAATACGTGTCCCAATCTATGTATATATATATAAGGGACATTTGTAACCTCAAGTCGAGGAATTTATTTAGCCTCGGCTGAAGAAGAAATATTTTCAAAGAAATAACCAGGCCTCAGCCAAGCTCACCACATCAATATAAGACTTTGTCACGGATCCTGATTATGAACACATTGCCAGACTCAGGAATATAATGGTCTCACAACAAAGGAGCAAGATCTATTGTAGCAAAGCTTGGGTAGGCATAAAACCCGAAACACGGATACTTCCAGTATCTGCTGGCAATTCAACACACAGCAATCGGCGAATGTGTGCTAATTGTAAACATTTCGCTCAGAGCTTGTTAAGAATAGCACTCCTGGCAATCTGGAGTAGAATGGGAAAATTAAATTCAGCGATACGTATTTTCGAAGAAGGAATTGGAAAGAACCATAACAACCGAAGGGATAAGTTGAAGGAAAATACTTACAATGCTCCTAAACCTTTTCCCATAGACATACATCGGGATCGTCATCACACTAAACGCAAAATTAAGCACAGTAATCCAAGTGAAAACCTCCCTTGGTCCCTGAGCCGAGTACCACCCATTGACAAACATGCTGGCAATAAAAATAAACACAGCCTTGGAAAAATTGATCGTGACAAATGCCTGGTTAGCATCTTTCGGATGGCAGTCAAGCACGTATGTGAAACTGGCCGAGGTGGCGAAGGGGATGGATAGGGAGTGCAGAGCCATGAAAGTAAGCGGGACAGCTAGAGGGGCGCCTCGGTCAATGCTCAGCCCATACCCTATAAATCCTACCGTGGAGAATATCGTCGCGGGAATCATTAGCAGAAGGCGGAACTCGGGTTCGTAGATACCCTTATTTCGCCGTGCCATGAAACACACGAGCCAGTCGGCAGTGGCACCGGCAAGCGGGGTCCCGATAAGAGCGACGCCAAGCAGAGGGAGGTTTGTCAGGCCTATTTGGGAGGGTGTGAGGCCATATTGAGGGCCTGAGAATATATTTGTGGATAGAATGGCGAATACCACGAGCCATGTCAGGAAGCTGCCGTGGATGAACGTGCTGAAGACGACTGCTGGGAACATGATCAAAGATAGTGGCTTCGCTGCTAGCACCCAGAAACTTTTATTCGATATCCGGCCATTAAATACTTTCAATTCCTGGCTATATGGTTTCTTGGAAGCGTTTTTGCCGCCGTGAGCAGTATTGAGCTTTTCGTCAACCTGTCCAGGTTTATGCAGCAAGTCGGCAGTTTCAGGAACTAGGAAAAATATTGCGGGCAGAAGTATGCATAATACTAATGCTACGATGCCGAAGGGAGTTAACAAGCCGAGATTCTGAATAATATATCCAGCCACAACTTGGCTGAAGGTGGTGTTCAGCATTTGTCCCAGCTTGTACCAACTGCCAACAGCCTGACTGCCATCTCACCTAAGTATGATACCGGAGACAATCGCTATACTCCAGATGGCGAGCTTCTCGCCTCGTTCGTGAACAAAGAATATATCAGATACAGTGGATGTTACCAAGGTTTCTAAAGGGGCAGCTGATATGCCCTGAACGATTCGCATGATCCACAGCGATTGGAAGGACTTTAAGCAAATATCAACATAAGCCTCCACAATCTTGACGAGAATGTGGGAAAACTCACCTTCGCAAAGTAACCCCATATGCACGTTACTAGTAATACCCCCGTTGATATAATGAATACCGGACGTTTGCCCCAGACGGTTGCTGCCGCTGCGGTGAAGAAGGTACCTCCTCCAGTGGACAGGATCAGAACGCCAACTAGAAATGTCGAAACTTGATCCAGTGATACTTTATATCTTTCAGAAGCGACGACCAAACCAGGGGCAACTATAGGCCCAACCCTAAAATTCCATTGCCAAAAAACACATCAGTAAATTCAAGATCGCCAAAGTTAAGCTGGCGTTGACAAGGAGGGCGCTCACGAGACGGCAACTCCAGACGCCAGGGCCAACGTCCACATAAGGAGGTTTTTCTTAACATCCGACCTAGCAGACAAATAAGCCCAAAGGCTCCCGCCGCAAAGATGAAGTACCAAAATTTACCAGTTGTATGGCTCATTAATGTTGTCACTTGGTTGAGGCACAAGAACAACACCTCGCTTCGTCTTCAGATTTAGGTTCTGTGAGTCAGATTCTAACGATTGCATTAGCACTACTTTTCACATTCTGTTGAGAATTCAATACCTACCCTCAGTGTTCCTTTTATCCAAGAGAGATGTCCCTGGAACGTCTGCCAGCTTATTGTCATCTAACACCCCCCATGCCATCTTAACTTTCTCTATAGTGGTTGTCCTGTTCCTTTCTCATGTAAGGATAAACCACTGGAGAATCAAGAAACTCAACGAAAAACAATGAATGAATATGAATGATAGCACGAACAATAGGCGTAGAATAAAATATATAAATACTAGATAAATTCAGCACCTATCAGCGATGTTATCGAGTAAAGATGATTAAAAGCATCATTATCAAGACAAGAACCAGCTATGCGGGCCAATATCTGAGGCGTCTGGGTTAGTATAGATGTTTACTCCCTCAACAGGTGGGCCCAACCACGCCTATCAGATTTTCCGCAACTGGCATTTCCAAGAGGGCGAAAAAAGGAGAGATGTAACGGTATGCACTTAAGTCAAGCTCGTCAGGTTGGCTAACCGGTTAGACTGTAGATTTTTGTCCGTGGGTTTTATTTTTTTGAGCCTTGGACGTCAGACAAACTGGGGTAGAGTACAATATGAGGAAGCATGATTCCGCAAACAGCGTCTGAATCTCGAATTTTGAGCAATCTTTGCCGGTTCATTGTGCGCCAGTCAGTATGCCACAAGACCCAATCAAACAATGGATCACTTGTGCGCGATCGGCTTTCCTGGATGCCCAACAAACTGGTTCATTATTCGGAGTTTTGAAATGCCACTTCCAGGGTTGTACATTCCTTGTCACCCCAACTGGAGTTTTCTAGAGGTGTTTTGTCTCCCGGTGCTGTCCCCATCTGATGCAGTCCTCCACGAACACGTAACTGACTGAAGGAAACCATAGAAGATAGCTTGATACCAGCGCGTTTTCGTAGCAAAGACTTAAATGGCGATAGAAATGGGGCCATCCAGGCTCCCTTGTCCTCTTAGCTGCTCCTTTCCACCCCTTCCTTTCCCTTTCCGCCGAGCCAGTAAAATCCTTTCCGAGGCCCTACAAGCAGAGACACTCGACTTTGGACATTCTGCACCTCGGCGCTCATTAAATATATAACACATACATTTGACGCGCGGTATTTAGTCAACTAAGAGTCAGTAGCATCTACCACATTTTCCTGGGGTACATCTCTCATGTGGAACTCCTTTGAACCAATTTCCTCGCTGAGGGGGTAGTAGCGGTGCGGTTGCTTCAAGGAAGTAAGGACGGGTCATGGGTGGGTGGCCCAGACAGAACGACTTGTGACCCAGTAATGGGGATGTTTCCGAGATGCATTCATCAACATACAGATCAGAAATGAAGTCCTGCGTGCCGTATGTGGTTGGGTTATGTTACGCGATAACTCTCGAGTCGATCAAGCTCCGTTTAAATCTGGGGTTTGTTGCAATTGGCGAATCAACTGCCGAATGCCGAATGCCGAAAAGCAATATGACTAAGCCAAGTATTTTCAATCACATGATTTCCCCCCCCCACCAAAACTTGTTAGCATGACTTCATCGTGATATAAAAAAATAAACATAGTTACTACGTGCGAAACAACCACTACAGCAACTGTACAACTTCGTTGATTATCACGGGCTCATTATATCCCAGATAACGAATCGAAGCGAAGAAATTTAGTAGGTTTATTTTCATTCTCTTGTTTAAACCCTGGGGTTAGTATCACCGCGATCCAGTACTCCGCATGAACCGCTTCTGCCCTCTGTCGCTCAGACTTTCCGCGAATTATCGTGGATCGCTTGATTTTGTAACCATGATCATCTATCTATGCCTTACCATGATAAACTAACCTATCCCAATTTGTTCTTTGACGTTTATGGAATTATTATCCTGCTGTTGATTTTAAACTGGGTAGTTACTGTCCTTTAACCCCCCACCACCCAACACGCCCACTCTTCTACAATCAAGACGAAAGGCCGTAGTACAAAACAAATTGGATTCTTCCAAGGTTGTATTTGAACTGACTTCTACGTCCCATTTGCTCGCTTTTTGTTTCGCGGGTCATACAATCACAATTTATCATCAGTTTTCAACCACACCTGTATTGAAAACCGAGCATCAATGTTCATTTATTCTAACTCCCTGACACAATACAGATATCCACTGTCACGAATTGCGATTACGCAAGTGCAACAGAACGAAGCACCATACGATCAAAAATGGCGCCTCTGTCCCCCCTCTCAATTGCAACCTCAGCGGTGCGGCGGCTAGTAAAGGAGGAAGCCTCATACCACCGCGAACTAAAACAGCAGGAGGAACGCATCAAACGTCTCGATGCCGAGCAACCGGGTGAAGATGAGGATGGCAATCGGGAATTTATGCTTAGACAAGAGGTATTTCCTGCTGCAACCCCAATTCCATTGGTTTCTGTTAACTTGATAATCTGACTCGTGTACAGCGCCAAGCCCTGGAGGAGACGAAGAAAGTCTTACCGAATATGAAGCAGAAAATCTTAGAGGCTATCGCTAAGGTTGACCATTTACTTGTGAGTTTCCTTTTCCATCAGATCCTGTGCGTCTTGTTCTATTGGGGATTGTCTCGAATATCTCTAGACTCCTTTCCCTGTTCGTGGAATTTTTCTAGACACCTTAATTTTACTTCAGCATATTAACTATTGGTTGATATCCAGGTTGAGGAAGGACAGAAAGGAATGGGAAGCAATGTGGATGAAATCAATGCCGCGAAGGAGGCTATTTCACAAGCGATGACGGCCGTCAGGGAGGTGTCATGATCTCTTACTTTGGCCTCATTTTCATATTTATTTCTCCATCTGTCTGTTTCGAAAGAGTTGTAAATCTATAATCTTCCAATATATATTTTATTTCTTTCTAATGGCAGTTCACTAGTTCAAAGTACGGATATTAGTCCATGAATTGCTATTTACAGTGATCACATAGCTACAGAATAAACACCCAAAACGATTCTAGTAGCGCAAGAGCCCTTCGCTGAATATAGTAATTCCTATTTTAGGACCAAAATGGCGGTGATGGCCATTAAAACCCTTAGAAATGTCCAATTTCGTGCCATGTACTCCGTAGAGGATCCGAGGCTTCCTTTTTGGGAGCGTCTGTAGTTACCATATGTCATGATTATATAAATTCGGGCTGCCCATCTTAGTTATGTAGAACAGCAGCCTGGTCGCGGCCAAACAAGTGGCGTCCTCACAAGCGAAAAAACAGAATAATAAACTAACTGACCTGCTCCCTTGGCTTCAGTGGCTGAAACTACAGCGTAGATGGAGGGAATAATGCCTCGCTTGTCCACGTATAGCTATACAAGGGGGCGGAGCTAATTTAATTTGACATCTGCCTAATGGCTTGCGGCGCGGGGAACTGCCAGGAAGAGACTATTTATCAATCCCCCAAGCGATGCGAAAGAGAGTCATCTTCTCGGTGTCGGATGCTTGCGCTTTACTTTTCTCATTACTTATTTTGGACGTCGCATTTGCTTCTATCTACCATCCACATGAAGTAGCAGAGTGCTGCTCGCAGTCAAACATGAGTTCATTCACAAAATGCCGATCTGCTCTTTACACCCCTGTCGTTGACGAACTTCCAGTGTACGTGGAGAGGGAGGATGGCCTTCCGACATACGCAGGAGATGAAGATGACCAGGAACAGCGTGAACGAGAAGATGACCAGGATAGGGTCCAGTCACTCCTGAACAAACTTTTGCGATCCAGTGATGAATCTCAACTTGATCCCCACATTGTCAAAGACCTGTTACGGGATGAGCATCAAAGATTATCGGATATCATATCATCGCGCACTCAGTTTGGGACTTACCTGCATGAGCTTGCAGCGGACGAGTTGTCATTCCTCGCGCTCGCCGTCAACTGTCTTCTTTTTGCATCCATCTCTACGGGGAAGAGCGAAACTATTTCATGGCTTATATCACAGAAGCTGACTACGCCCAATATCCTCGACAGGGATGGTATGTCTCCGTTGCTAGCTGCTGTAAAGGCGGGAAGAACACGAACCATTCAAGAACTAGTTGATCTCGGCGCAGAGCCTGATGCCTATGCGATTTCGGTAGGAAGCTTCTTTTATTTTGCTCGAGGTCGTTTGCAGGAAATAAAATGGTTTCATTCGTTCCAAAAATAAAACGGACTCTTAGGCCATCCAATTCATCATCACGCTAACTTACGCTCAGGGGTTTCGCTCATTGAACGCCGGGCGCGCTGCCATCAGGAGAACCCCGCTACAACTGGCTGCTGAGCTTGGAAATCTTCCACTTGTCAAAATGTTCATCGAGACCTATCAATGCGATGACTCCAAGATCGCACCAGACGGACAGCTTCCGCTTCGCTTGGCATCAAGAAACGGCCACAGGCATGTTGTCGATTATCTCCCTGTACGTCGAGGGGGCGGATGGAAGCGATGGAAGACCGCGCATGAGGTGTCTATGATGAGAGCAATGCGTGCCCTTGAGGCCATTTTCAAATTTAACGCCTTTATCTTTTACGAAATTCCAAAATTCTTCCTTTGGACCGTCCCCAAGCAAGGACTCGTCGAGCCCCTGATGAAGGCCTGCAAATGGTGTTGGGTAAACAGAGCGGGATTCTTGCCCTGGTTGAAATATCAAGCTCAACAAACACCAGCCAGGATGAAAAAATTTGCAAAATCGGTATGGAAAGTAGCTAAACGAGTACCCAAAGCCGTCACAGATGTGCTGAAAAGTACATGGAAATTTTGCACAAATACCCTGCCAAAACACACCTGGAAAGTCCTCACGAAAGAGATACCGAAAATTGCCATCAGTGTGTCGAAGTGGATGTGGTTCATACTGACATCCGTTGCGACCACGATAGCGAGCCTTTTTCAAAGAGTCGCTTCACTCATTCATACCATACTCAGCGCTGTGGCCTCCTTCTTCCGCGGCCTTACTCTCACGGACATCTGGAATGGATTCTGCGACGTGCTACGAGTAATATTTGTCTCATTCCCACTTAAGGTGTATGATATAATGCTCGACTTCGGAGAGTTAACTTACAAAGCAATGGGAGCGCTTTTTGGGTTTACCGGTAAAATACTGTGGCATACTGGCTTTGCACTGATTTACCTAGTTACTTATATCCCGAAACATATATGGACCGTTATAAGGAGCATAGGGGATTCGATAGCTAAAGGCTTCAATGAACTCCGGGTCTGGGTGAATCCTAAGGGATGAATGCCAAGTTTGAAAACGAGGAGTTATGGAGCAAGTCATACCTTATTTATTTCTTCACCAATTCTATTATGGGTTCGTTTGTTTGATAGCTCATTCTGTAATTATTGACTGACTTTCTCCTCCGAGAATCAAACTCGTGTAATTGGCTCACAATTTTGCACTGCTAATGCATCAACACACCATGGAGTATTTCGAGTATGCCCTGTTATATTTTGCTTGGGAACCGACATGTATTCAACCGAACTGTAGCACGGGTATCAATATCCTCGTTCATGTCGCTACTTCACTAGCTGGTGTCCATCTTGTCCCCAAACCTGTCTTCAAGGGAGCCTTTCGCATGCCGCGACTCCGCAGCTCTTGAGCCGGGCCTTGTACTGTCGCCGATTGTCTCCGCCAGTCCCGATTCAGATCCGGTAACTTCCCCTTCATCTATCATATTTTCATCCTCCGGCTCCTGCGTTGCCGGCTGCCCATCGGTCGACGACGCACTTATCGCTTGTCGCAGTGGAGTCACACCACGGGTAGCCAGCGGGCGTTGTTTATCTGTTTGGGATGGTGCCGAGGTAGGCCCCGAGTCTTCATGCCCAGCATGCGAAGGGGTTACACTATCTTGATCTGGCTTCGGAGTCCCAACCGCACTTCCTCTCCCTTTCGAGCCGACATCTCCCTCATCACCCTCCTCTTCTTCCTCCATCCCTTCTCTCCTCTCAACTTCCTCTTTCTCATCCCTGATTAACCGCCGAAGGTTCATCCCTTCCTCCACAATTCTACCAAATTGCTCTCTGCGTTCACTCCATGTCTGCGCATATTCCCTGCTTTCCTGCTCCAACTGGGAGATTTCCGCATGTAGCTTTTGGAGGTTGGCCTGTTGATCCTCCCTGGGCCGTAGCAATCGATTCGAAGTAATCTTGTCCGCCAGATCATCATATGTCTTGCGCAGCGCAAGAGTCTTCTGTGCTTCTTCCAGTTGTATCCTCAACTCAGCCGTATTATCCTTCACAGCTTGCGCTGTTGACTGAATTCTCAACTTTTCGGCCGCATAACGTTTCCGCTCTTTCTCATTGCTTGCAAGAAGAAATTGGATTCTGGCAATACTACTTTCAAAAGCAGCAAAGTCGAGTGTTATATCTTCGCGAAACTGGCACCATTCCTCCAGTTGCTTCTGCTTGACAGCGTCGGCCTGAGCTGCCGACGCTTCTTCATCGGTTCCTTCGGGCGGTGGGGTGGGAAATAACGTAGATGGCGTGGCTACCAAGGAGTTAGGAGTAAGAAGGCGTTTTGTGATTCGTTTAAATGGTTTTTCTTCCACGTTTAGAAGCCGTGTCTTATGAAGCGCATCTAGATATTAAATTTAACGCAGTTAGAAAGATGATGTGAACACGAAAAAGGGGCAGAAATAGCTCCACCGAATACAGACCTTCAGAAGTTTGATCGAGCAAAGTATAGGATTCCATGGTAATCCTCGACGGCAAATTTAAATTTCATAAATAGGATGAGGATGAGGATAGCTGGGCGAGTGCTGAGGCATTCGTCAATAAAAGAGGTGAAATTGAAGCTGTTGCCAGACAAAAGAACGATAGCCAATGCCAAGCCTGAGCTAATCAACCTTGGAACGAGTCCACCTATCCCGAACAGGTTAGCGGCATCTTGACAACATCACAACTTGGCCTTCGATGGCTTCAATCTCGCCTTGCCAACAACGAGATTCCTCAAACTCAACTTCCTTCCCCCCCCTGAAACGCGGATAGATGGACTTGAAATGGATAGAAGAGCCACTTGAGCACGTATATTTGCTTTCCTCCTTTTGCTTTATATTTCATGTTGTGAACTCCAGGACCATTGAATTTCTCGAACCGGCTAGATAGTGGTGAATTACGCAATAAATAAAAGCACCCTGTCTAACACGTTATTTTAGCTCTGATCTAGGTGTGTATGGGTATAACCTATGAAGGAAGTTTGATGTATATCTAGATGACTAAATTGATTCTTAGGATATTTTTACCAACCACGTCTAAAATGGAGGGCATGTATACTGGGCTTCAAAGGAGGCAATTATTCGAGTCATTGGATGCTTTTAAAGCATTTGTACGTGCAGCATCAATAAAACAGTGCTGGAACATGTGCGTCATCAGAAGCAACAAGGAGAGCGTCGCTTTGGGTTGCAGGTCATCCTCCGATTGTACGTTTCGCGCCATCTGCCGCACAGGCCATGACTACACATACGTAACCTCTGTCACCGACGTCCATTCCTGTCGCGCTTCGCTAGACGCCCCCATACCACCCATTCACCGAGCTCAAGTCTCCCGCCTCGCCTTTCTGATGAATGAAATCCCGAAGTTTTTTGATACCAGTACCAAAGTCACATCCGAAGAGGCTGCGGCAGCTATCAAACGATATTATGGCACTGAAGTGTCCCCCAAACAGACATATCGCGCTTTAAGGAGGCTAGGTATGCACCAGGGTAGACGTCGAGGTCGTCCGCCCCTTCCTAGCGTGACATGGCCAATAGCGGATGATATATCCAATCACGCCATCGGGAATTCCCAACCACAACCACCACAACAAGAACTGCAACAACAACCGCAGCAACAACCGCAGCAACAACCGCAGCAACAACCGCAGCAACAACCACAGCAACAACCACAGCAACAACCACAGCAACAACCACAGCAACAACCACAGCAACAACCACAGCAACAACCACAGCAACAACCGCGGCAGCAGCAGCAACAGCAACAACATGAACCAGCTGTGAACAAGTGGTCACAAAACTTACCCATATTGCCGATCGATGTCGACACTGATCACGATGATGGCGATGTTGACTTCGACATTCTAGAAAGTAGCCGCATTGCGCCTCAACCAAGCATGCCACAACCGAGCCCGGAGACCGTCGCTCGATCTCATCATGTCCCTACTGCACTCAATTCTGCGCCTCCTAATAAAAGCCAAAATTCAGGCAGTGGAAATAATGATACTCAACCCACCCCACAAGGTCGTACCCAGGCGCGCAACGTTCAGCGCCGTCCTCCCAAAGTGTCCGCGGATGTGAAGGTTGAGTTTCCGTGCGCAGCTTGTGGGGCGATTAACCAAGGATTCTTTCCTATCCGGGGCCAAGCCACAACTACGATAGTTGGCAATCAATTGATAGGAAGTGGGAATCATGTCGCCTACGATTTAGGTATGCACCAGTCAGAAGAAGGGTCATGACCCGTCAATCTTAACTGCTTCTATGTTAATATGTATAAATATACTATGTTACTTCTATGCTTAGTTTTTTACCCGGACACCACATGTCCTATAATATGTATATAATCAGAGCTCAGCTTACTGTTTAGATGAGCGGGATCACAACAACGAAATATATTTTGCAACACAGGCTTGGATGGAGGCGGCGCTCTACTGGTGGCGGTCGGGTGGCTACCCATATCATCTTTTCTACTTGACAAATGCTTGTCAAACATTTTTCAACAACTTGACACTCCCCCTTCAGCCCTATTTCGGCAAAGATGAATTCATGAATTGTGTTAAAGTACACGTCAACCGGGTACCATCTCCCGTCTCTCTTCGCTCGCCCTCTTCGCTCGCCAATCCGCCTCTCCACACAAAAAGAATCTTGGACCCGCTCTTGTTTTTAGTTACGTGTAAGACTCAACTCTACAGGCGACAAGCACGTTTTACAAAAGCTACATTATGCTACTGGGAACTACCTATTTTCGCCAACCTCTACTATGGGATTGGGACAAAACATACTTCAATTGCAAGCATCCCAAGACTTAGCGGCGGCGATCCATGCCAGTAGCGCAATAGTGGGCCGCGCTGTCAAATTAAGCTTTTCCGGGCCGAAGCTACACCAATAAATTCACGTGATATACCTTATTTCAACAATTCTTGCCATCCGAACTTATTCCCTTGAACCTGCTAACAATGATCTTGATATGTTACCAGGTTATCACCTTGGTAACATGTGCCCGTCTCTCCCGCTGACAAAACGGCACGCCCACTCTGCTCCAAGTTAGGGTTTCTGTATATTCTTCTCCCTCTTCCTTTTGCTTGTTATCCGCCTTTCTCCTCAATTATCGTCTGATACGGCTGATTGAAGCCAAGAGGGTGCTTTCGCGCAATGTTTAGCTACGGTTGGGAGAGGCGCAAATATATGTTAGGTCCCTCAATTAGGCTTCTTGAAGGGAAAAAACCAAACCACAGACAGATGGCAAATTTTCTAGGACAATGGGGACCCAGCGCGCGACTTCCAGAGGTACCTAAGATTATATGTTATACTAGGCATCTAAGGCGAGGAAATTGGGTTCCTTCCGCGATGTTGGCTGCGCTGGTCACCATGTTTACAACTCCCAGTACATGTCACCCCGGACAAATTCTATACTGGAAGTTGTTTCTGGTTGCGATGCCTGCAGAGAGTCTTGTGAGTTAAAATATTTGTCAAAGCCAGTAACTTATCTTATATACAATCTTTAGCTTCCCTGCTGTCAATAACAACTTTTTCCTCATGTTAAATTCTCAGCGCTGTTGCTTCTACATCTATATCACTCTCTACCTTACCAGACACCTCAACTCATTTAGAATCACAGGCTACAAACTCTGGGTGTATGAACTCTGAAGATGACTGAGAGGCTCAGTGATCTGGTCACATAAGTATTGTGAAACTCAAGTTATGCATCCCATCGCTGGGTGCGGAGGACAAGAGCTTTTCTTATGCTTACCCTTGACTACTGCATAGTTTTCACGCGGATAAAGTTGCACCTCAAGTCCATGACCATCATGATCTTGCGGGCGGTGATGAACCGATAGTCGACTCTAAGCCCAACAAGGACTTGAGTTCTCTCCAGCAAAATATATCCTCTTCAGGCTTTGAATTTCTCGGTTACACATATCTGTCTATCAAAACCAAATATCGGTGTTCGGATCATCCAGCCACCGCTAAGATACGGAGTTGGGATTTGGGGAAGCGTTTTCCACTGCGCAAGTGCATCTACTTGTGCTTTTCCTTTTTTCGATTCCGACTTCCCATTTACTTTATCCCTCTATCCGTCTACTTTCTGCGGCCCACTTTTTCCTCTTTGCTCTTGGTATAAGCTCTTGCTAGAGCTATCTCCTCTTATATTCCCCTAAGGAGAATGCCTCCTAGCTCTAATTGGGATTGTTTAAGAAATGAGTTTGTATCACAGCGAAGAGTTATATATATAACCTATAGAATTAGCAAAAGGCGGGGAAACGGATGAAATAAGGGATATTTTACCTAAAATGGAACCAGCAAACAAACACCGAGAGGAAAATAGATTTCAAACATGACCAGTCAAAATCCACTTTTCTTTTTCATTATTTCCCTAAAGACTTTTACACTCTTTAACTCATTATCCTTCCATTATGACCATGACCCATCTTCGCATCCCAATAACCATACGAGTCAGTTCTGTACAGATGTGATGTGGCCAATCCCGGTGAGTCGGCTAAGATCCGGCTAACTCAGAACAAGTCTACCTAGCTAGCTAGCAGGACCGCGGTGGAACCTATGCCTGCATACCATACCATACCACTGCTACCAGGGGGGGGGGAAGCTATCTAGCTTGTTAAACTTGCAATCTTGCAATAAGGGCATGTCATGTCATGTCATGCCATGCCACTGCTATTCATTATGATTCCAACGGCAAGACAACAAGAATAAAGTACATGTACATACATGTACAATCTGTCAAAGCCCTACCCTACTCAGCAGGTGAGGACAGGCGGGAGGGGGGATAGACATTAATAACTGGATAACTACTAGTGTAACAATTATTAACCCGTCAGGACCCAGGAGCTCTCTCCTCTCTTGCAATAATTCACATGCTCCGTACGCACGAGATAATACTATGTATCTATCATACCCCGCTGCGAACATGGGGAGAAAAAGTAGGTTTACGCGAAAAAAAGAAACTTTTTTTCTTTCTTTCTTTTTTCTTTCATCCCAAACAAATCTCGTGGCGCACGTTTCGATTTTCCATTTTCTTCCGTACCTTGCAGACACCGCAGACTAACTTAGAATAGAAACGGCCAATTGGGAGGGTATATATGTATAGCCAGCCGCACATGGCGGGCCGAGATCGGCATTCGGTAAAAGGAAAAGGGCAGGTATCACGCAATTCATTTTGAGTTATCAATAATGCCACGGCTCTACTCTTTTTTTTTTTTTTTTTTTTTTTTTTTTTTTTTTTTTTTTGGGCTTTGATAAGGGTTTTAATTTTCGTTCCATGATATTGCTATGTGATAATAAATGGGGACTTTTTTTTGCATATGAAATATAGTAGTATGCTAATAATGCGCAGGGGTATAGAGAGACCAAAAAAAAAAAATCACATGCGAACAAACATATATTCCCGATAAGGCTATGACGACATTTCATATGAGTTTCCCAAACAATAATACCATATAAAAACAAGGGAAAAAAAAAAAAAACGTATACATAGACAGATACATGTGCTCTTCAACACAACCAGAGTTGATTCCTGATATCAATCAGTGATATTAACAACAACAACAACAATAAACTAGTTTGAAGCTCCTACCTGCTCCATCCCCCCCACTTTACAACTATCTAAAACAAGCAAAAAAAAAAGAAAAAAAAAAAAGAAAAAAAAAACCTTATCAACATCCCATTTCATAGATAGTAATTATACATACCTATACATACATATAACTATACTTTGCCTTCTACAGACAGACCGAGGTTTGTGGGCGGGCAGCGGACGAGAACTCCTCACCTACCCCCCCACCTCACGCTCTAGACGGCAGGGTGACAGGGTGACAGGGTGATCGATGACTTGCATATCTAGTTGCATATCGAGGCATGCATGAGCTTTGCCAAAAGGCATACTGTGTAGAAAGCATGTGGTAGCTACCACATGTGCGGAGTTACCGCGTGCCAAATTTGTTCACCATCGTGCAGCACCTATCCCATTTTATTCAATGGGTTTTTTTTTTTTTTTTTTTTTTTTTTTTTATTCTTGCAAAAAAGATATTATTAAATTTAAAATTGAAAAAAAAAAGACCGCCTTCCATTCATCATCTGCCATTCTACCAAAACCCACCCTGACCGACCACTCCTGTATGCTGTATAACCATATCCATCCAACCATCCATCCATCTCTATCTTAGATAAAAAATTTCATCAAATTAATTACCAAAAAAGAACCTTTGCAAGGGTATAAACAAAAGCACACAAAAATAAGGAAATGATATGATCCCGACGCATATGCTCCCTTTTTTGTTCCATGCCGTGTTCCCACACAAGAAAAAAAAAAAAAAAAAAAAAAAAAAAAAAAAGAAGAAGAAGAGTGAGAACATGCGCCAGACAGAAACAAAATTGTAAACCTGGGGAAAACAAGACGAAGAAAAGAACAAACACATGTGTCAATGCATTCATGTGTCACTTCTCATCTGAAGCAGGTAAAAGAGGCAGGTAAAATGGAAAAGGTGCGCTAGAGGACTCAGGGGTCGAAAGGAAACGGTGCCAATCACGGTAAGCGGGGGTAAGGTGGAGGGTTTGAGCGATTGGAAAGCTTCAAAAGAAAAGAAATTAAAAGTTCCCGGCACGTTATATTCACAACTTAGCCCCCTTATCATTGGGATCTTCATCCGACCCCATCTCCCAGCCATTACTACCGTAGCTCGGCCGGCCAATCGACGAAAGCAAGATGCCCACCTCTCGCTCCAGCGACGCAACCTCAGAATGTGGAGCGTACATCTTCGACCGGATCCAGGCATCCATGTCTGCATCGCTCAGCGCGCGGATTCCCGTCTCCCGATCGACCTTGGCCTCTTGGGCTGCATGGATGACTCCACGTGCCACAACGACGCTCACCTCTCTGATGCGGGTGAGGTCCGGGTAGAGGAGGCCATGTTCGAGTTCCTCTGGGGTAAGGGTTTTGGAGAGGGCTTCGGCAGATGCGTAGATCATGCTGTCGGTGACTTCGACGGCTTTGCTGAGGATGGTTCCCAGACCAATTCCAGGGAAGACGTACATGTTGTTGCCCTGGCCTGGATAGTAGGTTTTTGTCTGGCCAGCTGAGTTTTTAAATGAAAATGGCTGGAAGGGGGAGCCGGAGGCGAATAGTGCCTGACCATCGGTGTGTGTGATGGCGGCTTCGAAGTCGCATTCAGAGTTCGCGGAGGGGTTTGAGAGGGGGAAGATGATGGGTCGCTTGCTGAAGGAGGCCATGCTTCTGAGGATTTCAGGGGTAAATACGCCTCCAAGGGTCGACAGGCCCATAAGCATGGTGGGCTTGACATGATTAACAACCTCGCTCAATGTCTTCAACTGCTGGCCCTGGTTATCAGTTCGCGCAAAGTAAACCTTATGCGGGGCAAGCTTGTCGCCCCGATCAGCCGTGACAAGACCCTTTGTGTCAACGAGGTAGAAACAGGCCTTGGCGTCGTCTTCTGTCATTCCTTCGCGAACGAAGAAGTCGACAATCTGTTTGGCAACACCAACACCAGCGCTCCCTGCTCCAAGGAAGACAGCCTTATGCTCTCTGGTGGGAATGCCAGACTGCTTTACGGCATTCATGACTCCCGCAAGAATAACAGCGCCGGTTCCCTGAATATCGTCGTTAAAGCAGGTAAATCTGTGGCGATACCGTTCAAGAGCTGGGAATGGGTTCTTGAAATCCTCAAATTGCACGACAATGCTGTGTAACGTATTAGCAAAGACAAAAGTGCCTAGATAGATATTGCAAAAGGAGAGACGAGGAATCTTTCTCTTACCCAGGCCATTTCTCGGTCAGGGCGATCATCAGTTCATCCATAAATTCCAATTCTTGCTCAGGGGTCACCTTGTCTCGACGACTACCCATATAAAGAGGATCTTCTCTCAACGCCTTATTGCTCGTTCCCAAATCTAGGGTTAGAGGCAGAGTAGCATCCGGCCTGACACCAGCGCAGGCCGTGTATAGGGCAAGCTTTCCGATGGGGATACCCATTCCATTGATGCCAAGGTCTCCCAGGCCAAGAATTCTAGAGCCATCCGTGATAACAGTAATATCGACATGCGGCTGGGGCCAATTTTGAATGACAGCTGCAATGTTGCCTCTGTCTTCGTAACTGATATACATTCCTAAAACAAAACCAGTGAGTCATAAATGTCAAGAAAGAATAAGGGCTTGGAGACGAATTTTTTTTTTAAAAAAAAAGGCTTCCTACCTTCAGGTTGCTGATATATTTCGGACCATCTCTGGCAAGCTTCGCCCACAACGGGCGTGTATATCAAAGGTGTGAGTTCCTGTAAGGATGGGGTTAGCCCTGTGAGTCCTCCAATGTCGTCAAGTTGCAACATTATTTTGGTCTTCGTACCTTTAGATGGTCTACAACCAAACGGTAGAAAAGATGGACGTTATTCCTGCGGAGAGTGCTGAGGTAGAGGAACTTGTCGATGGAGGTTGGTTTGAGGGCCAACTGCCTCAGACCTATGAGTCAGTCAGCAAAATCGGCCTCAAGACCCCCCAAAAATCCCCCCGAATATACTCCAAACAGCGAAATAGGCGCGCAAATCATCCATACATCTAGTCTTCTGTGTCTCATAGCTCTCCACCCGGGGAGGCGTCAAGCCGTATGATCGAAGGTATTTGCGGATATAGCCAGGGTTTGCGGTGTCATAGGAGCTCTCTCTGTTTTTTTTGGTTTTCAGTGCGTCTCAAGTTAGCAAAAGCAAAGTTATTTCCACAACAGGACATGCCAGAGAAGAGAGAGAGAGAGAGTATATTTAGCTCTAACGGACAAAGGCAAGGAGAGAGGAAGGGGACTGGGTAGGATAGAAGAAGCTTACGAAGGAGTAGCGTTGGCAGGGGCAGAAGAATGGACGCAACTGCGCTGCTGGAAACGGGGGACACCTTGACTCATAATGGGCAAGCAAGAGGAGGAGGAGGAACTGGATGAAAGCAACAGATATTGGGCCAAGTTCTTTGGAGCATTCACAAAGCTAGAGGTTGGAAGAGGAGGAGGAAGAGAGAGGAGAGAGCAGCAAAAGTAACCGGAGTGCTTATTTATATGGCCAAACATCTGGCTCTCTGTCTGGGGAAGTGGGGAAGTGAGAAGGGAGGAAGGGGAAATAGGGACCAGGGAGTATTATTATTATAATTATTATTATTATTACGGAGTATATTGTGATTACTTCTCGAACTCGACAACAAGTCAACAAGGCATCGGACAACAGTGACAACAGCGACAACGACGACAACAACAAACGGCGCAAGGTTACTGTCTGTGTATTCCGTATACAATTATTAATTACATGCCTAGGTACTCGCTCCGTCGTTAAATTTAGTAATAAATCGCCGCCGCCTGCTACTTCCGTACTCCGGACAAGCAAGCCTAACGAGATAGCGTCCCCGCACCCTTCCCGAGAGCCCTTTAGCGACTTCTCTAGGCGGTCTTCGGCGTCTCCTCGTTCTCTACGGCTGGCACTAGCCCAGGCATTCCGGGGATCGAATGCGCTGCAAACGCCCTCGAAGGCAAGCCGAGCTCGGGCGATGTCGGGTTGGGGCAGCCTCCCATCCAAAACAGCGGCCTGGTCTGGTGGCTGGCTCCCTTGGTTCACGTTGGTTGAGGATCAGTTATCCAGTCCTTCATTAATAATGATAATAATAATAATAACTACGCTGTATTCCCTTGGAAAGCGACACTACTAATAATACCTAGAGTACGGAGTAGTTATGGACTCATGGCTGAGGCGACGAGTCGAGCCTGCGTTTCCGGGGCCATTTTCTGACACACCCGGCGGAGTAAATAACTATATCCTTTGCTGCTCTACTTCCCATATTTGAAATATCAATGAAGTCAGCTTTGAAGTTCTAGAGCGTTGCTTCCAATGTTGACATCCTTATATATATCTCGTGCTCGATTTCCCAACACTTTGATTATTGTTCCTGCTTTTTCTTTCTTTTTTTTTATCCCCTGTCCCCCTGAACCCTTTTTCCTTTCGTAATAATCCCTGAACCGAACTGGGTTTATTTAAGCTCGGTAAACTGGCGGCTTCGGAAGAGCTGGGTATGTTAGTCGCGCAATCCTAGGCTAGAATCAAGCTAGGCTAGAGGAATGTTCATTCATCCATAATTCAACCAACAAAAACGCTCGGGCGGGATTAAAACGAATTCGAGGACTGCAACTCGGCGCTGCGAACCTGTAACAACCATGGATGCGCGGTGTGTGCGGTATACTCCCTGACGTCAAGATGAAGCCGCACAACGAACAGCGAACACAACAACAGCTCTTGCCGAAGTCTCACCACTTGAAGAAAACATCCCTTTTTGATGCGCTCGGGTTATCGAGAGATAACTCCCCATTCTCAACCCGGGGCAATAACAATAATAATGCTCCAAAAGTCGCCGCGCGGAAAACCCCATGGGCTTGATTGAGCCTCTGGAGCTTGCCTAGTCACATCAGCCTGGAAGCCTCGCTGGCCCCCCTCCCCTTTTCTGATACATCCCGCATGAAGCTGTCGCTGTTAGCTTGTATCTGGAAACCCTTACCCAGTTCGAGCAGCAAATCCTGTTACGTCTTGGTGTTTTCTTTTTCTGTTTCGCTTCAGGATAGCGGTATCACCCGATATTCTGCGTCAAAGCGTGGTTGCTTCCGATTGTAATTGGTGCGAAGGTGCCTCCTTCAAACAATTGCTTTTTTTCCCTCTTCTTTTCCTTTATCCTTCCTTCTTCCCACCCGCCGCGACACGGGGGCCCAACGGTCCATGGCGAAATCGGCTGGGAATCGTTTCTTGCGCCACGCAATTCTGGACGGACGCAGGCGTGCATTTCTTCTCCAACCAGCACTCAGCCCTGGATCCCCGCTGGGTCTCCACTTAGGCTTGTAGCATGAGCGCTAGCTGCCAAGTACCTCCAACAGGGCTGCCGGGTAAGTCCGGCTCGGGCGAGGCCGCCTGGGGAGCCTGGGGAAACTGAAGCCTGTAACTAAGCTAATAATAAGAAATCACCAGCTGTTGGGTGGGCATGGGTAGCAAAAATATGACCCATCTCTTCCCCGGATTTTCTTTTTTTTTTTTCTTTTCTTCTTTCTTCCTTCTTCAAAACAGACAAGGCAGACACGAGGGACATGTGGTTTCTTTTCCAAATGCGGATGAGGCTGATGGAGCTGTAGTCTGCGTTGGAATATGACACACTCTTCAGGGGCAGAATCATTCTGTAGCGGTGGTTATTATGGAATTACAGCGGCTGAAAACAGGGAGATTTTGGTAATCACACCCTTGTCTGACTAATGCCACCACCTAATTATTCAAGTCCTCCGACTATTAATCGGATATAATAATGGTTACTACACAGAGGACGAATAGAAGATACAGTTCACAATTCTGATCTATGTCATCTCTGGTATAGAGAATAACAGCTCGAGATTGTGTATCAATGGGGAAGGGGGACTGTGATGAACAGAATCATACATATTCATGAGATTGACAGGTAGGTGCAGCGATCACATCCTTAAAATGCCTGGTTTCAACTCCTTCCTCTTATTAACTACCACTAAAGCATCTAGCAAAGAGCCTGTACTCCACAGGTTTTTATGGCTAATCGAGTCATACACACCATGAAAGTGAGTAATAATAATTAATATGCCTCCGCTTGCATGCTCTGGAATGGGAGGGTGGAAAGGAGGAGGAAGAAGAAGATTTTTCAGAGCAATTTCTCAGAACAACATCTGAGAATCGTACCCATCAGTGCTATTTCCTTTCCTTTCCCAAGCAGTGATCATATGGTATATACCGTACGGAGTACTTCGCACAGCATGGATATTTACGTAGTAGCAGGGGTGAGCAGTTGCTGTCAATATCAGTCCCTGCCTGAGCGCTAGCTGCTAACTTACCCCGGATTGACTGGGCGATTTCTGGGCTAAATTTTCCCTGCCAGTCCTGGTTTAGCTGCATAATTCCGCTAGCCACTGCCTTTTGCGTCCCATGCTGGGTACGTGAATAAAACGCACACGTGTTGCATGCGGAGGGAACCGTTGGGGAATCCCGGGCAGCTTTTGTTGGATTTTTCTGTAGCTGAGAGTGCTTGAAACTGTGAGAACAGGTGGAAACGAGTGGAAAACCTCCCTTGAGAACTTACAATCCATACATCCATATCTGCCACGATTGCGAGAGACCTGTGGCTAGTGATTGAGCGGCGAAAACAAGACGACCACAAGCAACGACCTTAGCCAGATCGAGGGGAATACTTAATTCAATAGTTCCGTGCTGCTGGAAAATACTTCTGTGCGCAGGCCTATTGAAACCCAATTCTCATTGCAGCCATGGCCCATCAAGCCCTCAATAGCGCCAGGGAGGGATGAACACATTCTGCGCCATTGCGACGCCTTCTAGGTACCTGGATGCGTGTTTCTCCGCCCATCGAAATGAGGAATAGGGCGCTTGGATGAACCAGATGAACTAGATGACTCTCATCTAGCATTCCCCTAGACACGTTTCTTCTCTCCATCAATATTAATGCCAATTCTCTGCGTAGTAAAGTACTCTACTTCGACTGTAAGGCTGGCAGCCTGACCAATATCTTGCTACCCCCCCCCCCCCTCCCCCGAACATGACATCTAGTTACCCCACAATGATAAGATACGCCGATATGGCTTGCGACGGCCCTCCAGCCCCCTGGCATGGCCAGGGTAGCATTGCACTCGAACCCAAACCGAATTCGACTGGTATGACTACTAGCCATGGCGATGGCGGCTTCCTTTTAGCCCGAGGCTTTGGGAGAAGCTATATACTATTATATATTAGTTGAGGTAATCATTGTTATTCATAGGCCGCTGTCACAAAGAGCTACAGCACCACCTAGTAGAAGAATTATAGGCAAAGAAAGTGGAAGGGTGAATTGCAGGGAGAGGGGAGCGAGATTTGGGCATAGACAACGTGATCACGCAATTTCTGCAAGACAGCGCCATTCTTTATTTTATTATAGGCTCATGTAAGGAGAGTTCCCCTAGAAGAAGCGTACTGCAAAATAGCATAAGTACGTAGTAGATAGGTGTTTGTTGAGAAGGAATAATGATATGATATGAGGGAACATCAATTACAGATGGATGTTCTAGAACAATGGCACGGGCCGGCTTGCCAAGACGGATGAGCTCATCGTCACCAACCTCCTCCAAGGCTCCAAGCTACACTCTGCTTCCCGCTTGCTTGCTGCCAAACCCTCACGCTCACGACGTTCCTTATGTTGAGAGGCGAGCTTCTAGAGTGGTTGTTTGGGTTGATCTAGTCCTTTGGAAGCTTTAATCGTCATTTTCTCTCCCTTTTGACGCCGGCCCGCAAGAAGCTAAACACCAGTAGCTATGTGGTCGTCATGCTGCAAATCGAGAAAAGCTACCAGTGGTGAAACACAGCCTCTTCTCCCCCAGAATCATGATTACGACGAAGATACAGCCCTGCAGCGTCAGCTGCACGAGAAATTGCGCACCTACCAGATGCTCAAGGCCGTCCGTAGCGGCTACATGCCCTCCACAGCCCAAGTCGTCTCCCACCTCCACGTTCTCCTTGTCTCTAGCCTTCTCAACCCGGAACCTCTAGCTATTGGCAACACCAGTCGAGGATTGATTAAGGATGTTAAACTTTGTATTAGTCTGCTCATCAATCTTCTACAAGAGAAGAATGGTGATGATCAGCTCCAAAATGCCATTTGGCAGCTGTCCAAGTCGACGGTTGAAGTTGATACCGCAAGTCTTGCTTCCAGGGGTGCAGTTGCGAAGGCTCAGGCTAATACTACCGCCGGTATTCTATGATATTTCTCAGGGTCTTTTTTCTACTATAACCTTTGACAGATTCTGCTGATATCTCAATTCTAGCTCGCGAGAGTATTCGTACCGTTGCCGGTCTCTTGCTTACCAATTCCGACTTCCGACGATTAGTCGACGACTTGGCTACAATCGGGCGGATGATATTTGCTGATACTGCGTCTGCATTGTCTTCCGCAGCTGCCGACGTTGCGGAAGAAGTGGAACCTTCTGATGAAGAGCGAGCCAAGCTACAACCTGGCAACTCAGAGAGTAAGGGAGCTCCTTCTTCGAGGGATTTAAGGCACGACCTAGAACAGGTTTCCGGAAGTGCTCGTGAGGCAGTGGCACAAACCGGTAAGGCTGCAGCCCAAAGCACAGAGGAGAATGTGGTTGGACACTACAAAAGCACGTTACTCTATAGGGTGAAGAAAACCGTCCAGAGCCTACGCAAACGGGATGACTATACCACCTCTGTATCGAGCATCACGAAATTGATTAAGCAGTATGGGATAATATACTCTCGTGCTGTAGATGAAACAGCCAATGCTGCTGTGGAAGAGGTTGAAGAGAACTCAGACCTCAAACAGGCGGTGCAAAACTTATGGGACTTGGTCGGCTCCTTTGGAGACCGCAAAGAATGGCAGCTTGTGGAAAGGAAATTCTACGAAGTGGTCAAGCACTCTGAGAGTGATCCAGAATTTGAATCACTATTGAAAGAGATTGGGAATTCTATCCAGGGCCTCTTCACGGACCCTGGCTTTTTCGACTCAGCAGATGAGACGGTTGAACTCCTGAAACAGAAGTCTAGAGATATTGGCCCAGACTCCGCTCTTCGTCAGGATGTCGACGCATTTTTACAGCAATTGGGCCTTGCCTTATCATCAGTACTCCAAGACAACGCTGTAGCCAAGCTGCTAACAGTCGCAAAAAAGCTTGGAGGCGACTTGTCCCGAGCCTTTCACGACAAAGCTCCCGCAGTCTCTGAAGATGCTCTCAACGTACTCCTCCCCACCTTGATCCGCTCGATCCAGCATATACCAATTCCTAGACTAGAGGTCTCTACGCCAGAGCTAGACTTGCTACTTGAGAACGTGGTGCTGGAACCAGGCAGTACTTTCCGCTCCTCGTCCTTCTTTCCCTGGAAGGTACTTGTCACCACCCGTAATGATCTAGAGATCCAAAAAGCGCATTCTAAAGCTGCCCACACAACCGTGAAAAACGTCGTTACTATAACGATGAATGGCCTCAACATAAGCGCAAAAGACTTCGGCTACTGGATCCGCGTCCACTCCGCACCATATATTTCCTCCAGCGATGAAGGTATTGCCAGCTTCACCCTCGACGAACGAGGGATCGACATCTCCCTTGACCTCGAGATTGGACGTGATCGCATTGAGCGATTGGTGTCTCTGCTCGCTGTTCGCGTCCACATCCACAAGCTCGACTACACGGTGCGCAAAAGTACATGGTCCTTCATGTGGTGGGTACTCAAGCCGTTCCTCAAACACATGATCCGCCGTGTGCTAGAGAAGAAGATCGCCGAGAAGATTGTTGCGGCAGCACATATCCTGAATCGAGAACTTGTGTTTGCCCGCGAGCGCCTGCGCGCCACAAGAATTTGCAGCCCCCAGAGTCTGGCTACCTTTGCACGAGCTATTCTAACGAGCTTGAGTCCTAAAATGGACCCGGATGTCTATACGCGGGTCGGGTTAGATGCGCACCGTCAGGGGATTTTCAAGGATGTGTATACGCCTGCGAGCGTGATGAAGATTTGGAACGTCGAGGGGCAACGGGCTGGAGAAGCAGTTGAGGATGGAGATCAGAGTGGTGGTGTTCATATGACATGGAGGAATGATGTATTTGACGCTGTATCTTCCTCACCTAGGACATTCCACTGAGGTCCTTATATTGATATGACTTTTTTCTTTTTTTTTACCTCTTGATTTTAACCAGTCCCATATCCCATCCTCCTTCTACTTGCAATTCTATTCTTTCTCTGCATGTCGACTTTCGTCTCCATAATTATGTTTGGTCCCTATTCCACCCGTACCACGATCGATTGTTTGCTCACGGCCTCTGCCTTGATATATTTCTTGCGAGGTCATCCCTATTTTCGCTTTGAACTAATTCTAATGGACAAATAACGCATTCCTCTTTCAAGTTTGATTCACATCTACCCGTCAACACTCAACTGGATGACACAGATACGATTCCGTAGCCAGAAGTTAACTGCGCAGCCCTATTATAGACACGCTCTCCACTTCGGACGCTGAATGGTTCATAATTATAACAAAGCTAGTACTAATTCAAAATTATCATGACCTGCCTACCTACTATCATTCCAGCCTTGAACAACAACCATCTGAACCAACATACAATTTCTGTACCTACTCCATAATATCACTATTCAAAGTTCCAAAACGAACCTCCTTGCTCGCACGGTATGCCTTGGTATTTATGTACCTCATTTCGCCATTCGTCCCCAAACAGATAGATTTATCTAACAATGAAACCTTTCTCAATTCAGAGGGAGCAAACTTACTGCGATTCTCAACCCTACACTAATTGCCCCAGGGCCCAGGTACACATGAACCCTCTTCCCCAAAGCCACTGGCCGGGGCTTGCAGAACTTTAATGACTAGCGCGTACGCTCCACGGGAGCCTTAAACCACCCCCCCCCCGAAAACGTTTGTTGAATATGGGAGGGGATGGCCAGATGTAATAATTCTCCAGACTCATGACAGTAAGGATTTAGAATATGGTTTCAAATTGCTAAACAGTGCAGTAGTTTGTTGAGATGAGGCATGGACGCCTAATAAAAACTGGCCGGACCCTGCGCATTTCAGCATCGTTGACATTCCCGAACTACTTAGTGACGCAAAGTCTCCAAGCTCCACACTCAATCTTTTAAAAATCGTCTATTTGAGCATGCTAGATAGGTAGTGCGAGGGAATATTCAAGTGTCCTCAGAGACTTGCAAGGCAATATACCAGCAATCCATTTGTACTAAGTTTCGCTGACCCTTTAAAAGGAGACTCTGCCAATACGTTCTGATTCCAGGGTTGTTGTACCCGTCGTAGATGATATTGGGAACAATGTGGTACCCGGTTTGATTCGAGAAAAAAGACACAATAAAGCCGCACGATGGGCGTCGTTACAAAATGAGAAAATGTTACTACGGCTGCAAGACGAACAAGAAAGCTGTTGATCAGTCGCAGCCTTCACATGTTCCAAAACGACCTAAAATGGACTTATCCACGTGACCTAAAGCATGCGCCGGAATTTAGATGATCCGACTTATCGCAAAGCTGTCAGATGTTTAATTTCTAGCCTATCAAAGGCGGCATCGTGGTTAACTGCCAGATGTCAACAAATTTTCCGCCGTTCCTCTCTCCTCCCGCTTCTGTTCCTGTTTTCCTAAAACACAGGACCTTCACCGTTTCTTTTAAAAAAAACATATATATTTCCCCCCTTCTTTTCCGTACGGTTTCGTCATTTGTGGATATCCGTCTTCTTTTTCCTGTGTTTCTTGTTCAATGGGCGCTTCGAATGGGCCGATCTATACCTCCGACGATTAACCACATCCCAGAGTTCTTACACCAGCGCAAACCTAATTCGCACACACGATATACTTCATTGGGATATTGGGAAATTCTTCCCAGATTAGAGACACAGGGCTGATTCAGCCATGCTCCCATTCCCTTTTCTTGTAGGGTTTTCGTTGCTTGTGCTCCTCCCCGTCGTGCTATGCGCGGAGGACTACTATAAAATTTTGGGACTGGACAGATCCGCTTCTGATCGCGACATAAAAAGAGCGTATCGGACGTTAAGTAAAAAATTCCATCCTGATAAAAATCCGTATGTGCTTTGTCCCTGCTTTGTCCCTGCTTTGTCCCCAAGTTCTCCATTCAAAACCCCGTTTAGAATCATTTTGCTAATTTAAACTTTGCTTTTACCTTCTAGGGGAAATGACTCTGCGCATCAAAAATTCGTTGATATAGCTGAGGCATACGATGTTTTATCGACGTCGTCGACGAGGAAAATTTACGACCAGTATGGACATGAAGGTTTAGAGCAGCATAAACAAGGCGGAGGACGAACACATGACCCGTTCGATATTTTCTCCCGCTTCTTCGGAGGAGGTGGTCATTTTGGCCACTCTCCTGGCCAACGTCGGGGTCCTGATATGGAAATCCGCCTCTCACTTCCTCTCAGCGATTTCTATAACGGCAGGGAGGCGACATTTGAAGTGGAAAAACAACAGATCTGCGAATCTTGCGAGGGAACTGGGTCTGCTGATCGGAAGGTCGAAACCTGCCATCAGTGCGGCGGTAGGGGTGCGGTGATTAAGAAACACATGTTGGCACCCGGGATTTTCCAGCAGGTTCAAATGCACTGCGATAAGTGTGGTGGGCAAGGGAAGACGATACGGCGTCCATGTCCTGTATGCCAGGGGCAGCGCGTTGTGAGGAATTCCGTCCCCATGTCAGCCACAATAGAGCGCGGCATGCCCAAGGGAACTAGGATATCGTTTGAAAACGAGGCAGATGAGAGCCCCGACTGGATTGCTGGCGATCTGGTTATCACCCTGGACGAGAAGGCACCAGAGATTTTTGAAGACGAGAAGGACCGGACTGACGGCACCTTCTTCCGGCGCAGAGATAATGACCTGTTTTGGAGAGAAGTACTCAGCCTCCGAGAAGCATGGATGGGAGACTGGACGCGCAACATCACACATCTGGACGGACATGTAGTACAGCTGCATCGAAAACGCGGGGAAGTAGTCCAACCCTTTACCGTTGAAACTATTAAAGGAGAAGGCATGCCAATCTGGCACGGTGGCCATATGCATGACCACGACGGCGGCGATGAGTTTGGCGACCTCTACGTCGAATATACGGTTGTGCTTCCAGACCAAATGGATAAAGGGATGGAAAAGGACTTCTTTGCGCTCTGGGAAAAGTGGCGCAAGAAGAACGGCGTGAGTCTAGAAAAAGACAGCGGCAGGCCCACCAAATCTCATTCTAAGGATGAATTGTAATATAACCATTTGTAAATAAGATTCTACATTTTTATTTTGGCAACTTAATTCCCCCATGGTATTTATCCCATGATTTTCTTTTCTCAACCACTCTTTGCCCTTTTTTTTTAAAAAAAATAAAATAAATAAATAAATAAATAAATAAAAATAACAAGTGCTTAGAAGCATAGTTGTGTTCAAGGGCTAGACAATTGATAGAGATATATAAGTTCAAAATGAACACAAATCACCATCATCGGAAATCCTGAATCAGGCTTGAGATTATCGATGGCATTCCTCATTCCACTCCTGCATCCAGTATCTTGGAAGGAACATTCCAAGGCAGGCTGAGCGCTCTAACATTTGAACTCTGGCGGCCATCGCGCTCATGATCCATAACAGTGCATATTATTCTCTGATGATAACTTACTATGTGATTGTCCCCCCACAGGGCTCCCAGATGAAACGTTTTGAATGAACATCCTTCCTTTCAGAAAAGCTACAGTTGCAATGGCTTTGCCCATTACTGCAATCTGGTATGAGAGAATCTACCTTTTGATCCAGATATGTTAATAATATTAATACAGATAAAGTATACTTTTTATCATGCTCTATAACAGCTGAGAACAAGAGTTCTACCCCTAGTAGGCTAGGCATGCATGTGTTTCGTCTTTATTATTAGTTAGCGTATCCTATTAATACTCGCGCTTGGATGCAACGCCTGGGAAAATCCCCGCCGTTCATGTAACGTCTACACGTATTGCGGCATGCGTTGCCCTATTTTTAGAATCTTGAAACAACTTTCGCCTCTTGCAGAGCAAACAATATTAATGGCCCCCGATTCTGTACGGTAAAAAGCTCTGCCGTTGTTAGTTCTGACTGATATCAAAAGCTCTCGCTCTCGTATATTGTGGAGAGGCTAATTTAGGCACTTGTGCTTCAACGCAACCATTGGTGATTATCTGCAGTTATTTACAGCGTAAAGACATTTCTTGCAATGTTGCGTGAGGGACCAACCTGCTCTTGTTCAATAATATAAAAGAGTTATATCCTGTAAACAATGTCTTCCATAGCTAGCCCCTGAGGGACTTTGCCTGAAGACCGTCCGTTTGTGCTGGAGGGGGTCTCTTTACCAATTCAACGCAAATCAGTTTTCAGGATGCTTAAAAAATGTCCACAGCATCTTCTTATCTACTGGAACCAGAGCTCGAGTAAGCAATATCCCAATGTTTTTGGACGAAGAATTCTTCGAACTCTGGGCATGCATGGCGGAAGTCAGCAAGTCGCAATACATCTTATTTGTTAACCACTACACTAGGCTACATAATATCACAAATGCCGACTCTCATACAACGAACAAAAAGACACTCAGTCACGTCCAGCCCAAAACCTATAAGCTACGCAGGTTTCCCCTCCGAGCGGCCGCGCTGATTGTGGGCCCAGCGGTGGTCCTTGCCTACTACGCTTTTATCTGGCATTTGGTTGTGACCAGGGCGGAGGATACGCTCAAACTTGGCATCCCAAACGAGCTTTGGATACACTACTGCTGGTTCGTTGTCGGCGTATTTGGCCTGAACTTTTCAAAGTATGGCCTACTCGGTATCGAAGCGAGCATGCTGCACGATCGCAACTGGCAGGTTAAAAGTACCATGAAGCTATTGATGCATTGCGACAGCGCTTGGAGCAGCCCAGGAGGTTGGCTCAAATGCGGCAGCGCATTGTTGCGGCAGAAGAGGAATGTTGCGGGGCGGCTGTGGTACACACTGGCTGTCCTCAGCTTGTTTCCCTTTGTTGCTCTCCCACTGTCGGGATTGACCATGGAGCCAGTCGATGGCTATGTCGCATCACACGAGTCCCCACTGGCCATCGGACACAAACCAGACGACTTCAATCGCAGGCCTAAAGCATCAAAGGAAACCTTGTTCTGGAAAACGGGCCAGTCTCCAACAATTCCGGGGATAGGTATAGTATATACTGCACCTCATGTGCAACGGAATTCCGTTCCATACCTCCGGGACCTGCCGAATTCCCTACCTTCGAATATTTCTGAAAGCAACCCAGAGCTTTTCCTTGCGCCACAGGCGAATGTACCTATAAGTGGGAGAGTATGGGGTTTGCTCATAGGATGCAACTGCTCCATTGTCAAGTCATTTTCTGAATTCGCAATCCTGAACCAAAGGACAACTGCCGACTTTAATGAAACCAGCTCGCTGACGGAGTTAAAGCTTAATTCTTCCCAATTAAGTGATAGAATAATAATCGCTGCTAATTCAAATGCCAACTTGGTAGCTCACGCCCAGATAGGCTTCAATTTTTCAGGGGTATACGGGCAGACTGGTTGGGCTGCTACTGCGCCTACGCCCGCCCTTTTTGAGTATGCTCTCTGGCAGGGGAATAGGGAAATGGGATTTAATCTTCTTCGCGAACAAGTCAATTTCAGCACGACTATTGACTCACCCATGGCCGACGTCGGAGGCCCTTACTTTCAGGCCAAGAACGGCACCTTCTATTTCAACCAAACATTTTACGGCAACCAACCCGATGAAAATGGCACTATTAGCTCAGAGCCTGTGTATCGGTCGACGTCCCTAAGTCACATCGCCCCTCCCATCGGAGTCCGTTGTATTCGGGACTCTAAGCTTGGATACGCTGACGTCGATCGCAAAGGCCACTTCCACTCATTCACGAAAAGTCCCCCTCCCCACGTTGATACCCATGAGAGCGGCGATGTGTTCGGTTTTGGCTACATCGGCCACGATATCGCTGGCAAATTCACCGAGCTCGTAACATCCACGAATTCCCCCCCACCGCTACGTTTCACTCACGGGCTATACTACCCCAGTTATATCCAGGCCGAAACTCTTTACCAGTCAATCATGCTCGCGCATGCCTGGAACGCCTTGGAATTAATGTATGACAGCAGTTACACTTTTCAATCTGCTTATATTTTACCCAACGCAACCGGCTCGCGAGCCAGCAAGGTTATGGGCCCTGGAGCCATCCCGCCCATCTATGTCGGGGTTTTATTCGCCCTGTGGGCCGTAGGTTCCGTCATACTTGGCTGCGGATATGGACTTCGTCGTCGCTGGTCTGAGAGGCTGGATGGGTATAGCATGTTCCGGTTTGGAGCAGATTTTGCGCGAGAGATCCAAAACGAGCCTGATTTTGCGTGTACTGCAGAATTTGAGGAATGTCAGGCCCTGTGGAAACTGCCTGGTTTGGTGGGTGATGCCCAGCCGGCGAGAGATATCGGACACATTACGCTGGTGAAATGGGGCAATGAGCCGAATAAGGGGAAAAGATATCATTAGCAATTACTATTTACTTCGGACGGGGGGGTTCTTTTCTTTTAACTTGGTATCGCGAATATAATTGGATAAAATAAAAATTTATTGCAACACTAAATAGAAACGTTATGGAGGGACCTTTTCTGATTTTGATGCCAACTTACTCTTCTATCTGGAAGTGGGCTTAAGGTTTGAACGGGCTGTTAAATATTTAACTTAGCTTACACAACTTCTAATGACAGAACCCTTCTTGACCAGGATGGCTTTTTCATTACCAACGTTCTCCGGCTTATCTGTTCGTTAACTGTCGAAAACGTTCTCTCAGCTCTAAAATACCCATGGTGGAGCGCACATACCCTTCATTTTATTCTTCTTGCCAAACAACTGCCACTGAGAACTTCGCTGTCACCTCTATCCAGGTGATTGGGCGAGATTCCCCAGGCCTGGAAGAAACACACCACCAGCGCTGTTGTCCTCTCGGAAAACACGACTAGGGCAGAGCCAAGCCTGATACCCCGGTGGGAATACTCTATTTCCACAATGATTCTCGAGGAGTCTGAGTGTAAGCGACCAGCAAATTCTTGAAGCGACAAAGGTTCCGCGATCTTCACCTTATTAAGCTTATCCATGCCACTTATTATACCTGATGCCAGGGATTCGTTGAACTGCCCACATCACCACCACCTTGACTGCCTGGCACTGGGCATATTATATGACATGCACCACTTATCGATTAACGATGTGAAATTGCAGAATATCCCCCCGTCGCACTTGCATTCCATTCGCGAGGGGATCTCCATCCATGAAGATCTTGAGGCCAAACTGGTACAGATAGCGGACGCGCAGTCCGGAAAGAAAGAGTCTTCAGCGAACAAACGCCATATGTGCCATATAGTTTCCCAATGATGGGCTGTTGCTGCAGGGCATCTTCTTGAAAATTCCCTTCAATCAAGCATCGTGGCGGCCGCTGGCCGTCTGGCTGCCTGTCAGTACGCAGGATTGGAGATTATATCATGGTTTGATGAAGTTAAGGACCTCACGTCATCTACGGTAGGGCTTGATCCGCCCTTTTAGTCCACCCCATGCATATCCTCACCGTCAAGATACGGATAAATTGTTCAGGCTGTGTCTAGTGCCATGGAGACTGCAACAGTCTAACCCTCGCCGCCTTATGAAGTTTTCTTTTTTCTGCCTTCAATACCAGCGCCCTCTCCGTTCTCATTTTTGAACTAAAAGCCCAAACCACGGCACTCCTAGGCCACTCGATTCGCTCCGTGGCCATCTCGTGGCCAGATTACGTCCAACTATCGGCCAGTGAGATTTTCCAAGTCATCGAACCCCTAGGACTGAAAAACCTCGCCAGACCAAAAGATCACCAAGCTCATTAAAACAGGTGGCGCCGCGGCCCCCAGCAATTCGAGATTTGTCAGAGACGATCGAAATGCTCTGCGCATGTACCTGGAGCTAGCTGCCCTGCGTGTGCTGGAGGACAATCTAGACCCTGTTTTTTTCATGGCTGCGAAGGGTGCAGCGGATTTCGCGAAGAGAACGCAAGAGAACCCTAGAGGTTGTGTTGAGAGTGAGCGGTGTCGGAGTTTGAGGGGGAAGAAAAGGTAGGGAGGGGGTTTTCCTTACTATTAAGGGCGCATCTGCGATGAAATATGGAAATGGGTTCTTTTTCCTCTTCACCATTTAGCGTTTTTCATTACTTTAGCTCAGGGCTGGAATATATAAAATTTAAAAATAAAAATAAAAATAAAAATAAAAATAAAAATAAAAATAAAAATAAAAAAAATAAGAAAGACTCTTGATCTATCATAGAAATTCGGCGTGTAGCTATAGATATCACTTAATCTAGGGAACTTGGTGCTACTTGGGCAGGAATGCTTGTAAGGGGTATGAGAAGTAGTAACTCCGCCCTCTAAATCTATCCCTAATTCCTAATTTCGACGTAAAGAAAATATGACCATAATGAAGAGAACCTTCGGTCTGGATTGATCATACAAAGTATACATATTGAAAAACATGAATATCTTCAATAATTCAACTTTGATGTTATTATATATATAAACATTTTATAATATATATACTCTTAAGTTTCTACATTATCTGAATTGAAGATATTCATGTTCTTAATAAATATCCTTTGTATGATGAACTCATACAAAAGGCCTCTTTTTTGTTACTCTGATATTTTCATTACATCGGGTGAGTCTCTGCATTACTGTACATGCATGCAGCAACTCACCCGATAAGTAGGTAAACCCTTCAGAAAGTGATTGAAGGTATGAATGCTTGCTTGCTTAATGCCTGTTGTAGAGGCTGTTGCAACACCTTTCTAGCCATAGCTGAATAGAAGAAATGCTCTAGTGATGTTCTGCAACCTGTTTGAATAAAATAATTCTTTTCCGTTTTTTTGTTTTTCATCATATTGATATCTCATCATCAACTATGGTAAAATGCCATTGCATGTTCAAGAGAGGTAGGTAATGATGGAGATGAGAAATCAAAAAGAAGAAAATTTAGGGAAAAAAAAAAAAAAAAAAAAAAAAAAAAAAGAAATAAAAAAAAAGGGGAGGGGGGGAATAAAAAAGGAAAACAAAGGAAAAAGCTGTCCCACGGCGAGCATTCATAACGCCAAACAGACTCCAATGACTTTTCTTGACACATGGGACACACCATTCATTAACACCAATGCATCAAATAGTAAGCTCACAGAGCGCAAAACCTGCATGAAAGCACACAAACCTCCCAGATATCATAACCAGTGGTGAGATCTCCGAGACCCATGAAGGTTTAGGGAAAAGAAAAAAAAAACCCCAACGCCTCTCATTCAGGAGCTACCCGTATTTTCTGCGTTTGAATGAGAAAAAAAGAAAAAACCTCTTTCTAGTCCGCCTTACGCAGTAGGTCGTAGCTTTTTAAATTCCCCAAGGAAAATCCAACAAGAGGCAAGAAATAAGAAATATATATATATATACTATCTGCCAGGAGCGCTCAACGGAGCGCTCAACGGCGACGTGTCATTCTTCAAGCCCAAGTTAGAGATCCGACGCTTCCGTCTAGCTTTCAGTCTGTGCTCAGTATCCATGAGCTTATTCTGCACCCACATGCGGACGTCTTGGTGGGTTTTGATGGAGGCCGAATTGAGCAATTCCGTCAAGGCGAGCTTAACCTGCTGGTCCACGTCATTGGATTTATCACCGTTTGCGGCGTCGAAGATAGGATCGGTTGATAGGGGGGATAGAGGGGATGGCGGAGGGGTAGAAGAGTAGCGAATCGGGGGCTGAGGAGGATAGGAGACAGCGCCGGGGGGAGAGGGGTAGCGGCTTGGTGGCTGTGTTATGGAGTGGGCGGAGGTAGGCTGGGCGGCCTTGAGCTTGTTTGTCAACAGTGCGGTATGCATGACTTCGGGTTTTCGGGTCCGATGTTGCAGAGTTTCACATAGGAGTTTCGAGTTGCCAGAGAGAGAGGAGGGGAGGAAGTTATTTTAACGAGCGAATGGTGAGAGGGGGTTTGGAGCGATCGACTTCATAAAATCGCCCAAGTGGGAGCTTGGGTTATTTGTGCGGGACGGCTTTATTACAAGCTCATTTGGCTTGTAGAGGGTTTGGATAAGGCTGGTTGTTTGTGGGGAAGGGTTGGTGCTAAAAAATTCGCCAACAGACAGATGCGCGCAGCGAGAGCCTTCATATATCAACTCGCCGGGCAAATAATGATGCAATGAGAACGAGATTGAGTTGGGTCCAACTCCGGGCGACAAAAGTCTAAAATGGGCCTGGAACGTCACCGGTTTGGCTTGAAGCTTTCGTGAGACAACGCCAATTGGCGCAGTGGCGCAAATCTTTGAGCTCAACAGAAAATACTTACGGAAAACTTGAATAAGTTCAAACATCACATAATCGATATGAGTCCTTTATTATAGATCATTTTTTTTTCTTATATTCAATTCTTATTTTTTTATTTTTATTTTTTTTTTAAAAAAAACGTGTCATTCTCTCATACTTGAAATCTATTATGACGAATTTTCAAATTTCATTCTAGAAGAATCAGTACACATTTTTATTTAGAAAAAAATCATTATAATATACTTGAAAAATGATATATATACATACCTATTATAATGTTGAACCTATTCAGGTTTTTCTGTAAGTCTCCTTTGTATGGGTTCACCATTGAAAAAGGTACCTTTACTGTGATATTCCCGCTACGCTCGGGCGCACTCACTAATGGTGGTGAGTTGCGCTTTGCACGGTTATTATTATTATTCCCTTCGAATTTTCGATCCCGCTACTACATATCCCCTCATTTATCGTGGCGCCCAGGGAAGATCCTAATCTACCAATTGGCGGAGATAGCTGGCGTCATCAATGTTTCGCCCTAGTTAAAAAAAAGATGGAGACGCTGCACACGTCACGTCTCTGTTTCTTCCTAGCCAGCTACAGAGCAGCCTTGATTCCTATGCATCTTCCAAAGTGGTTGTGCACCAGAACGCCTTGGCTGCATCAAACCGAAGGCCGCGGATTTTTTGTGCCTCTTGGATAGTGCAGCTAGTTGAGTAGTGCAGGTTCTAGATTGCGCTCGTAGCTAAGGATAAAGTTGTGTGTATTTTGCCATGTGGTGGCTGGCTTTCCCTCCTTTCTTCTACTCCGTACGCTGTACATGGTTGAAGCTGCCAAATCTTCAAAGTTTCCGAAACGAGCTTGATAGTAAGGGGCTCGTTTTGAGCAAAATTGATGGATAACCAGGGCCCGCCTTCGCTCGAGGAATCCGTAATATATGTGTAGAATCAGTGTGAGGGTAAATCGGTACCGAAGACGCTCATTGCCATCCTTTTAGAATTTGGGGCCAAAATGACCTGATTGTAGTTTTAGACGCGAGGACGTCAATTGAGACTTGTCGAGACAAAAGGATACCAACCTCGTCCCGAAAAGAATAATGTGGGTATACACGGAGAATTAGCTGAGAATTCGTGAAGACCAATCTTGGATTGTAATGTACAGAGGTGCCATATTGAATCTTTTTTTTGCGCAACCAAACACCCGTGGAGTTGGGCGGCACCAGGGCATTTTACACGGCGCTTTATAAGTTATCACCTTTGTTGACGGGCCAACAACCAATAATAATAATAATGAGCACCACCCCGCGATCCGATCATAGCGATGATCTTTTGGGTGAAAAGCCCAGTTTTCGGTAGCTCTCTCCACATAACTTGAAGTGAGCCAATCGTTTGAGGCGTACTTTGGAAGCAGATATTTCTAGAACCTTGGACGAGTGGGCACATATCTGCTGTGCCACCACGAAGCCTGACCGTCAGGTGGCTGAGCAAGAGGAGTCAGGGTCCACAGAATTCATACTCCTTTCCTCTAACGCGTTCCGATGAGGGTTTGTTTTCATTTTCACTTTTTATACATGCTGAATCGATCGGAAGAGCATGAATGGGAATGGAGCAATGTTGCAGGGGTTGGACAGCGAATAACCTTGAACGCTCTAAGGGAGAGACAATCCATGGCCCTCTCGATTGATATAGTGCGTAGTCCTGCTTGGGCAGCTTTCGACATTTACAGGAGTGAAGGAAGTATATAATAAATAATACATTATTGGATAGACGCGAAGAAAGGGACTAACGCGAGAATTTCTCAGATTATGTAATTGGGTAACTATTCAGTGCAAACAGCACACAAACAGTGTAAATTGTGCAAACGGTTCATCATCTCATATTCAAAACAAGATCCTTTATTGAAAAAGACCGGAAGACCAGGTTAGAGTGAATTATTTTCTCTAGGAGCGATTTCACCTTCCCGGTAATCCAGCTTTTTCTCAAACAATCCGTTAACATGGTTCGAAAACTCAAGCATCACGAACAGAAGTATGTTAAGCCTCCGAGAGAGGATACCACATTCGCGCAACAAAACGTGAAATGTTAGAAGAAGAAAAAGACAAATTCCCTAACGCTCAAACCCTTATTATTCTAGACTTCTCCGCAAGGTAGATCTTCACACCTACAAATCCGACGCCGGACATCGTGAAGCCGCCATCCGACAACGCTACCACTTCCAACATCCGCTCGATTATCAAAAATACAACTCGCTCTGCGGCTCCCTGCGACAACTAGCGCATAAGCTCTCCGCCCTGGACCCAGAAGATCCGTTCCGAAAGGACATCGAAAGTCAGTTGCTGGAGAAATTGTGGGCAACGGGCATATTGAAGCAGAGTCGTGAGCAAGGCGCGGGCTTGAGTAGGGTTGAAAGGGAGGTTACAGTTAGTGCGTTTGCGAGGAGGAGATTGGGCGTTGTGATGGTGCGGATGGGGATGGTGGAGAATGTTCCTACGGTACGCCCATTTCCTCTCTCTTTGCAACCCCCTCCCCCCTCCCCCCTCCCCCCTCCCCCCTCCCCGTCCTTTTTCTTTTCAGTGTTTTACCTATTTGGCGCGACACTCCTAGGAAAGCTGGCGTTGTGGTTGCCTTTCCGGTTTTATCTTGGATATGGATTATTAAATTAAAAAAATACCGGACATGAGCTAACTTGCCGTTTTCTTCTTCTCTTTTCAGGCCGTGAAGTTCATTGAACAGGGCCATGTCCGTGTCGGCACGGAGGTTGTCACGGACCCTGCCTTTCTCGTGAACAGAAATCTTGAAGACTTTGTTACCTGGGTTGATTCGAGCAAGATAAAGAGAAATATCTTGCAGTACCGTGAGAAACTGGACGATTTCGATCTTCTATAACCGGCCTCGTCTTCTTCAAGGCTGGTGTGAATCCGGGAAGGTAGCGGGATTATTTTGCATCTGTTTCACATTTTCCTGGCGTGTCGGGGATTGATATTTTGGTAAAAGCTTTTATATGTTAATCGGGTTCGAGCTGGGTTCCCGTCGACTTTTTTGCACGTTTTCCCTTTCTACCGTTTTAGTTGGGAGTTTTCATATACCCTCATATGTTTTATGCATGGTTTATGAGTTCAATGTTCGTGTACATACAGGCACAGTATATCTATTACATGTCGTTTGTTTTGTCCTGCATTATTAGGCCAGAAGAAACTAAGGATGGGCAATTGGGAATATTAGGCTATCAAATGGTAGTAAAGTCATTTAGACACCACACCACACCGTTGTCCATTACACCGGCGTCTGCTCCACTCGAGCGCCAATAGCCGGAAAAGCTCCGCTTCCTTCCCTCCTCGACACAACTGATAACTATAGGGACTTTATGACTAGTATTTGGGCTTTTGTCACCGACCTGTTGCAAAAGCATGGTGGCTGTTGCTGCGGCTCTCTGTCGCCCCCATCCAGATCAGGAGAGCGGTACAGCCCTTTTTGGCATGGTTTAACAGGGCGAACTCTACTGCCCCTTTCGTTGTCCTCAAGCTGTATGTTTGCGACTATCTCACGCGGGCTCTTAGTATGTACAGTACATGCACATGTACCGATCGAAATTGAGCAAACAAATCAACCAATTCCCTGCTTCTCTTCCCTCATAAGGCTCCCCCGCAAGCCTAGAATGTTGAGGGCGACGAGCAATGGGTTTTTACTGACATTGATCCCTCTGAGATAGCATTTAAGCAAAAGCTTTTCAAGCTCAGAAATTCTCAGAAACATTCCTTGTTCATATATCTCAACGTGATATGTGTGTAATGAAGATGGCCCAAGCCCAACACACACAACCTCCTGAGCGCGAAACAAACATTCACATCTGCGAATCGACTGCCTACAGATAACTGGTGAAACAACGGCCTTTGCGACCACGGAATCGTGCCTCGGTTCCTATGGGAACAAAAGAACGGATGGACTTATATTAATCACATTATCAACCTCACCTGATCATACGTGAGGGGAAATTAATGAGGCTTATCTCTATTTTGCATTGAATATTGAGTGCATTTGTGGAGATTGGTGCGATGACCTTTTGGGACCGCGGCGTGAGGAATATAGATAGCATTCAGTGATTGAAAGAAATATTGACGATGTGCGACCACAAGCTCATTTCCTCGTCCGCGCTGGGAAATTTTGCTGCTCAGAACTCTCATCATGTTTGTAGTTACGGAGTACAAGATGGTCTCTTGGGCCTACGAAGCCAAGCATTTTTAGATAGGGGAACTCTTTCTGAGTCTACTGCGTTAGTCTGATAAGTCAGCATAACCTTTCAATCAATCAAGCTTTACACGATTTCTATATAAGATAAAACAGAATGGATATTTCTGACACTAAAAGACAACCTCCCTGACAAGATCGGAGACAAAACAGGCGAAACATGGAAGAAAGAATAAAACTATGTACATGTACATTAGTTAATCGGAGATATGGATTTTGCCAAAATCCCCTTTGGCACTAGGCCTGGATTGGTGGGTGGGGTGAGGCAAGCTGCTTTACCCAACCGGCTAAAGTTGCTCCTCCGATACTTGTCATCGCCATCACTTGGGTAACCACTAATTAACTGTTGGGGGTCCCGGGGGTTGATCGGCCCCTTCTACCAGCAGTGCGCTGGTGGTGACCACAAAACGACTAAAATCATGTGATACTGAATTTCTTATGCTTCCCTAAGCCAAAATACGCGAGGCAGCAACCCGCCCGGCAAGTGGCAGCCACGGCAAGCAAAGGTGAGTTTCCCTATTACTTTGGGTTTCGGAGGCATGTTCTGACCAATATTACAGGGAACCTCACCGACCTAGGTCGAGTAGGTAGCGACAAGGAGAACGTTGAACCATTGCAGCCGCTATGTGTACCTACTAGTTAAACCCGTTAGCAGCGCCTTCGGTGGGCAGTCCCACTACTACACTCACTACTCCGTACTCCGTAGTCTCTTACGCGAGGTTATAGGTTGGACATTGGCAACCCCTATAGTTATCCTTGTGTCGCGAGGCCGTAGATGGGCGCCTCGAGTATCTCAGGTCGATATTGGCACCCACCTACATAGAGGTCAGAGGAAGATGTGGCGCAGATCGCTCTAGAGCAGCTTAAGCGATACAAAGAGGATTTGTTTGTGTCACAGCGCGTAACCTTAGGAGCATTTAAAGCACTAACCGCTGCACTATCAGCAAAAGACTACTCCGTAGAATATGAAGCCGTCGGCTTCATACTGCTCTCGCTTATATAGTCATGCTTGCCACGCCGTTACAGATTGTCCCTGTTTTCTAGCTTTAGTGTACTTATGCCTGGTCAATTTCCCTTATCCCAAAGTCCTCTGCGACGGATAAAAATCAGAATAATTGATAGAACTAATGAGATTATATAACTATTTCGACTCTTGCTAAAAATTCATTCTACTTTACAAAAGACTTCCAAACTAATCCAAATCCCAACGCACAAGTTTAAGCAGGGGTATATATAAAATCAGAGAAAGGGGAGAGTGTGAGGAAAAAGAGAATAAAAGAATATTGAATACATTACTTCAACACCTCTGGGTCGTTCTGGGCCTTCTGCAGTACCTTCTTCATATCAGAATACAAATTTGGATTGGGGGTTTTCCACCTTCCATTGCCAGGGAAAACATCCCTCCGTAGCTTGTTGACCCAAGGGACCAATGGTTGATAATGGACAGTAGTGTTGTCATCCATTGTTTTCAAGAACACATCCTCTGCAGCAATCACACCTATCTTCATTCCAGCCAACTCTTCCGTGCTCACATAATTCCACTTCTCAAACCGCGGAACAGTTCTCCCTTTCCCCAATTCATCATAGTGAATGCATATCCAGAAAAGCACCCAGAAGAATGACTCGAGATCATGCATGAAGGAATGCTTTTCGCCGAGAAGCACGCCAATGGACATGAATGCCCGTGTGCCAGTTTTGCCTCGAGCTCCTGAAAATCCCTCCCGTTGTTCCTTGATCGCAAGGTCCAAGTCAATCAGGAATGACCGAAAGGAAGGATTACTGTCATCTTCATTCATCATGAGATTGTTTGGTGAGATATCACATTGAAGCATACCAGCCTTTTTATGTAAAGACTCATATCCTTCAATGCAGCCCTTCAGTGTCTCGAGCAGGGCAACCCTCGAACTTGCTTTGTAGATTGCCTTCCCGTAGTCACGGATGATGACACGACGATGCACGCGGTTTGCAGTACTAGTTTTTGCTGTCTTAACTGGAGAACTAGACTGAATCCGCTTTCTTGGCGGCGGCAGTGATGTGTCGGCGCGGCTGGAGGATCGCTTCCGCCCAGTGGTACTGCTACTTCGTCTATCGAGCGAGGTACGGGACTCACTTCTACTCAAAGGCAGTATCAAACGGTTTGACGTCTGTGTAACATCCAGGCCCTTTCGAACGGTGTTAAGAATATCATCATCTTTGCCACTCACGCAAACCGTCTCATGATGATAGTATCTCGCTACATTGACCACGTTCTTCCCAGTCACCTCACGCAGCAGTTCACCTTCTTCGTCGCGCTCCGAGTATTGCCATGAGTCTTTGATCACAAGAGGTATCTGTGAATCACCATTCTCTTGATGGGCCTTCCAGCAAGTTGTGGCACGGCCTGTGATGCACTGCGCCCGCGTCATCAATCCATCAATGATGAGACGTTCCTTTTGTCCATTTCGTTCAATGTCAATATACTTAATGCCTTCGGCATCAATAATGGTGGGATCATATCCAAGCTGCTCCTTGCTCATCCAGAGAAATCCAAGCACAGTGGCGACAAATCGCTGTCCCTCTTTATTGATGTCAAAATGCGTGGATGCGATCGCACCCAATCGATCAAATTCCCATAACCGCATAAGAGATCCGCAGAGTGTAAATCCAAGAACAAAACGACGAGTCTCCTGACACAAAAGTACTTCTCTTGCATACCTTCCCAGATCAAGACCTGCCAATGAAGGTTTATCATATTCGCGGTCGTTCTTCAGTTCTCCTGGCACAAGAATCTGCTGCCAGTGATACTTAACAGCTTTATCAGTGGCTAGACCATTCACAATGCCAATATCAAGCTTACGTTTCGCTGTTGAGCCTAATAGAGGTTGATGAGGCTGTACCAATAACCTTCGTTGAATGTTGAAAGTTGGAAACAACTCCTCAGCATAGCCCGTGAACAGAGTTATCATTTGAGAAAGCCATTTCAAGACATCTTGCTCCTTTGCATCCCCAGGCCATTCCTTCCAGCCATCCTTCTCATGATATTGTGGAGTATCGCCCTGCGTGCATTTCTTAAAAACTGTATCAGCAATGTGCTCAAGATCCGTCACCTCTCCAAAGAAAGCTTCGTAGAACCCAGGGATATCAATGGACATCGGTCCTATATCCTCTTTCAGCACATTATCGACGTCTTTGCGATATTCACTCGAGTTGACAAGGCTGCTCATATTATACGTAATTGGGGTTTGTTGAATAAATGGCGTGCTAGGCGGAGGAGTGGAACGCAGGACAGTAATAATGAGGTTGATAACAGCAGTCCAGATGTCGATGTCCAGGGCCTTTCGAATGACGAGTTGTGACAGTGCACGATAGACTTCATAGCTGAAGTCATTCTGTTGAACATATCCGAAAAGATTAGAGATGTCCGAAGCCAAATTGCGATTGCCTAATCGGGAGGAAAGATTGAATGCCGATTTCTGTGTCATCAAAGCGCCGAGAAGGTCTGATATTGCCTCTTGACAAGCTGAGGACGGAGTATCAACAGCACTATCGTAAGAGTTTAGATGCGGGCGGCAGAAATGCTCTGCATCTTCAAGAATAAGTCGTAGATGATCTAAAGAGTTTCTCAATGGGTGCTTTGCAATGACATTGCAATCGCTCTGGGTAAGGCTCGTCATTTCCAGAACCCAGGTTCAGTTTTACTACAAAGCGAGGTTGTTTTGGAATTATCACGAGTACCTAGGTAATGACGCGCCAAACGACTAAAGTCATGTGATCCTGATTTTATCATACTTTAGTAAGCCAGAACACGTGGGCGGCAACCAGTACCTAGGTATGGTATGGTATGGCAAGAAGATGACAAGATAATTTATCACCCTCGCGACGAGGTTGCACTTCTAAGCAGTGCGAGGGACCAGTAGTCCCCTGCCTCTGGCAGTTTGACGAAGCTAAGATAATCTCTACTCTCTGGGACTGACACGAGCGCCGCGTTGATTCGATGAAGCCGACTGAGCCATCAGCCAGAAGCAGGAGAGCTACAGCTACGAACAAAAACTGACGCCTCTCAATCCTCTTCGTTTTCAATGAACAGTACAAGGCCTCTACTCTAGACAATTCGTTGGTTCCTGTCATCAACGACCTTCCCCTTCGTCTCGAATCCTCGTCATGGCCTACGGCCTACCTATGCCACCGATGAAGTTGCAAACGGGTAACATATCACTCGAAACGCGGTGGATATTCTCTATGAAGATACAAAACGAAACATCTACACCAAATTTATGGAAATACCGCATGGAAACCTTGCTGCTTGAAGACCAATGTTTTTTTAATATCTGTCATATATGACCCCCAAATTTTGTAATTGTTGACAAGCGCGAAGCCCTACGTAACCACTAGGCCGTAAAGGGAATGGAACTAATAAATAGAATAGTACGTTACAGAGATAAGATTCTCCTTTCCGTTCCACAGGCTTATTATTGTCTTTCATCATTGTTAGGATTAAGCGAATGAGCTCTCCTCAAATGAAAAGCATTAGAAACAAACTGTTCTCATTTGAGATTTCGTGAGTATTAGACAAAGAAATTTTCCTGCTAATAATACTCGGAATCTATCTTATTGCTTGCAGCCAGTACCAATATGTATTTCACAATGAGTAAACAGGTATCCCGTTTCATATCCGCAACACCCTTTGTTATCACATATCGAGTAACACCACTGATATAGATCTAAATGAATTGTGTCATGGTTTTCGTGGGAAATAAACAAGCACTGCTCCGATTCGTTTCTCGCCTTCAACACTGAAAATAGGTGAGCTTTGATACAAATAGAGCTCTCTGCCACTGCCAGTCTACTGCTATTCTGTTTCCTCCTTGGGGCCCATGCGTAGATCTTGGGGTCTTTGATTGCGACCAGGGGGACAATTATCGCATCATGTTTCCCTCCGGCAGAGAAAGACTTTTCTAACACGACACCGTGTGATATTGGATCGGGAACTATGAGTAAGGATTTTTCCTGCCTTCCTCATTAGATTACGCTAGAATAGAGGGTGTAGACTCACTTTTTGGTACAATTTTTTGACCTCCACGACAGGTAAACAGTCGTCTGGAAGATCAAATCTCGGAGTCGGGCTGGGCTCGGATACAGTGCCATAGATTGCCGCAGCTGCCTTTTCTGCAGAAGGCTCGAATTCTTCTGGTAACGGTAATATTTGATGGGATCGTCACTTTCTTGCATCTTTTCGACGTATCTCATGCATACAGTCTCTTTAGCCGACTGCATTCGACACTAGACCCGGAAAGGTTTGGTCGGTATCTTATAATAATAAGTACTCCGTAGGATTGATGGAACGTTAGATAATCTCTCCCGCTACCCGGAAAGTTGATTAATAAATAAATCTTGTACACGAACGTGAAAGAATACTGACTCTGAATCTCTTTATCAATGAAGCGCAATTAAATTATTTTCGTCGTGGTGGGGCAGGAGAGCACGTGATTCAACGACATTTGACAGGTGAAAGTATATTGATATTGATACCAACCAACGAGACTAGTTTTTTGTTGGGGGTCCCGGGGGTTGATCGGCCCTGCTACCAGCAGTGCGCTGGTGGTGACTGAGCTCTTTTGCCCCAGTAGCCTACATTTTCCCACTCTCTAGGTCCCGTGACGCCAGCACACTGCACCATGTGTTTACCAGCAAACGTTTCTCAGGGACTTTGAGCACCATTCTTTGATTAGTGATTATTCGACTCTATGCTGTCCTTGGGATCACTAAATTGCTAGAGTGGCATTCTAGTATTATAACCAAAATACACTATGCTCAGGTAAAATATAGTGATTTTGGGTAGGTACTGTTGGAGTATCAATTTGTCAAGCAAAGTCGGACGCCAAGGTTAGGTCTGGTAAAAGGATTCGTTTGCGATAGGAGGGATATGCGGTAAATTGGTGAAGGCGGAGGATGAGTCAAGATCTAAGTTCAGCGCGGCAGGAAAGGTATTTGCCTGTGACGTTGTCGGAACACTGCCGTATCGGGGGAAGGCGGAGAATGAGTCAAGATCCAGGTCTGTTTCAAGGCTGCGACCAGGCTGCGCACCGAGACCACTTGCTTGCTGTTGGTGACGGACTATACTGGCGAAGCCATTGCCTTTGAAAAGTAGTATGCTTTAATTGAAACCCATGCCTGTTCAAGGTAAATTAATATTGAAAATTGAGGTAAGGTAATGTTGTTATATATTCATTGATAGCATCGAACTCAATGGGGTACCAGGCGCGTTTTTCAAACCTGTTATAACTTAGCTCTAGTCTTTATAATTGGGAGAGGCTCTTACTTGTTTGTGTGTGCTGCTCCCAATGACAGAGTTATCGCAACATGCTTTAACCGTCCCCATTTCCACCCGTACCGTGAGAATAGCGAAATGTTGTTCCTCTTTTGTTGTTTTTCCTCCTCTTCTTTAAGGTCCCCCCAAAGCTGTTTCGTGAGATCGCGTAAAGAAGAGGTTAGGATCTCGGTATTCCGAAGGGAAATATCTTCGGCCGACTTCTTTGTTCGTGATCTATTTCTGATACTCTTTTTAGCGCGGATATATTGTTGTGCTTCCTCAACCTTCTCTGACATGACAACAAGTAAAACAATACGACGACTGCTATCATCACGAATTCTTATCAGATCATTGTAGCAGCGCCGGATGATGCTCGAGTCAAGCGCAACTCCTTCACAAAAGTCTTGAGGGTTAACACTCCAGACTAAGCAGACTGTCTTGAGACATTTGATTGCTTTCGGCTTTAGCGCCCAATGTTTTGTGATTAATACAAGGTCGTCTACCTGCTTCTTAGATAGCCATTTTCCACTTGAGATCTAAATTGTGAGAACCATGAATGGCGTTTAGAATATGTCTCATCATGTTTAGGCCTCTTAAGCAAAGCTCGACGTAGGGATGAGAGTTGGTTGGGTGATTGTCGTATGTTGCTTAAGTAGTCGCCAACCTCCTTGATGAGTGAATTAGCATTGTGAAGGAAGAGAAAATGAGCGATGTGGTTTTACACACACTATCTCCAGCGGCACGAATGACGTTTTCAAGCTCTGAGAGCTTTGCGCTTATGGCCTGATTATACTTAAAATCGGTCAGCAATGATAGTTGGTGGTATATCTCAGATGATTACTTACCGTAGTGGTCATCTTCGAATATTGATAAGGCTGGAACAATAGAGGATGTGAAAGTTAAGGAATATTCAGATGGCAGATGTTGTGCCATGGCACACATCTGCCATCCTTAAACTTTAGCGCTAAATTGCTTACTCAGAATTGGCCCCCACAAACCAAAAACGCCAACATCTATCAGTTTTTACTTTCCGTAATGAGGGATAGCGGATACTTTCCTGTTCAATATCAGCAAAATACCCCTATTTGTATATGTCATTCCTTTCCTAGCTCTTGAAAGATAAGTGTGAGTTGGTTAATCCGTTCATACAAATTTGGGCCATTCATGGATGTCTGCGCAGTAATGTGACTCACCACCCAACGAACTCCAAAAAGCACTCTATAGAGCTGTTAATTTTCAACCATAGCACAACAACACAATAAGATATTAATATTATTTATTAAAGATTAAAACTATATGCAGAATACACCATATAAATATATATGATTAATTCAGAGAATGGTTGCTTGGCCTAATAATCCACCTGGAACATGAAACTCATGATTTTGAAATGATTGAATTGAATTGCGGTGTAGAAGATGTCAGAGAAGGAATATCATTTGATTTCATCAGAGAGGCCTGTGTGTGGCATTTATTACTGCTTTCAGAAGATTGTATAGAGCTTCTATAATGTTTTGAGCTCACTGTTAATCTTCTTATAGATCTCTTTGAGATCTCTGTGAACATCTGCTTTATTAACTGTGTTTCATAATGTTTAGCAGCATGTTCTTTCTTCTTTTTTTACAGTTGAAGCTTCTGTTCATCTCACTGTTGTTTCTTTATAAAATATTTAGCTGCAGCTGCAGCTTTGGCCTTCTCATCATATAATGATAATAATAGAGTCACTTACATATGTACTTGATTTAAATACTTGCTTTGACAGGCTTTCGCCTGTTCTAATAACTTATTCAGTTAAGAACCTCAGTTATAACTGCTTAATGAATGAGAGTTTAAGTTTCAGCTTCATCTTCAAATTTTTTTCAAAAATAATCTTATTAAAATAGATAATGAAATTTTTTTTAATCTGTTCATTAAATATGTTCTTGATATTATACATCTTACAGTATCTGTATTCAAAAATTTTCGGTTTTCAAAACAATTAATTACAAAGCTGCTGCAGAAACATACTGTGTTCAGACTTCTCAAATGTTATTGTAGTTCTGATGAGTCACAGGCTTCAATTGTCTCACAATCTTTTCAAAACTAAGTTTAAACTTATCAGAGTCAAAGTCAGCTTCTCTGACCCTCTGTTCTCTCTGTTTGAGTGTTAATTTCTTATGCATGGCACAGAGTCAGTGGAGAGAATTAAAGACTATAAACAAATTGACTCTCTTTGTCAGTGAGAAAAGATCTTAGAATGAATGTAATGGCACAAAGAGCTGTTGTAAAAGAAATGGCTTCATCAGATAAACCTGACAGGTTTGAAGAGCTCTATGGCATGGTGACTGCAATAGCGGGTGACTAGTGGGTGATGAGGGTTGATTCAAGAAGGGCGAGGAGGGTGAGCATGAGGCATGAGGTGAGGACGTGGTGAGGCTGGGGTGAGGATGTAGCAGCGAGGGACTGGTACTAATACGGAAGAGGAAGATCCAAATCTCCGATTAACTATGCAAATAAAAGAAAAACAAAAAATCAAATGAAATGAAATGAAAATGCCATGTATAAAAAATTCCATATCTATCTATTCATCAGTTCGTTTTCCGCATAATACCCAAACAGCGCCATTTCCCATTAATAATGCTACCACCTTTCTCTCCCACATCCCTGCCACGGCCGATAGTCCCAGCAGGAGAAACGCTACTACTCTCAATCCACTTCCATTTCACTCTGGAACTAGAACCAGAACGCTGTTGAGACTGAGCCTTTGTCTCCTTGCCGCCGCGGCCGCGGCCGCCCCCACCGTCCTCGTCGTTCTGGTCATGGTCACCGTCAGGCACATCCATTCGAAACCGCCGAACACTGCCCTCATACATCTCCTTGGCCCCCTTCCCCTCTTCGAAGAAGGGTATCCGGCTCCCGCCCGGCTGGCACCAGCTGGGCGCAATCTTCCGCCACATACCCCTCACGCCACGGGTTGAGCGGTCGATTTCTTCGTACTCGCGCCTACGGGTTGATGGGGATGTCCAGTCTATGACTGTCGCGGGGATGGGTTTGTACGGTCCGTCGGAATCTGCCTGGTGCAGAGCAGCGGTGGAGGTGGCGTCGTGGCTTACTGGGTCCCAGGTGCGATGTCGCTGCGTTCCAGGGGTGGAATTTCCGACGGGGGATGATAGGGAGGTGGGTGATGAAGGGGTTGTTGATGTTAGGAGGGGTGCTAGGGATGGAGATGCGGTGCAATATGATTTGCTGGTTTCAAGGGATGTGATTCTGTTGGTGAGTGCGCTGCTCTCCGTCGGCGAAGTAAATGATCTGTCATGTGTTTTTGACCTTTGCCATGAATGTTTCGAATCGTGGGATCCTCTGCCGTCTGCCGCGTCTGGCTTGCTGCTGCTGCCGCCGCCAGCTTCGAATACACGGCAGCTATTCCTATGGAGCGATACAAGATCTTCTTTTCTGTGGTATGGATCAGAATCCCCCTTGCGTAGCTTTGGAGAGTGGATTTGGGCATAAGTTCCGGCCTTATGGCTGCTGTGGTACTTCGACGACTTGCGGCGGGTCGCGGATGATGATCTGGATGTAATTTCCTGAGATGATGAGCGATGTCCGCCCGTTGAACAAGAAGAGGTCCTAGATCTACTGGCACTCTGTTTCGATTCGGTGTGGAGGCGTTTTCTGGAACGGGAAGGTGTATTTGACCGGGCTGACGAGTCTGCTGGCGTCTTGATCAAACGCTGCGACTCATCATGGCGTGTTTCATTGCTCGTTGCGGAAAACTGGGTCCCTGGCGTCAAGGAACCTAGTTCTGATATTGCTGGAGAACGACTCTGCTGCATGTTGACATCGGTAGCCTCGAGAGCGGGATAATACTTGGGTTTGGCATGGGAACTGATGCTATATGATGATTGTGCTGCGTTTGGTTCAGCAGTGTAGTGCGCGGGCACGAAGGCATCAACGGTAGCATAGAGCTTGTCATTGTGCTCTGGATGTGGGGGGATATATAAAAAGGGCGAGGTGATGCTGTCCTCACGTATATGTACGGGAGAATGGCTTTGATGCTGATCGACCTCAGAATCACTCCCCGTCTTGCATGTGAAGGTACCCATGCTTAGTCAGGGCATTCACCGGGCTGTTGGCTGCTATACGATTCGGTATGGAGTGAGATGCCCGAGAAACTGGGCAGCAAAGATATTATTAGCAGATGGTGTCTGGAGCCATTTGATGCGCAGACCATCACATGGCGCAAAATAATTCCGTCAAACGTACCAATGAAAGCGCGCATGCGCAGTTTCAGGTTGTCTCTGGACAATGGAGTTTCGACCACGAGAACTAGCCACTTATATATGAGGTAGATAACCCCGCGTCGTTTATGCAGGAGTACTCAGTATAAATAAGGTAGGGTAAATAGGACAGACACAGAGAGAGGGTACTTTGAAAGTAGAGCAATAAAGGCACAAGATGTAGAAGTTCAGAGTATGTAACTTATATGTGCAGAAGTTCAAACTTTCTTACTGGAGTTCATATGGGTGTTTCCAGTATCATGGTATATTAAAAAGAAAAGATAAAAAGCAGAAAGAAGAGAATGTGAAATATAGAAAGCTCTATGTGATCAAAAATGATGCTTAAAATATGCAACAAACAGGAAAAAAGAAAGATCACTATCTGAACAGAATGATCAACATTCTGAGGTCTGGTCACAAAAGAGAGAAGAAAAAAGAAAGAAAAAAAAAAGGAAAGGCCTCTTGCAGCAGGGCGGCAGACACCTGTTGTGGGGGGGTCAAACAGGTTGGACTGAGTCTGGTGATATCAGTAATAAGAAGTCAATGAAAGAAATATCCGGGGTTGTCAAAGGACATACATATATATACGGAGTGGAGCGCCCACCAACAATGCCTAAGAATAACCATACCATACCAACACATTTATTATTATTTATCCAGAACAAGAGTCCCACAAAGGGAAAAAAGGAAAAAGAAATAGTCAACGAAAACTTCGGCATATTCCCAGGTCCCGCTTTTAGTTTTCGTTTTGTAGCCCTCTCTCAGGCGCCCATTGTTGCTTCATCCACAACGGTCCACAACCGGTTGATTCGACAGCATTTTGTGGCGATTTGCCGCCAGGGTCTTTGAAAATCTGACTACGGAGTATGGGTCCTGGGAACGAACGGGGACCACGTTATGCGCCCGGCGAGCGACGCTGGCGAGCAGCTGCCGGGAACTTATAACTTATTCCTCCACATGAGTGGCCAGAATCGACTCAAGGCGAGGGCACCAAAAACAACAAAGCCGGCTGGGGGAGCCCATCAATCCATGCCCTTGCTCTTGCTTGGTTGAAGGCGCGCTGGGTTGTGGACCGTCGAGGCATTCGAGAACCAAGCAGAGGCAGAGTGTGTCAAATAATAAATGGTCATTCGGGACCTTATCTGTGGCTTGTTTTACAGAATAATGCGCCACCGTTTGTTGGGCCTTTGCCGGGGGGGAGTCAAGATCAAACCTCATAGAGTCATTACTGCGTAGGTCGTTCGTTGACTTAAGCGGGGAGGGAGTTAACGAACGGTAGAACTTAACTGATTATTAGAAGAAAGTGAAACTGAAACAGATCAAATTGGCTTGAACAAATGGAATAATATCATACATAAATAATCCATGCTTGTTCTGCTTTTGTGTTGCCCGGATATAAAAAATAGAACGTCAATCAACATGGGGATAACCAAGCTTGCTGCCAATTTCATTCATTATTCATTTCTCCCGCCGAAACTAACACTGACGGGTATAAGTTATTAATAAGAATAATGTCCCACTGAGCAATTGCAGGGACACCGCCGACAATAATAATCCTCATTTTTTTATTTCCTTTTGCCGCAGACTGAGTGGGTTCGATTGACGGGCCAGTTTTGCAGCTAGAGAAAGAATAGGCTTAACCCAGCCACACCGCCAGTCAAGGAATCCACAGAAGAAAAGCTTCTGAGAGCGGTGACCAGCCGCTTGCAAGAGTTGGCCCCCGCTATCGTTTAGTTACGTTTGTTGGCAATATCAGCGTGTTTTTTCTCAGTATGGATTGAATTTGCACCCCTTTTGGCTTTTGGTTGGTTAGCAGAGGTTGGGTTGACGGCAAAAAAACCAGAACGCCCAAAGCTTCAATAACTTAATAATAATAGTTAAAAAGACTGTCTATCACACTGTCCAAGTGTCCACCGCCTTGACAATCCCCATTTCATTCCGAATGGATAATGGATTTGACTGGGTTGCTCCTCGTCAAAAAGCATACGAATTGTTTGTTCCCACTATACGGAGTACACATCCAATCAACAGTACTCTGACACCCTCAAACGGCGCCCACCAGTTGCGATCGCGGGGTTGAACCACTGACCAGTCGTCGTCGGCTCCTGCGGCCGACCGTGTGAATACCTATAAGGTCATGGCTGCTGTCTATTATTCTGTGGTTCAATTCGTGCTTGCATCTCTGCATATAACCGTTCTCGTTCTCCCCCCCTCCCCCCCTCCTCCTCTCTCTTTGCGAAAACTGACTGACCTGCCTTGGCTTTGGCCAAACAGTAGGCACGGCACGGCACGGCTGCTTCTTCCGATTGGTAAAATGCAAGGGCATTGAATACCGGAATATTAATATTATTATAGGAGAAACCTGAGATCGTCACAGGGGAATGGGATGGTTATGTTATGGCATGGAACAGATAAAATTAAGGGACCTAAATATACAGAGAAGAAATTAGAAATTAATTTGAACAGTGAAATAAATACTGCAGAAAAGAAACCCCCCCCCCCCCCCAATGCTATCTATCTCTCTGATACTTTGCTACCCTCTCTCATCATAGTTATTAGTAGGTTTATGGAGTATGTGTACATATATTCAACCATAGACCTCAACAGACGTTCCTACACTTACATATCGTCCAAAACCCCATGGGCTGTAGGGAGGAATCGAGTTCCTTGCATCGTCGTCATTGATAACGGGAGCATAAAAAAAAAAAAAAAAAAAAAAAAAAAAAAAAAAAAAAAAGATATTGGTCCGGCAGACACACCGGATGGATGGGCGCGCCTCTTGAGGTTTGCGGTTGTGCATGTACCAGTAGAGGGATATTATTAATACATACAATGCACTGTACATGGACGTCTTATGTCGAGAGGATAGGAAATTTCGATAGTTGTTGAAAGAATTGTGTGTTTAGTCTCTCGCATATTTTTTTTCGGGATTCGGAGCGAATATTTACTTGTAAACTCAATGGTTCTGATATTTTCAAGGATTCTCAACTGATGTTGATTGTTATTCAGCTATTTAATGCTCATAAGTAACGCATATCTCATATCTCTCGAGCTCAACTATCGTCTCCTTTGCCTACGCCAGATTGCATGGACCCTATCATAACAAGTCACAAGCAAAGTGAGCAGTGAGTCTTATGAGAGCCAGCCTCACTGATAATAGTTTTAAATCTTCCTCTGCCTACCGGGATTTCTCTGCTACGCTGTTTCCCCGCGATATTTTGCTCGTTTAATGACCGACACATGAGAGAGTCTGAGGTAATGAGATACGACCGGTCCCATAATAGCTAGGTGTAAGGACACATCATAACTGAGCATGTGGTTGGTATCAACCAAATAGCTGAGGGAATATCGTATCATATATGACGAGGTAAGATGGGAAATCTAGCCCCTGCTCGTCTTGCGTTCCTTTTTATTTGTGTTTTTATCTTCATTTATTTTTTATTTTTTTTCACGCCTGGTACCCCTTAACCCTCTCCAAATACGCCCGCCACCCTTCCTCCCGATACCTCTGAACCGCCTCCACAGGATCCGACGCGGCATATATACCCCGGCCCGAAATGATAAAATCCGCACCCCTCCCCACCGCCGACGCGGGAGTCTGATACTGCTGCCCCAACGCATCCCCGCTCGACGACAAATTCACCCCCGTCGTAAAGACCACAAAGTCTTCTTCTTCTTCTTCTTCTTCTTCTTCTTCTTCTTCTTCTTCTTCTTCTTCTTCTCCTCCGTCTCCTTCTCCACCGCCAACCGGCAGCACCTCATTAAGCGCCCTCGTCGCCACAAACCCCAGCACAAACCCACGATGCTTCCTAGCCGCCTGCACCGACAACTCCGTGTAGGGTCCCGTGGCCATCGAGCCCTTGGACGTCATCTCCGCCAGGATAAGCAGCGCGCGCCCCTCGGCGGCATACGCTCTTTGGAAAACGGGGGAGGAGGCGGTTTGGGCCAGGGCGTCGACGATGCCCGGGCCGGCGAGCATGGCGCAGTTGACGATGTGGGCCCATTCCGAGATGCGCAGGGAGCCGCCGTGGTATTGTTTCTGGACGGTGCTGCCGATGTCGACGAATTTGCGGTCTTCAAAGAGGAGGAAGCGGTGTTTTTTGGCGAGGGCTTGGAGGCTGGTGAGGGTTGATGGAGTGAGGTCGGTGAGGATGTCGATGTGGGTTTTTAGGACGGTGATGTAGGGGCCCAGGCCTGTTTTTAGGAGTTAGTCTTATTATTGTTATTCTTCTTCTTATTAATATCATTTTATTATTTCTTATTCTTTCATTATAACCGTTTATGTTTTTGGGGAAGCTGTCTGGTGATTGTAGAAGGAGATATTGGAAAAAAAAAAGGGGGGGGGAAAGCGGGATAATTCTCACAGCCCCTCAATTAAAAATGAGGGGAGGGAAAATCTTTGAACGTACGGTCAGCTAGATCCAGCAACTCTTTCGTAGTCGTCACATCGGCGGAGACCACGACATTTGATTTCTTATCCTCTGCTATTTGGAAAAGCTGCTTGGCCAGTGGATTGCTGTGCCGGCTTGCCCGCACGGAGTATGGGAGGTGAGATTTTGAAGACATTTTTTTTCCTTTTCTCTTGGAAGAGGCGGGTTGAGATGCGCCGGGCGAAAAAAATGAACACTCGCGTGGTTTGATTTTATTTGCGCTTTTCTTCTTCTTTTTTTTTTTCTTGTTCTGTGCTCTCTTAAACAGCTTAATCGGTTCGTTCTTCTATGGGGAATTTGACAATGAGAACGCTGCTGGACTATTTATCTATTGAGAGTTGTCTGAAAGAAAGCTTCTGCAGCTTGATTGGCCAAACGCTGGATTGTAGCAAGGTCAACAACTCCCCTTGAAGCCGAATAAATGAGCAGTTCTTTACATCTTTACAAATAAAAGTTAAACGATTAAATAAGAAGTAGAAGAAGGTTCAGTAAGTAGAACAGAAATTCTGTTCTGACACATTCATGAATTACTAACTAGAAAGTTCTCAACATACAGTTGCTATCAACCAATGAACACAGATGAGTTAAATTTCATGAAGAGATTCAGTTGAAAAATAAAAAAATAAAATAAAAAAATAAAAAAATAAAAAAAATAAAAATAAAAAAATAGAGAAGTTCACTTGAGAGTGTTTAGATAGTCTCTGAAAGTTGTAGATTAAACATCTTCACCGAGAGACAATGATGTAAGAATATAGACTGTCAATCATTCATTCATATAATCTCAACATATCACTTGGAATCAATCTGAGTAAGAAAAGGAAACTAATTAGTGAGAATTTGAGAGTAATATTATAAACAATCAAGAATAGAAGTGCAATTTCATGAGTATCAAAGGTGCGCTCTAGATGCCTCTGATAAGTGATCATGGCATCTGTTTTAGTTCCATACATACTACTCCGTACCGAGCTACCGATGCATCAACACGCCTCTCCCCGACCGTGAAGAAGGTTGATAAATGGGCACAGTTGCGTAAGCAATAATAATAAAAATCCTCCTCTGGATTATTTCGTGCGTCCTACTTGGTATATGCGCACCCCAGCAGTCACTCGCTTAATGAAAGCGTGCCGTGGAACCTTCTTAGTTCTGCTTAGTGTACACATAAGGAGTAACTGTCTAGTGAATTAGGGATAAAGGTGTTGGTGTTAGTATTTATCCTCGACGAACGCGAAACCACGGCTTAGGATATTGAGCGGAGAATCTCAGTCAGTGCGCTCGCGAGTTTCGGGAGATCCATCATCCTCAAAAGTCGCGGGACCGTCTCCATAAGACCCTGCTGATGAATCTTGACCCAGATTTTTAATTTCGATCTCATATCGGTTATAGAAACTGCCCCATATATCCACTAGCATATTATACATCAGCACGGCAGTGGCTTCATGTTTTGGGAAATTTCTTGGGAATTGCCATGGCCAGGATGATTTTCCATGTGTCCCCCTGGTCATGAAGCGTGTCATAGATGCGATTATGTGCCTCGATAAAAAGCTGACAGCCGTGGCACGAAAGTTTACTGACTCCAAGGTAAGAATAGGCTTTGGCAAGGGATGGGTTCTCCGATTCCGATGCTGGAATAAGCAAGAGAAGTTTAATCTCGCAGTGGGTTACCAGATCTGTGCCTATCTGGTTCTTAGCATATATACGCTGTATCCCGTGTGACAGTTGATACCTTTAGTAACTTTTTCTCCTGCCTAAGGCGGGTTTCTTTGCGTAATTTGTTTCGTCGTGACAATGCTCTTTCGAAAACGTCTTCCCAATCCTTCGCATTTTTGCGGTATCGTGTGGGCTTTTGACATGGTTGCTGGAACAGCGTGGAGGTTGAATTCGTAACGGAAAAGATGACGGCATTGAGGTGACCATGAGACCTTCAGAATGTTATCCACTTCATTCATGGCAACAGCAACCTTCTTGAAATAGGATTCCCAGTGGTGAAAACCGCTTAACTGCAGGCGCTCGTCAGGTGTAAGGCCATCTTCTTTGGAGATGTATTTCAAACCATCTTGGCACATGCGGAACAAAGCAATCATCAGCTTCCAGGCTTCTGCATCATTCTCGTCTGGTTTCCCATAGATGGCACCCTGGTTTCTCGTAAAGTACTTTTCTAGTGCAATGATGGGCTTTAGAAAACTGTTGTAGGGGATGGTCCTCGTCAAACTCGGTTAGGTCGAGCCCTCTAAAGAGCGAGAATCTGCCATTGACGCGCGTTTGAATCAGAGCGAAGTTGAACTGGAGACACTTCGTTCGGAAGTTGAAGACGAGATTCTGAAGTTCTCGGTTTTTTATTTCGTGAGTGGGAGTTGACTCCTCACTACTTGCTGGATATAATTTGTGATAGCGAACGGATAGATATCTCTCTTGGTGCTGTCCAAATCCATTTTGCATGCTCCTCACATGTTACGGTCGGGACAGTCGTATTGCTACTGATCTTAATGGTAATCTTTTCTGCGGTTGTATCGACACGGAGAGCGGTGGCAATGACCTCATGGTTCGCGTTAGAAACGAGGAGGCCCGCGAGCGAGTCCAACAGCTTGGTTATTTAACTTCCCAGGAACGGAACGCGGGTAGGGGAGGACAGAGGTACTAGTTCTTCTGTGTCAAGGGAGGACCTATTTATTACTCGGGAGCTGGGCTCTGTCTCACTTCTCCAACTCTCCTATGGCGGCGATCAGATTTTAGATATCTGAGGCTGTCGCTGGCTCTTCAAAGGATTTCGGTAGGCGCATGTCGTCTTGCTGGCGTTGCTCTATAGCTCTGATTTGCGCAGTGACATCGACCTGCCTCAGATACCCCAGCCATATTATTGTCTGGTGGGGGGTCTGTCCACTGAACCCTGGTCATGATGGATATGTGTACTACTATATATATGTGTACTTCGGCCACTTGGAAGTTTAGGAATCGGTGTCGAAGCTTGACCCGATACGGTAGGTTTTTGTTTTTAGACTGACTTCGCTCTCAGCACGTCGTAACCAGGTGTATAATTGATAAAGTTGACTCCCCCCGCCTTTATCAAGCTCAAAAAATAAAATCACGCCACAGCTTCAATTAGCTTCGGTTGACAAAGATTTAAGAAAAGTGTAGAGTGAGGGGTTGCAGATTCAACATTGCCAAGGATTCAATTGTATGTAATGGATGAAAATATAAATACAAACCCTTGCACCGGTTCACTCCACTTCTGAGTGAAAAATAAAAATATTAAAAAGAAAGAGAGTAGAAAGATAGAAAAATTTCAAAAAAGCACAGCCTTACGATCCCCAGAAATTGTCTCCCTTCACCATCGAAAACGCAACACCAAAAGCGCTAAGGCCCCAAAGGCCAAGCTGCGCAAACGTATGCAGCGCACCGATATATCTCCCCTTCCCGTACGGCTTGTCAGAGTATACGTAGCCGTACATATACAGGGCGCGCATGACGATCCAGGTGCCGGTCAGGGCGATGGTGGCGCTGGGGTATTTCAGCCCTGCGACGAGGGCGGAGAGGGTGGTGAGCGGCATGTGTTCAAGGAAGTTGCTGTGGGCGCGTTGGGCACAGTTGAATCTGTGGGCGGCGGGCTGGAGAGGGGATAATTGGAATGTTAGCGGTTGACGGTTCTTCTTCTTTTCTTCTGGTTGAGGGGGAAGACTGAGGAGATGATTTATGAGTTGTGCGGATGCAACGTACGTTCTGCTTGCACTCCTCAGGAGTTGCGTAGGCATGGGGATACCTGATGCCAGACTTTTGGCGGTTCTTCCCGACGACGAAGATATGGACGAAGTTGAGGAGGGGGATGACTCCTACGGCGAGGGCGAGGACATTGCTGTTGGGCGGTTGTTTGTTAGCTCTGGATAGCCTGTTCAATTGGAATGCGATGCGATTGTGATTGATGATGATGATGGACGCTGGATGGGATAGAAGGGAGGGAGGGACATTGGAGAAATGAGAAGGGAACGAAATTGAATAGCATTGCATACCCGTAGTTATCTGGAAGAGTGATGGTAGTAACCATTTTTGCAATTGATGCGGGATGGAATTGTTAGGCGAACGATAAGTTAATACTCTGGCAAGATGGATGCAGATGCAAGTGTTGAATTGGTTCTTCGTTCTCCGCACGAGAGACAGTTGGAGGCGGGGAGGAGGACGAGGCCACTTATATATAGTTACAGCAAAATAATACAAAATTAAATGGAAGTCTCAAACTCTGTTCCCGTCCCACCCACAGGCGTATCGTATGGCAATTGCCATTGATGATAATACTGGTCAGGCTACCTTGGTATATCCACTATCCAACTCGATCTCTCCATACCGCAGCTTGGCGCCAGTCCGCGATGACATGTTCACATCTACCTAAATACCTACAGTTATTATGAGGTTGGGGGGTATGTTATGTTACACAGCTTCGGGCATAGTTTGATCTTATTTCGGATTACAACAATGCATGGAATATCCTAGAATAAATTAATTATGCATGCTTTTATTTAATAGCTGTATGAGCTCGGAGCTTCAGTCTTAGCGCCGGCACAACATCATCCCGCGCCCTCCTGCCGATGGGACAACAAGGCGATAGCCGGGCGAACAGAGGGTGTTACAATGAGCACCCATCATTGATACTGATTGTATTAGCAATCAGGACTTCCTCCTTGAAGATTTTATGAAATAGTGACTTCACATCAAGGGAGAGCTCTATATCTATACTCAGCTCAGAGGGAACTTTTTATACCAACCCCCCCGAATGGCCAGGGTGCAAACAAGTCAAACACTAGACAACTTGCTACACGACACGGCCCGTCACTTATCCTCACAAGTTGATCTTTAGTCCCAGGAAAATGAGGTCTCCATACATACATACACCTTTCCCAACAGTGATTCCGTGGCCCGGGAAATCGATGATCTTTCAGATAATGACATCGCTCGTCCCGGCAGTAACGTAATCAACCACCCAACGCCCGCCCAATCTTCATTTTTTCATCCATCTTCAAACATTCACAACATGCATCATGAAGCAGTTATACAAGCAGCAATTGATGATTTGAATACACAATTGATCCCTAATTATACTGAGACTGCTAAAAAATATGGAATCAGTTGATATACATTATCATGATGTTATAGAGATGTTCAAACATCAAGAAAGAAAACAAGCTCTACTCACTGTAAATGTAAGAAATCCCGCTCCTCGCGGATCCTTTACCCCTATTCCTATCTCTCGCGTAACCAATAGGGTTAGCGGCCCTTGGCTACACACAACTATATAGACTGGAGTTCGCGAATACTATTTGTAACTCAGCTTGAATGCTATTATATATTTAATCTCTACATTTTATCTTTCTACTGTGAATACTTCTAGTAGCTATCAGTATATATTATATCAAGCTGCAAATACCTGAATAATTGTCTGTGAGTACTTATTCTTATATTTCAAGCTCTATCAGTCAGCAATCATCTGTTATAACTGAAAGAACTAGAAACTTATATACTTTAATCTCTGTGAACTCTACTGCAGATATTCAGAAGTAGCTATCTAAATCATGAATAATCTCTGTAAAAGAAGTCTTAGAGAACTTATTAATTACTCACAGAATATTATTCTCTATATCTATAATAGAGAAACTCTTGCGGTAGGGGGATGGTTCCGATTTTCAAGGCCAATGCTAACATTTTCGAGAGGACAAGGGTTTGAGTGAGCTTGCGCTCGTACGACCAACCGCCTTGCGTGTTATTGGCGTGGTGGATGACCCCCTTAGTTGCATTCTCGGCCACATAGATCCCCCAATGGTACTCAACCGCAGCAACTGAAAGAATGAGATAAATCCCGTTGGCTTCCATGGTGGTATGGGATCGATGGTATGGGGTCAGACGGGATAGATCGAAAACGCTGGAAACCGTCGATTGAAAATGCGATGAGCTCAGGACGTAAAGCCCGCCAGAGTTGTCGGAACGAGGTGTATGGACCGAGACGACGAAGACAGGAAAGGGCTGGACTTTGAAGAATTGGCAACGAAGTATGCCGCGAAAGGGGGGAGTGGATATAGGGTTCTGGATACTGGGGGCAACGGTTGAGTATAAGATTGGAGAATCGATTCTGGTTCTGTTGGTTTGGATTTGAAGACATCCAGGGACGAGGGCAGAGTTAAGGCGCTTTATATAGGCGATCCTGCGAGGCGGCCCATGACCCTCCCATCGGTTGTCATCGTTCAGTAGCATGTACAGAAGAAAGGAGGGCGCAGTCCTCAGTGGAGACATGAAAGAGGACAGGCGTACGTTCCTTGGAGAAGGTTGTCGGCGCGTGCGGTATCCAGTAAAGCAATGGGAACCAACAGATGGTGTTTCCCACCATGACGCAGAATGCGCCCTGGACGTTTTGGGACAGGGGTATTGCCATCTAAGGGTTTCCATTGGTAGTGAACGTGAAGCGCTTGCCGCGATCGCCTGCGCCGTTGCTATCGTGTTTTGTGTATGGCCTCTCGACGGCCAATGAATCTACCGCCGGTAGCACATGAGCGCGACAGGTTATATTTATAGGTGCATTTCCTATAAATGTAGAAAGAAGAAATGCTGATGAGTTTCATCCTTCTTTCAGGTTATGAAGTCTAAAACCAATCCTAGCCAAGCCTGTTGGGGCAGGGGGTTATTCTGGGCACTGGCCACTTGAAATCATTGATTACGGGGAATAGTGGGTTGATTAATCGAAATCTTCCTTTGGTTTCTTCTTTACAATGGTCAGCAATGCTCAACACCATATCTGAAACTGAAGTAGGAAGCGCTTCATGCAGCAAAAATGTAGATCAGAAGGGACAGGTATGGGCTTGGAGTACCCGTTCAGCTCTCCATTCATCAGGGTATTCAGGGAACGCCTTTTTCATCGTTTCCAACCAAAGCTGCCATCCGTACACAACATAGCACGCCTTGCTGTACTCCCAATACTCAGGATACCAACCTGCAAATTCCCAATCAACAAACCCAGATAATCTACCACTATGTACCAGCACGTTTCCTGGCTTGAGATCCGCATGCGTGAAGAAAACACGGTATGGCCGGGAATGTACCTCTGCAACCAGAGCTCTATCAGCGTCTTCTGGAATCAGGCTAGAGATGCTCATGAGACGCTTGTTCAGATCCTCAATTTTGTTGTAGGGTCCGTTCCCGCCATTGTCATGGTCAATTCGACAATCGCGACACTCTCCACCAAAGTGGGCTGCAGATAAGATGGGAATAGGGATTTGGGATAGATCGAATTTGCTCCACATAATCCCTAAAATCAATGCTGAACTGCTCTAGTTGTTCAGCATCCATCAACGGGAGGCATTTTCCCGCAATGTCACCCTCGATGCGAGTGGTCAACATCCAACACTCTTCTGCTGCTGGTAACTCGATAAAATCAAGAACCCGAGGTGCATTTAATGTGGTGTGTTTTGCCACCAATTCAAGTGCACGCGCTTCGTTCACGAGACGCTGAGACGGGGCCCGTTTGAGGTATAGATTGAAGGGTAGCCGTTGAACATTAAGCACACCGTAAGTCCCGGTACCGTAGAAGTATGTACCAATTGGAAGGAGAAGGCGATAGAGAAAGAGACGGGCGGATTGTGGGACAAGATGGTAGAGTTGAAGTATTCTCAAGGGCGGCTGAGACGACGCGCTGGAATTAGCAAAACCGTAGGTGATAGGAGGTGAAAACGGGAAATTTTGACGTACCTGGCCCATATTTTCAGAAGATCCTTTGCTCTCCACCGAAAGAAAACTTTGTTAGCTGGCCAACCGCTGAAAATCCTTTTCCCCCTTTTCGTCAAAGCAGCTTTTGTGCCAAAGCAAACTGAATGAATCGGGGCTCTCCAATCGACCGATAGCCATCAACAACGTGATCGGGTGAGTGTTCTCTCTGTAGGCTACTGGGGCAAAAGAGCTCAGTCACCACCAGCGCTGCTGGTAGAAGGGCCGATCAACCCCCGGGACCCCCAACACTCTCCCACAGGGGCCACGGTAACACCAGGAGCGTACTTTTTCATCACTACTTACCGGCCTTGCTCACTGTGGACGCTCTTTCAAGAGGCTCACCCATAATAAAACTATCGTCAAATATTGGATGGAGTGTCACGGCAGATGAGGTTGCAAATCAGAAACATGCCTATCTTCATTCACGTGGGACCAAAATCAAACGTTCCGGAAGTCTACCGATATTTCACAAGGTCCAATATTGGATATCTGGTTATGGAGTTCATTGATGGCATTTCATTCGAAAATATCATGCCCCAGGAAAATCCTGAAGTCATTCAAAATTTGGCTGAAGCAATTATACGGTTTCGCTACGAAAGTTCCACCAGACTTCCCAGGGCCTCGGACTCGCGGGATACCTCGAGGGTACCTGTTTTCTGAGGACGGGGCTGGAAAATCACTCGGCTCAATGAAAAGTCTTAATTCATGGCTGGGTGAACGTGCCCGACTTACTGCTTCGGAAACCGCATTCGATTTTCAACTTTCCGACTTTGTGTTCTGCCATATGGATCTTAGTCGACGGAATATCATTCTTCAAGATGGGTGTATTTATCTTTTGGACTGGGAATATGCGGGCTTTTATTCTCGAGAGTTTGAAAAATACTCCATCCTATTTATAGGACAGAAGGAAGACCCCAATTTCGCATACAATCTCACAAATGCGCTTGACTCTATATATCAAAAAGAGGGTATGAAAACTAAAGATGGACATATAATTGGACTTTTGGATCGAGTTTATCAGAACAATTTGAAATATATTTTGTATGTCTCCTCAGAAAGCATTGATGACACTTGAACTAACGAAGTCAACAGTTCCAATCCACCGGAGATAGACTGGGAATCAGTGAAGCAGTTTGATTTGCTTATTTGATGTACCATGTGTCGAGTAAATTTTACATCAGCAATCAAATAGCTCTAGTAAAATTCACCAATTTCCATTGGATCTGGGAGCTGCACAATGTGTCCTTGGGCGTTTCTATGGTATCGATTTTGCATGCGTTGCATGAACCCGTTCCTCTCATTATCGGAGAGCGGAATATATCCTTGACTCGTCATATCCAAGAAGACCGTTCCCCTATAAGATACGTTAGATGAATCAAGTTTCAAGAAAAAGGTTCTGCTTAGCCGACATACATACACTCAATAACGACAGCCATTTCCAGAACCTGTCATTTGATACCTGGTGCATCCCTTCACCTGAATCAATTGGAGGCAGTGCCCTACTTTGGGATTGGCGCAAGTATGATAATCAAAGTATGTAAGCCTTGAGTCTGATAGGGCATAGGGGTGCAATGTCGCGCTGAAAGTCCCATTTTCATCGCCACCATTTGCAAGAGACATGTTCAAGCGAACATATGATGTTTCACCCTGGAGAATCAGGTATATTGACCAATGGTTTCTGCTTTTACCCATGGTGTGAACCACAAATCTGACCTTGGCAACAGTCATATCGTTAAAGTTCATTTTTGGCGGTCCAAGAGACTGTGGTGCAAAAGACCAAAGCGGGGGAGGATGAAGAAAGCATGCGCTTTGACAAACTTTCCGCCTGACAAACCTTCAGATCCCTGTTTGACGCTTACATGAATTATACAACAACCCTCTGTTCATGGTATTGTTCAGTACCAATAAATTAAACTCTAGGAACATGCGCGGTAATCTATGGTTTAGGAAGTGTCTTGGCAGCGAGATGTGGTTAAAATGGAACCCGAATTTGGTAGCTTCTATGGCTCATTTTGTTGAACGGTGTAAAGTTTGCTTGATTGAAAATTGCTAGACGTGAACGACATGGACGGCGTCGCGCCTCTCGTCTGCTGGGATGGCTTCAGGCCACATATACAGGAGCTGATATATAGTTCTACAGCTATAGCTATACTGACACACACTATGACCTTTGAGGCTGTTCCAATCAGAGTCGAGAAGGTGTCGCATGTTTTCCATGCAATTACCCTCGAGGGGAGCTTCCGCGCGAGTAGTCTCGCTCGTACTGCATCGTTTTTGTCTATGCTGCCAGGGATTTGAGTTCCTGCGCCAAAAAGCAAGACTGCGCTCTTCAGGTTTGGACACGTAGCGATTTTACGTTCGCGAGTTTTTTTTTTTTTGGTTGCCGGAATGATACCCTTTGTATCACGCATCTGTTCCAAAGACGTACCCAAATGGTAGTAGGCTGCTGAGATTGGGAGGGGGATCTCGGGTAACCGAGCATGAACAAGAGCTCATGTCTGGAGGGCCTAGGGTTTGTGGTTCCTGGTGTCAAGTTGTTGATATTCGTTTGCATCGAGTGTTTCAAAACCAGCAGCTAGCATAAACTAGCCATCATCCCTCAGGAGACCTAGCACATTCCCGATGTTGGTTCTCAAGGATGCGACAAGAGCTCGTCCTGATTTCTCAAAGGGATTGCAAGCCTGGTCCATGATGCTCTGAAATGGGTCAGGTGAATCCACGTAGCCAAGTAAGCTCTTTGACAACGTCCTCTGCGGTGAGAGGCACAGCTCTGCCGGGAGGCCCATGACCCGTTCGACGCTGCTGATACTGTGCTGGGCCACTTGAACCACGATTTTGATATACAAGTCGCCCTTGATGGGCGGTAGGCCGCTAATATGAGTGAACCCCGGCAAATTCTCAAAGAAGCCGAGGATATCATGCAGGCCCATCAAGAACCGGTAGACGTGAAAGAAGATGGAGTCGTATATCTGTAGCAGTTGTATGTGGCCAGACAAGCACATGAGCACGACCGGTGTGTTCAAAGGCGACGATCCGTGATCCTGGATTGGCGAGATGATTTGCTTGACAATGGCCGCCAATTTGGAGGTACTCTCCAGGGCCCGGAGGATGGGGTTCACCTGCAGATCCACGACCTTGTCAACACATGAATGGATGAGATTTGGAGGGGGAATGCTTAGAACGAAAGTGTCCATGTGCGAAAGCTGATGGGCGATGTCTTCGTTGAGGCGAGCAAGCCGGGCGAGGACGCTGCTCGAGCCGAGACACGGCTCCGACAGTCTACTTGCGATGTTAAGGGCGTTGCCGGGTAGAGATTGAAGCTGAATAGTAGGGTCAACGCAGAAATCTAGACTGTTGTTACCAGGCAGAGCGGGAAGTGATTTTGGCGCCGGCTGCTCTCTACCATGCAACCCATGGAGGTCTGCTCCAAGGGTGAAGGCGCCTGGGTTGGGACCATCGGCAAGGTTTGAGAGCGGGGCAGTGTCGTTAGGGAATCCAAGAACCAGGGCATCCACGACTGCGCCCGGAGTCTGGCTGCCGGATACTCCCTCGTCGAAGAACATGCTATATAGTTCGGAGTCCACAGTGAGGGGGTCGTGGAAGCTATCGAAGCTGCTGTTACCTGGAGTCGATTTTGACGCAAGTTCCTGGAAGGATTCGGTAGGGGTTTTGGGCTCTGTTTCCGCAACGGATGCGGGGGACACTTCGGGCACAGATTTGGGTGCTGTGACAGCTACAAATACTGAATGCCGTGGTCGTCGGGGTCCCCGTAGCTGATGCGTGTTGTTGGGCCTGGTGGGAGGGCGTCCGAGTGGTCTTGGAGCGCCCGTTACGCAGGATACGTCAGCTCGGACACAGCGGACGCAAGGTCCATTGTCCAGGCTTTGCGATCGCAAGCATCGCAGCTTGTGTTCTCGACATCGGTCGCATGCCGACCGCTTAGCAGCCGGCCGCCGCTGGTGTTGCTGCATGGTGGTGATGGTGGTCAGTCAGGTTGGTACACACGCAAAGGGCGATGGTGTTTGGGTAACTAAATGAACCGGAGTATCTTTAATCCGTCCCGCATCAATATAAACTACCTACGAGGGCTCATCAAGTTTACATAAACATCTCCTACTAACTATTATTTTACCTATGTGTTGCATGATGAGTGTGAATTGATCTGCCTCCGTGTTAGGGGCACAATATGGGCTAAATGGCACTGCCTTGAATGCTGCTGCTTCTAACCTCCGATCGGCGCATTCACGCATTCGGAGCCTTGAGAGTTGACCATCTCTACTTACAGAGAGGTTTATATTATCCCATTTTATCTAATACTAAATATCCTCAATCTCCCGACCTGGTTTTCTATATGGTCCATTGCCGGTTTTATTTTGGGGTAAATGCCTCTTGCGCCGTTCTGATGTCGAGAATGTATCTTACTTAGTCTCCAGCACAGTAATCTTGACGGCATGATATGATTTATACCTCCCAGATATTTGTCGGCAACTAAGGCAACATTTCTTTCTCTGAATTCCCCTAAACTTTGCTTCAAATGTCGAAAAGCTACTCTGAGCTGCATATCGCATGATCATAGGTATTGAGATCCATGAAGGATAGCAAAAGTGGACATCTCTCTTTCAATCTCTCTCTCAGCAGGAGCCAAGCTGAGGAAAGACTCACTTTAAAGTGGCAGGGAAACCAATGCTGATTGAGAAGTTACCTGTTTCCAGTCTTGCATACGCAAGAGCTCAATATTACATGAAGCTCCAGATAGAACGCCAATGCCTTCTGCCAGCTGCCCGCAGTACACAATCGTCCTTGTCACTCAGCGCTGCAGGTGAACGGAAAATATGCGAGGTTGAATTCGCAACAGGAGGAATGAGCGCTTCTGGCGCCCGCTACCCCGTTAGCTGAGAGATCCATTGTCTTTCACTTATGGGAGATAGGCATACTAGGTACAGAGGACAATAGGCTGGTAGTGCTGGGATTCCCGAGCTGGTAGCTTGAAATAGAGAATACTTGAATAATTACAAAGCTCTTGTATCACAAAAAAAGAAAAAGAAAGAGAAAAAAGAAAAGAAAGAGAAAAGAAAAGAAAAGAAAAGCTGTCTTCGCACCGTTTCCCAAATGGAATTGTGCATCTGGCTATGATGGCTGCGTTAATATTCAGCATGGGATCCCGGATGAGAACCTTACCCCAAAACATCCTGCTCGTGACAAGTTCGCACGCCTTCATGAGGTCCTCTATTGCGAACCTACTAGAGTCCAGAACAGCCTTTAACCTTCCCTGTTCGACTATCTCAACAAGAGTCAAAACTTCATACATGTTGGGAGTATTGGTGAAGAGGATATAGGAGCGATGATTGCCACTGATCCAGGTCAGACACGAGCTGTTCAAGAACCATCGAACCATTTGTCTCAGGACACCGTCTCCTACATGAAAAGCGCCGATGTTGACCAAAGGGGCCACCTGGACAGAGATATCTTGAAGGTTTGCGTAGAGGGCCTGCAATCCATAGGCCGAGGCCAGAGAGCGTGGCAGCAAGGCGTGTTTCTTGTAATCTACAAACTGTGGACAGCAACATGCACTATCATCAGGGCCCCAGAAGCATAATGGAGAATAACGCAGGGTGAAGCATACTTTGTCAATTCCGCATCCTCGAAACAAAGCTTCATTTGGAATCACTCGCAACTCCCAAAAGGAAGGCAACCTAGGGCACGGCACAGCTGCACGGCGATGTGTTCGACAATCCCACTGGCCCTATTGACGAGCACCGGCCGGCACGAACGGACCTTGGTAGTTCGAACCACAGTCGAGGCTGTTAACCCGTTGGAGATAAGTCCAGCGTGCTGACCCAGGCTGAGAACCAGGTGCTCACCAGCGCCGTGCTCCTCGACACCGGGTCCCGAGAGTGACACAACATAGGCCTCCGGTAGAGAGAGTAGAGCTCATTCTGTTGAATTGACTAATTCAATCACAGTCACTCATTCTCTATTTTCAGACTAGATAAGAGATGACTTTTCTGCTCTTTTAGACCTAGTTATCACTAAGACTGATGAGATAACTTTCATAAGAAACTTCGCATGTGCTCTTTCAGAACCCCGGTGCCGCAGAACACAATGCTCATCGGCCCCGTCATGGCCAGCACCCGAGTGCCGGGCTACCGGGCTGCCGTAGCCCTTCGGAAGCCTCGTCCCCCGCGACAGCGACAGGACAACGCGAGAGACGCAGAGCTCGGGGACTAGGGGCGGTGCAAAGGGCAGAGGAAGAAAGACGCCCATGAAGTGGACGATCAAGAATCCGAGCACGACGTAGGAGACGAGGGCGATGATGTTGCTGGAGTTCGGGCCGGCGTGGGAAACGAACCGACAAGCTTGAGGGACGACTTGTAGTGGCCGCGATGCTGGTAGGCCTAGGCTCGCATTGTGGACGGCATTGGTGCCGCGGGATCGGAGCGTACCATGTCTAGCTGTCTATCTAGGATAGATAGCTGTTTGGAGAGACCTCCGAAGGCGAGTGAGCTGGTGTCTCAAAAGGCACGGAGCCGGACCTGTGCCAACGTCAGCTTCTTTGATTGATCATACATGCCAATGCCACACCATCTTAACCTAAGCGCGTCCAGCATCTTAACGTGAGGCGCATAGGCTCGAGGCTGTCTGCAATTTAGTGATTGACCGTATCGACCCTTGTAGCGGGATAAGAGGCCACGGGTGAGGTTGCATGACGGCGCTACGTTAAACCCTCCGAATTTCCTAATTAGGCAATTTTATTTTTACCCTCCGAATATAACCCCTTTGATCAGAGACCCGCCCGATGAGAACACACCGAATGCACGGATGGATCTCCCTCCACAGATCCGGGGCGGGTATTTCCTCTCTCTTCTTTTGTTCCGAGAAATCTGCTCTTGTTCCTCAAGCGATCGCGCCCCCGAAACCAATATTAAGAGGGACGCCAGCAAGCAGGCAAATATCCCGAACCCATAGACATATATGGCATGGCATGATCCGAACACAGACCCCACGGCAAGAACATGCTATTCAAACCAAAGCACTCGCGAGTTACCTAAAACCATGCAAGAGTCTTTGACCAGAGGCGCGGAAGACGACGATGCACCCAGCAGCAACACCATGAATTTGTCGTCAGAGGCTACGACTCCAGAGATTTTAGAAGCTCCAGAGACCCTAGACACTATGCATGTGCCTCCGGTCAAAAGAGACTGGAGATTTTGGGCTCTCTTGGGTTCCATCAGCCTCGCGGGTCTACTCACGGCTCTGGAGGGAACCATTACGTCGACAGCGCTTCCCTCGATTATCGCCGATCTAGGCGGCGGCCACCTCTACATCTGGGTCGTGAATGGATATATGTTTGCCATGTGAGTAACACCTGGCGCTCGAGTGGGAGGAGAGGGGAACAGGCCTGTCTCTGGGTTTAACTAACCAGCCCTCCATTCTTCTCTAGGACGGCGATGCAGCCTCTGTACGGGCAGCTGGCAAACGTCTTCGGTCGCCGCTGGCCCATGCTCATCGCAACCGCCATGTTCGTGCTCGGCAGCGGCATCTGCGGTGGCGCAAACAACATAGGAACGATCATTGTCGGCCGAATCATTCAAGGCATCGGAGCCAGCGGCACCACCGTGCTCACCGAGACCATCATCTGCGACGTGGTGCCGCTAAGAGAGCGCGGCAAGTTTCTGGCCATCGTCATGGGCTTCATCTTCCTGGGTACCGCGCTGGGCCCTTTCTTCGCCGGACTCATCGTGCAGTACTCGACTTGGCGCTGGACTTTCTATCTGGCGCTACCCGTGGGCGGCGCTGCCCTCGTCTCTCTGTTCTTCTTCCTAAATGTCCAGTACAAGAAGGAGACGAACCTGGCTACGAGAATAGCGACGATTGACTGGATGGGGAACGTCATCTTCATAGCGGCCATCACGTCGGTTCTCCTCGGCTTGTCGTGGGCGGGAGGGCTGTACCCGTGGTCGTCCTACCACGTCCTGGTGCCGCTGCTCGTAGGCATGGCTGGTCTGGCGGGGTTCCTTGCCTTTGAGGGCTCTCACCTTGCCCCAAATCCCACCGTCCCGCTGCACCTCTTTTCCAATCGAACGTCAGTCGGTGTCCTTGTCATGACATTCTTCCACGGCATAATCACCGTGTGGCAGCTCTACTTCATGCCTGTCTACTTCCAGGGCGTTCTCGGCTCGTCGCCCAGCCTTTCCGGGCTCCAGATCCTCGCAACAGTCCTCTCCATCCTCCCTGCGGCGGGCATCGGGGGAGGTCTCATGACCAAGCTAGGCATCTACAAGCCCATCCACTACGTCTCCTGGGCCATCACTCTCATCGGCCTCGGCCTTTTCACCCTCCTGGACATGAATTCGAGCACCGGGCACTGGGTTGGCTTCCAGGTTGTCTACTCCATGGGAGTCGGCATGCTGGTTCCCACGCTTCTTCCAGCACTCCTAGCCCCGCTGAGCGAGTCTGACACGGCGCTGGCAACGGCAACATGGTCGTTTGTCCGCAGCTTCGGCATGGTGTGGGGGACGGCCATTCCCGCTGCCATCTTCAACACCCGCTCCGACGAATTGGCACCCAAGCTCATCCAGGATGCCACGCTCAGAGCCGAGTTCTCTGCGGGCCAGGCATATGAGCATGCTACTGCCGCGTTTCTTGGGACTCTGCCTCCGGCTTCACGTGTCGCAGTTACCCAAGTCTTTTCCCGGAGTCTGCGCCTAACGTGGTTGGTGTCACTCGCCTTTGCTGCTGTCGGGTTCCTCGCCGTGAACCTTGTGAAGGAGGTACCTATGCGGAGTGAGTTAGAGACCAATTATGGAATCGAAGAAAAGCCGAAAACGAAGGCCCCTAAAGCCTAAGAATCTGGATCTTGCAAGAAGTAGCGGCTTTTCTCTGATAACAGTCGCTGTAACAGTCAAGTTCCCGATTTGGGGGATGAACGGTGCAAAGCTAGGCGGTCAGATGAATTCCATCCCGCTGCAGAATAAAAGGATCCTATATACCGTATTTTGTCTGGACTACTTTTCCCTATCTGTCGAAGGAAGGGAGCAATATTTGGACGAAGGGCTCATGAGTCAGTGTATGCCTTCGGGAATTGGAAGCTGTTTCTCTTGTATAAAAGTGTAAATTATATGTTCCGTATTTGGCGGCTGTTTTAAAAGAGTACCGGATAGAGGTTTCATCTTTTTCTCTCAAGGGGAAGTGTTGGGTTTCAAGGGATAACACATCTCCCCCTTAATACGTTCATTGTTGTATCTTCATACCGCTAACTCATCTCAGATCCATCCATCTATCTTGCTGTCTTTAGAGTTAGTTGCGATTCAGAATACGATTTTGAATCTGTTCCTTCCTCAAAACTACGTATTTTCCAGCTGCTAGTCAATGGTTCCTATTTTTTTGATATTTAACAACCCGCATCGCATGGGGGCATTGTAGCCTGGGTTAGGTAGACTACAAGTGATCTGTTGATGTAAAATATCTTTCAGTTAAAACCTCTCCACATCTCTGCCGGGAAGTACATACCTACATCGGCCCGATTACTCTTACAACCATGGATCATGGATCGGAACAAATTTGCTCATAACCCTCCATTTCTCTTCCACTAAAATCCAATATTGATACCGTACGAGGTCAAGAGCAACAAAACTGTTTTCATGAAAAATGTCGCCTGTTGATGATGACAGCAATTCTAGTTTTCCCATAGAATTGTTTCCCTAAACCATGGCCAGTGATCATCCCGGCCATATTTCGCTGTCTCCCGCAATGCCATAAAGATCTGATACATGCCCTTCATACTCATCGTCGAGACGAGGTGTTGGGGCCCGTACAGCATCTGTAGAAAAAAGAAAGGAAAAAACAAATTAATCAACGCCATTTAGAATATGCCAAGTCGAAGGAACTTACAGTCTCGCCTTTATCTCCAACGAAACACCAATACGCCTTCCAATCAAGGCCTTCAATTTTCAAACATGGCATGGGCTTCAACGGCGCTTCCAGCTTTTCTGGATTTTTCATGGGCCCTTCCAGCCGCTTGCATAGAGCGACCATCCAGACACCTAGTTGTACCATACCGTCTGATCCAGGTAGAGTATTTTGCACTCAATCACTGTCAGCTGGGGCCTTCTTACCCCTAGTCTTGGCCACACAATCTATATAGACAGTTGCAACCATCTCTTTGCAACTCAGCTTGAATACTATTACATATTTGATCTCTATCTTTATCATTCATGAATACTTCTGATTGTTATTACATCTCATGTTAAGCTGTGAACACTTAGAATAACCGCTTACAAAGCTCATATTCCTACATTTCAAGCTGCTTGACATGAAATGTACTAGCAATCAGAAGTATTCATGAATGATAAAGATAGGGATCAAATATGTAATAGTGTTCAAGCTGAGTTGCAAAGAGATGGTTGCAACTCCAGTTTATATAGATTGTGTGGCCAAGACTTGCTAACCCTACTGGTTAGGTGAGTGGTGAGAATAGGGGTAAGAAGGCCCCTGAGGAGCAGGGTTTCTTACATACCATACCCCCCCCTCCTCTCTAGAGCTTCGTCCGCGAAGTCCTTCACTGGGTTGACTCTGTGAGTCCATATCCAGAACTGCAGTGATACTCGCTCAAAACCCTTCGCGTCTAAAAATCCTCAGTGAGGAAAAAGCCTGTTACCGCGAAGGGAAAAGAGTCTGTCAGTGCGGGTTTCCTGAGAATCCGTTTGAGAAAGGTAGATACAATAGTCTACTCTTTTAGACGTGAATGGTGGATTCTGGAGGCCTGCAGGCACTAGAGACTGAGGGAATATTTGAGTAGTAGTCATATATGCGAAATAAATGTCAGAAAATGTCAGTCACTCGTAAGAGTAATTCTGTCTCACAGAGTCTGATTGCTACCTGTGCCGACCAATGAAAAAGACACACACATTCTCAACTTGGACTTCTTGGGCACTGTCTCTATTTTCTAGCTCAACAGCCAGGCTTAGCAGCGGTCGGAATACTTCCTCATCCCATGAAGGCTCCGGCTCCCAAGTTCATGACACTTCGACGCAGCATCTTGAATGCACTGCAATTTTTCAAGCAATTCCAGGTCGCATTATGTGGCAGGAGCATGGAGCCGTCGTAAAAAAGGTCGGGGTACTCATGGCCATCGACAGCATCGACCCGTGCCTGGAATGACTTTATATATATAAGTCAACGTTCAAGAAATATATCCGAACGAAGAGACACCCAACCATAAGGTTACGTGGAAGTACGCCGACGCCGTCAGAGATATCAGTGAACTTGAATTGATATAAGAGCACCCGGATGACCCCTGGAGCTCCCTTCATCATCTCCACTCTGATGGGTGGCTTGGCAGTCCTCAAGTCACCGATCTTCTTGGTCAAGCTCTGTGAACATAAAACTAGTCTCATCGCTGCTGATGCTTGTAGCTTCGCATGCAGCTAGCAATCAATACTGGTCTCGCGCTGCTCTGCTTGGACGGAAGACATTGCTGCTATATTAAAAGTCTACCTGGCATCTGGTCCGGGCGGGTTGTGACAATCATAAAGCCACATGAGATTCTCTTTGGATTTCAAGATAAAAGTGCCAGTAAGTAATAAATGTTCAATTGCGCGACTCTTGGTCATTCTTTTGAAGCTTTGAAGATGGGATGTTGGTGCCGAGCAACGGATCAACCCGTGATAAGATCAAGATTGATAAGATAACAACCATGATGTCATTTCAACTCTGCACATTTCAAGCAACAAAAGAGTGATTGAGAGATAACAGACATTTACATCACACTTGTTAAAGTCATCAAATGTGTCAGACTCTTTCTCTCAGAGTTTTCCTTGCTGCAATCATCACTCTGTATACGGAGTAGTAAGAAGTTAATTATCACTGTGAGTAACTTTGCAGACATTGTTAGTTAGATTTACTAGAAGTCAATTGACTCCAATTAAGTCATTCAGCTTTATACATTATTCTATTCATCTGTAGCAGCTCATCACTCTTTCAGTTCAAAATATTCTCGGAGTCATTTGTCACTGTTGCAGCTGTTCAGAATCATATTACTGCTGGCTATGAAATTGCAATTGCATTTGTTCGTACAAACATATACAAATTCCTCCTCTTCAGCACGTGCGATGTTGCGAACTTCAACAAGCCACAGAACGAAGGCGTCTCAATCCTTAGAAAACTCAACAATCTCGCGCCTCCCCCCTCACCCACTAATCCTTCTGTAAAGGGTTGTCATTCTGCGAGATAAATCTGGCCCGCAGGCACGACCAAAACTAGCACTCACATGAATAGAGAAGAAAGAGTCTAGGAATTCAGGAGGCGGAGGCGTAATTGACAAAAACTTAGTCCAGATCTCGGCTCAAGGTTATCTTATATATATGTTGCTAAGGTGTAAAGCTTGCTTGATTAAGACGTATGCTAGCTACACGGGAAGTTATATGGTGGAATTTTACTAAGCCAGACCAAGCCTGCTTTTCAAGGATTTCATGAAGTGACACCATGACTACGCCGATTGGAAACCTGACAACATCTATTTCATGGACGTACACGCGAGTAATTCACAGGTTTATACAAAATTTTTCCTCCTTACACGCAACACAATGCAGCGCAATGCAATTAAGAGAGCAAGGCCAAAACTCAACAGACTTTAATAAACCAAGAGGGACGGACATACATGTAACAGTTGTATCCCAATGGCAGGCGTAGGAGAAAGAGAAAGACGCAAAGCCCACAGACAGAAAAAGGAGGTGAAAACGGCCCCACCAAAAAAGGAGGCCAAAGAAAGAAAGGAAGGAAGGAAGGAAGGAAACCAGTAAACCAAAAAAGTAGAAAAGAAAAACCAAAAAGAGAGATTTTCTTATACACCTGGCTTGCTCACGCTGCCATATTTAGCCTGCCATGCGAAGAAATACAACAATGCCCCCAGCGGTTGACCCACAAGACAGAAACTAACCCAAAACACACAGTTACCAATGATTTTTCCCGTAGGACCGTTCATCTTCTCGAGCGGTAGCGTTGCTGCGATTAGTGGGAGTTGGAGGACCATGCCGGCGAAGGCGACACCTGGGTTGGATGGTAGGTTAATGTCCAGCGGTTTATAGTAACTATACATGATGTATGGGGGTAGTAATTTTACTTACCTATCACGTTATGTGTGGGAATCCCCACAAGCAATTCATGCAGTATTCCGCTGAAGGTGAAAACCACAACGCTGGCGGCAAAGGGGCTCCACCCCCTTCCCACGAGCGGCGAGAAGATATGCCGCCGCATAAAATGGTACACGGGCTTATTCCACGTACGCCAGTAGGTGCCCACACTGGGGCTGTTCCACCATTCGGTGTAGAACTCGCGGTCGCCAAAACGCATGACCTCTGCGAGGGCGTTGAGGGAGGATTGGAACAGGGCGAAGAAGCCCGCGAGCCAGATTATGAGGGATATTGTGGAGAGTTTCATGACGCGCTCGATGATGGAGGTTAGATCGAGGGTTGCGATCTTTTCTAGCGAGTTGCGGAGGACGGGGGTTGCGTATTGGGCGGAGGTGAGCCAGATGAAGACGGAGAGCCCGATCATCTCCATGACGCGTTTGGCGACGAAGGACCATCTAATGCGTTCTGTGCGGGGGTATACGGGCTGGTATACCAGGGTTGGGGCGAGCCAGAAATAGGTTAGGTTTTTAACGGTGATGTTTCGTGGGTAAGGGAGAGACTGGTAGATTTCTGGGAGCGGGGAGGTGGAAGATGAGTGTAGAGCTTCGTGGCGGAGGTCTCGGTTGGTGAAGGCATAGGAGCATATCTTCAGCCAAACGACGATGACGTGGACCTCGCAGAGTGTTCCGATGCCAGGGTGGTTGACATAGTAGTAAACTGCGTAACTGGTGAAGAGGAGACATAGACAGGCGTTCAAAATATGTGCAAAAGCGATATATATCCATGCTGATCGGAACGCCAGCTGTTCCTGAGTATTTTCTTCCTCCGATTCCTTTCGTTTTATGCGACCAATGGCTCCCTTGACCTCATGCGCCGCGGCGCACTCAATTACATATGCCACGAAGAGATGGCAGGGGACGAGCGCGAAGAGTATAGCGCCGAGAATGACATCCTGTTTTCGATAGTCGTGGCACCGAATACAGATGAGGACACCATACTAGGTAGAACAATTCACCATTAGTAAAGAAACAAATATAAATAATAGGACAGAGGAGTTATTGAGGTGATTGTAACAACCCACCTTCATAAAATTCTCGACAATTAAACGTAGATTCATAACAACTAATAGGATATCATCATCGGATTAGCCACTGCAATCCTCCCGGAGGAGTGAGAATGAAATGCGCCAGCCCCAAGAAGAAGAAGAAGAAGAAGAAAAGACTCATACTCAACACAAGAACCATCAGGTTCCGGAACCCAAGGAAGCTTGGGGTAGTCTCCGAATCACGACTCAGACAGGAAACGCGGGGGTGGGAGTGGTATGCGGCGAAATGGCGATATTTGCCCTTGGTTGCGCGTGGATTGGGATGGGCATGCTGTGGTCCGCTGTCGGGTTGTTTGTCCTTTGCATCCGCAAGCTGAGGAGCTACAGTTGTCCCATTCTTTCCCACCCCCTCGTGGCGATCTAGCGGCTGGATGTTGTGACTCGGGGAAACAGCTATTTGGGCAACCCTCGCCATCCTATCCTTGTATATAGGCGCGGGGCTCTGGCCTCTGTGAGATAATAGCCACGGAGAATTGAGAAGAAGAGGCCAGGTATGTATATATAGCTCGTATATGTGTGAATAGAGGATGTGTGTCAATATATCCACACGACGAGGATAGGAATAAAATTAAGAATAATAGGGAGAGGCGAGACGGAATATTTAATGCCAGCAGTGGCAGCCCGAATTGGCCCGGTCCGAAGAGGCGATCCACGAAGAGAAGAGACGATGGATTGCCATGAAGAATAAATAAAGAGCGGTTAGAATAAAGAGTTGTCTTGCTCAGAGCTCCCTTTTATTTAACAACAATCATCTTTGCCTGAATCATTGGGGATGAACTTGGACCTGAACCTGGCAGCAACCGGCTTTCATGACGAGGGGATGGATTTCCCCAGGGTTTCCTACTATTAAATAAATACAGCTGTCCGCCTTGGCAGCACTAAATAAATAACTAAATAACTTCGCTGCTTGTAAACATCTTTGTAGCAACAAGACACACTACACGGGAGACAAGAGACAGAGAGGGACAGGCGATGCCTAGATATATTTATTTTACCTGTATCGAATTTACTCCCGCCATAGACCAATTTCTTGCACCACTGAATCCTGCAGTACCAGCGCCCAATTTTTAGCCCGCCGCGCCGCACCTCCACCTTACTATGACATACCCTCGATAGCTAGCGAGCTGATCACCCTTTCGACTGACTGACTGACTTACCCGATATTAACCCCCTGTGCATATATCTTCTGCTGTTTCTGGTATGAGCTCTTACGACCACGATGCGGCGGAAGGGGGATTCTCGCGCCCGCTGAGGTCCTACGAGGGAGGGGTGGGAGGCCCTCGAAGGCCCAGTAAGTATATCATATTGGCCTCCTCACCTCCTCACCTCCTCACCTAACAAAAATATAATATCCTCTCCGTCATACTAAGAGTGCGATGAATATAATAGGACCTGTGACCGACTATGGCTCGTCAATGGTGCAGTGGATGCGGGTGCGCCAGCCCCGATACAAAGGATCACACAGGCTTGAGCGGGAAAGACCAAGCGCCAGCTACACTGTGGACGTATGCAACCCCATTGTATATGATTTTTTGATACATATATACTAAACTAAGGGATATTATTGACTTTCTCGATTATTAGATGCTCCCTCCCTTAGCCAGGATCGATTCGCCCGCTGACACCATCCCCGTCCGTCATCTACACCAATCCATCGGCAAATCGAAAAAACCAATTACGGTCGTAAGATGGACGCCAGAGGGCCGACGCTTGTTGACAGGAGGCCATACTGGCGAGTTTATGTTATGGAATGGTACAGCATTTAATTTTGAAACGGTTATGGATGTTAGTGATATACACATATCCCCCTTAGCCCCTACCTAACCCCCTGGCCCATTTGAGTTGTATCTTGAACGCTGACCGGCTTCGAAAAACGCAAAAAAAAAAAAAAACAAACTATAGGCCCATTATGATCAATACCAAGCTGGCGTAACCTCCGCCGCATGGTCGCATAGCCACGACTGGCTGATATCCGGCGGCCAGAAGGGCGACATCAAGTACTGGCGGCCCAACTTCAACAACGTCGAAACGGTCGACGACGCCCACCACGATGCCGTCAGGGATCTGTCCTGGTGCCCCAGTGATACGAAATTCGTATCCGCCTCCGACGACACGACGCTGAAAATCTTCGACTTCACCGCCCGCATGTGTGAGATGGTTCTGACGGGCCACGGCTGGGATGCAAAATCGTGCGACTGGCACCCGTCAAAGGGTCTGCTGGTCTCCGGATCCAAAGACCACCAGGTCAAGTTTTGGGACCCCCGCACCGGCCGCTGTCTGACTACGCTCCACAGCCATAAAAATACAGTTACCTGCACTAGATTCTCGCGCGTGAACACAAACCTACTGGCGACATCGTCGCGGGACCAAAGTGCCCGCGTCTTCGATCTACGGATGATGCGAGACATATGCATTTTACGAGGACATGAGAAGCCTATCTCCTCCATGACATGGCACCCGATTCATAGTTCGCTTATATCTACGGGAAGCGAGGATGGATCAATTCATCATTATTTATTGGATGAGCAGAATCTACCACCTGGACAGGTCCCCACTGTCGCGCCATATGATAGCGCTGATCCCGCTAACACTCCCGCCCAAGTCATATTCCCCGCCCATCGTGTCCCCTATGCCCACTCATCCACCATATGGACTCTCGACTGGCATCCCCTCGGCCATATTCTCGCGTCCGGCTCCAAAGACAATTTCACCCGATTTTGGTCCCGTGCCCGGCCTGGCGAAACCACTTATCTCAAGGACAGATTCCACATTGGCGAGGAAGCAGCGGAAGCCCAGGGAACGTGGAGCCGTGGATTTGGTCGTCGACAGATGAAGGAGGAAGAGGAGCAGGAACTCCAAGATGAGGCGGAGGGGCTTGTCGACCAAAGGAAACCCGACGCCTCACTCCTTCCGGGTATCCAGGGAATTCCCGGCGCGGGCGATAATGTTGGACTTCCAGGACTGATTCCGGGAATTGGAGCTGTGCAGCCACCACCGCCACCTCCATCGGGCACGGCGTCATCCATGCCGCAAGTTGACCCGAGCCGTCTGGCGGCAATGATTTCCTCCGGCTCGTTTCCTCCACCTCAACTTGATTCTATACCACTAAACTTACGCCCGCCCCCATATCCCATGCCTAGTATGCAGGGGGGTGGCCTCCCACCAAACATGGATCTATCATCTTTACAAAATCAGTTCTTTTCACAGCAACAACAGCATCAGCAACAACAGCATCAGCAACAACACCACCAACCCAACACACTTCAGCAGAACCAAAACTTCCCCTCGCACGGTGGCGGAGGTTTCACGTCCTCAGGAATACCAGGTCTTCAGGGCCAGGGCCCAACTGGTGATTCAAATGAGGATTTCACGAACGGTGTAAGGAAACGCGGGCCGTTGCCAAGCCAGCAAGACAGCTTGATGGAAGAGCAACGACGGGGGAACTGGCGAAATATTAGATAAAAAGAAAACAAAACCATATCATCTTTTGACATATGCTAAAAAGAACCTGTAATATAGAACGGGGGTTGCGATTTGTTTTCGGGACTTTTTGGGCGAGATGGAAGGGACCATTTACCTACATGCGATATCTGTTTTATTTCTTATTCTGTGGTATCTGCTTATGCCAACTATCGAGCGAATTTCGATGGGGAATAATGCGCGTATGGCGTTGGGATCAAATCCTTTACGTATAGTTTCTTCCCCTTTTGCAGACCGGACTACCCCCTATACTTTAGCTAGGCATATGACCCTGAGCACGGCTTTTCAAAAGTTTTGGTGGTTGCCGTAGAGGCAAAGTGTTAGCTCTCAGGCTATAATATCGTAAACAAAAAGCATGCCAGGCCGTCAGGTGGCTGCGCTATAGTCCACCCTGGATAGAAAAGCTGGATAGGACCAAGACAAGCGTATTAAGGGCCGCCCACGAAAACGGAATCCAGGTCGACATCTTATAATTGCCGGCTTCATAGACGGCTCCGAGACTGTTATGTGCCAGTTCACGTCAGACGCAGCTACCAGTATCCTTTTCAATTCCTATAGTTACAAAATTGAACCCGCAAAACAAAGAGCTAAAACATCTGAAGCAGGAATGAGGGAGAAAACATCTAACAACTCACATAAGCCCTGTAACACTACCCGCCAGCAAACCCTCCAACCCCGCAATGAGTATGTATATCAACAGCACGGCCCAGACGATCTTCCAGCTGCGCCATTGCATCACGACGGCACACAGAGCGGCTGAGAGATGTACACCGATATAGAAGAGCAGCGTCCAGAAGAGGGTGAAGCGCCATATGTCGTTTGTGTAATAGAGATATTGGGCTCCGTCGTGGTAGAAGCCTAAGGTGACGTAAAGAGAAGGAAACGGCGGGGTTTCGTAGCCTAGGGGGATGGTTTGGGAGAAGGACATTGTTTGGCTGTATCTGTCTCCGCATTTGAGGTTTCAGGATAATGGCATGGATGGTGAATGGGTGAATTTATGGCTACGCATCCGTCGAATGCTTTGGGCTATTCATCGGGGCTAAAACAAAGCACTGTTTTGTTTCTCTGGCCTGGTTGCAGTGGTTGGTGTTGTTTAACATTGTTGTTGAGTGCAGCGATGACGGAAGGAAGGAGGAAATATGTTTGCTTTGTTTGCAGTTTCAGGAGCTGGCGTTGAACCTCGGCAGGTGGTTCGCGAGCTCCGCCGATGATGCAGGAGTTGTAAGGGGGACTGGCGAACATTCACACTTCAACTCAACTCTCATGTAACAACAGCTACCGAAGATAGGGAGAAATTGTTCTCACTCGAAAATGGGCACTGAGAGGTCGCTCGCAACTCTGCTTCGGTCGCTCCAGACGGTGTCTGAGCATCAGGATGCTTACGGGTAGGATGCGCCCACTCCCCTAGCCTTTGAATGTCAAACCCCGAGAACTGACAAATTGTATCTCTAGCCTCCTACCATCATCGACGGGGCTTCTCTCGTTACTCTCCAATCATCGGAACGTCACACTACTATCGTCACAGCTCCTGCACTCCCCAGCTCTATGGAGCGGTGAATTCGACCTGGAAACCTGCCGGCGCATTCTCAGCGTCTTCAATACTGCCGCGATCAGCGTCGTGCACAATGAATCACAACAACAAGGGCCTCCGTCGCTAAATATACAAAGGAGAGGTCTCGAGCGGGAGGAATGGGTGAAGGCTGTGGTTCAGGGCGCAGATGACAAGTCCCCGCGATGGAGACATAGCATTTTGCTGGGAGGCATACTCTTAGGCATGGAGGGCCAGGACCGACAGAGTTTGCCCTCAAATCTAAGAAAGAAATTGGAATCCGGCCTAGTGACGGCGTTTCAGCTTTCGTTGAGCGAGCTCGATTCATACCCAAGAGTTGCGCGGGATTGTATAGCATTGGTGCTGAACTATACGTTCGAGCTGCTGGCGGATCCGGAGAGAAAACGGCTAGATTATAACATCCTCCTTCCTCTCCTCGTGGATACTGTCTTTTTCTCTCCGGCAGGGTTTGAATCAGGGTACTTCCTTGGTGCTATTGATCGGGACATTCGCGAGACCCCTTCGAAGAAATTCGAGTGGCCGGCTCAATCACCAACTTGCCTACACATCCGCGCAATCACGGCAAAACCGCTTATCTCTTCATTGGGTCCTTTATCGCGATTAATCGCGCATGCCATTGGCAACTGTCAAGTGCAAAGGCTAGTAGTGCAAGCGGTGGATTCTCTCCTTGAATTCACGAGGACATTGATGGTTCAGTGGCGGCAGAATAAGCTATCAGAAGTTGATATCTCTGAGGAGGCCGAGTTTCTAGATGAGACGTCGCTCCAGACGACTATTCCCATTCTTTGGCGATTACTGAAGACATCCCTATTTTCTATTGTTATTTTTCTGAGGGCTGTTCTAGGAAGGGTACTAAATGATCGCGTCCTCGCGGCTGATAACTGTAAGCCCAGCCCTATTCGTGGTCTT